AAAGTCTTCATTGGGTAGCATAATATTAAGGTATGTCGGTGATTTAATCTTACATACGTTCCTTTATTTACAACAGGCTTTGGTACATGATCCAAAGGGGGACGCTTGGTTGCCAAAGTAGTTATGTAGGGAAGTGTGTCTCGCCCCTATAGGACAATTGTTTGTTTCCAATCTTTATTGACAAAATAACTCTGTTGCAAGCCTTTTTATTTAGATTAAATATTTCTATCCTTTGTTTTTGAGCAACAATGTCTTGAAGTGAGTTAATATTTAACCATTTGAGGCAGATTTCTCCGCATCATTTAGACTATAATATAACCATAATATCTATCAAAGTGGTAAAATAACTCAATTATATTGTATTTGTAAATTAGTTTGCTTTCATTTGATACGTAACTCAACAACTTTGACCTTCTATAATTAGACTTATATCCCCAGAGTTGACAGAGGGGCTATATCTGTCTGGTCAGTTTTTAGCATTCCGTCTTCAGCAATCAGTAAATCATGATTTTGACCCCTGTGGTAATCGAAACAGTATTTTGAAACAAATGCTTATTTATGTGAGAGAAGTTATGCATCATTTTGTTGGAAATTGAATTGTCTTTCCAATGACATATGATTCAAACATTTGTCTGTAGTATTAAAAATTTTGTAGCAAAACAAAAATATGGACGTTTTTTGGCCCACCCTGTACTTATAAGCCAAGTTGCAGATTATATATAATTAGGCACAAAGCTAGAAAATATAGTCTAGTTTTACTAACTTTCTTCGATTTGGAACTTGTTTTGTAAATGAAGTTGAAATTCATATGTCTAGCCCCTCGCTTTTGTTACATTGACGAAAGTCCGTTATATTACTAAGGCCATAAGAAGTAGATTCTTTGTTTTGCGTCCCCTTGCTTGCACGATTTTAAGTAAATCAGAAAAAACAAACACATCCAAGTAGCAATCACAAGGGTCTGAAAGTACCATCACATTTCGTTCAATCAGAATCAGACGAAGTGGCGGATAATTTGACGTGCGTCAAAAGTGACAGTGTATTAATTAGTTTGGCATACATTGTGTATTTTCTTATTTTTTACCCTTGAATAATAGCTATGTTTAAATATATTGTATAAAATGTATAGATATGTGTTTGTAATCACTGCAAATTGGTATGCCATCCCTTTTTATGCCCATAAAATGTATACATTTCTCAATAACAAGTTTGTGTTTTTTCTTGAGTTTGTGTTTGTTTTCCTTGTACCCTTGCATGATTTGAATTTTGCCAGGACGCAAAACAAAGAATCTACTTCTTATGGCCTAAGGTATGTTAATGTGAAAACGTATGTCAATGTAACAAAAGCGATGGTCTAATGCATGAATTACAGCGTTATTAAAAAACCAAACCAAACGGATCTAGCATTTCTAAAACCTAGACTATATTGTCTAACTTTGTGCCAAATGATAATCCGAAAGATGACTTATACGTAAGTTTAAATCGAGAAAATAAAAAACTCATATCCAGGAAGTTCATCCATTTTGTTACATTGACGTTCCGTCAAGGTAACTAGTTGTGGAACAGTGATAATACTGAAGGGGAGGTTTTCGCCTGCATTAGGTTTATATTTTGCCTAGTGTCTCCAATAATTAAAATACTCGAGGCGTTCATTTTGATAATTCGTTTATACTAGTGTTTTTAAACATTACATAACCTTCTTACTGTATATTACATCGATCTTTGGACAGAACCTTATGATGACACAATGTACTTTAGGTTTGCTGGTATCATTAATATGTCAAATCAAAATCGATTTGAAAACATATGAATATCAATATACTTTCCACAGCGTAATATATAGAAAATATATCATTTAATCATTTCGAAAAGAGCTCAAGAACAGCCCAACCCTTTCGGGTTAGGTACATCTTGAATAGGTGACTAGATATGTCAATTTCTTTTCGTATAAATATTTTCTAAATATGCTAAGCCTTCAAGATAAAGCAACACCGTTGGCCTATCTAGGTTGAAAATAATTTTTTGAAATTCCTGATTTGAGTCATTCTGATTTATCAGACTCTCTCTTTATCTGAAACCCCAGTCACACTTGCTCTACGGCGGGCGCACGGCGGCCGTAGCTTCTCAAAATCTCGATTTTGGGAAGCTTCGGCCGCCGTACGGTTGTCGTAGATCAAATGAAATTCAAACTGAGGCATACAACCTGTGAGAGGGATAGTAGAGCCTGAGGATCCCACGGTGGATCTGAGCTTTAATAACAAACTGTACTCAGAAATCGTATGAAATTAAACAAGTAGTTTGAATCTGATGTCGAAATTAACATATTATACTACTTTACTTCAGTAACGATAACCCCCCAGCTCTACGAATTACTAATTGCTAAATTGAATGAAAAACTCTTCACTAAATACTTTTGTGTATTCCCATTAATTTCCTGGATGGGTTTGTTTGAAATACGTTTCTAGAGCTGTTGTATCATAATAGTCTTTTATAAGCTAGTCGGGATGAAACCCGGGGAATGAAATGCTATTACTGACAAATCGTATGCAACTTACTATTAGAATGTCATCTTGTACCAGTAAACACTGAATTATTTGTAGTCTATTGGTACTTATAGTGCGACTTAATGAACCTGAAACCGTTTTTTTGTCTGGTTTATTAGTTTAAATATACGATTAATACCATATCTTGATTTGGAAAAGTAGTCAAATGCATGATAAATGTTGAAATATTGACTAGATACAAGTAGAAACAAGGCATTAACATGACAAAATGTCACCACCTAGTTGCTCACGATATTATTAGTTCAATCTAAGTCAGATTTGGATTTCTGAGAACTTGTAGATGATTTTGAAAAAAAATTGATCAATTTGAAGCAAGTTGAAAAAATACCTTTTTGAGCCTGAAAAGGTCATTGAAGGTGAAATCTCAAATCTCAAGTCAGATTTGAACTTCTGAGAACTTATTGATGATTTTGAAAAAAAGAATTGGTCAATTTGAAGCAAGTTGAAAAAATACATTTTTGACCTTCAGAAGGTAATTGAAGGTCAAATCTTTTTTTTGACCTTGAGAATGTCACTGAAGGTCAAATCTATAGTCAGATTTGAACTACTGATAACTTGTAGATGATTTTGAAAAATGGGTCAATTTGAAGCCAGTTGAAAAAGACCTTTTGACCTTTTTTGACCTTGAGAAGGTCAAATCTAAAATCTAAAGTCAGATTTGAACTTCTGAAAACTTGTAGATGATTTTGAAAAAACTGAAGTCAGTCATTTGTTAAGTTATTGGAAGTTTTAAGAGTTTGTTACAGACGCCAAGATATGCTACAGACACCAACCGCCAAACACCGCCACAAAAAATGGAGACCACATCAATATGTCACCACTTTCTATTGGTGACATAGAAAATTGGCTATCAAGATTGTTTATCAACGTGACGTGACGTCTAGATCTAGCTGGTTGGATAGATTCCCCATAACTTGATGTAATGAATTTAGGAAAAGTAAAATATATTTTCTTCTAATGGACAGCTACTATTTTCTTTTACTGGATATATTTTCAATTGTATAATTATAAAACTAAAGAAGGTTTTATGAAAATCGATCCAATATATCGCATGGATGTTGAAGTTTAGAGGAGCTTTTTCTGCGTTTGATTACGTCATCGTTCATTGCACAGGTCTATACGTCCATGTGTGATATTCTTATAAATCGTCGTCTATACGTAAGAATACCACACCTATGGACGTATAGTGCTGTGCATGATGGCGTAATCAACTACTTTATAAGTTATACGTTGTACGGGAATAATAAAATACTGTAAGTGAGTTGCGAAATCTCTCTATTGAACGTGAACGTGTTACAAATAATACGACCCCCGTTGATAACTGTGACAAAGTAACCTCCCTATTTGTGATTTGGCGATTAAATGTAATTCGTTTGGAATTAATAATCAAGAGATGTGTACTGTAAAAGCCCAAATTTTCAAGGTGTCCTAATTTCCGCTGTTACGTTCGAAAATAACAGAAAGTAAAAACAGCAATTAAAATATGATAACAATATATTTATATTTTGAAAAACTAAATAATATAACAATAATATAAAGGAGGTTTAATACTTAAGTGATGTCCAATCAATGATACGGCTTATTCTTGATGTCGATAAATGTCGTTGACGATCCTTGAGAAAGTTCCAGATCACGAAATGTTTCAATAATCGTTAATAGTTCTCCAATGTTTGTAATAATCCAATAATGTTTGTTGTAATCCTATAATGTTTGTATCCAATAATGTTTGATGATAATCCACAAATGTTTGATGATAATCCACAAATGTTTATGGTAATCCACGAATGTATATGATAATCCGTATATAGTGTGTGTTGTAATATATGTCCATGTAAAGTCCTCAGGTTGTATGTTTGTATTGTTATAAATGTTCCCACAGTAGGTTGTTGTAATTTTCTGCTAAGAAGATGTCCTTTTGATAAACTTTGAAATTCTGCTCTATTTAGTTCCTTTGAGATGTCCAGTTATATGATGATTTAATTATCTGCTAATGAGAGTCACTGTGCTGTTCTTTTTATAATGTGAAAGAATGATCCAGAAACGAATCTTCTGGAACTACATCTTGATTGGACATCTTTAGTGACATGATTACATTTTAATGAATGGTTATAATTTCTAGAACTATCTGGATGGTCAAGGGTTAATGAGTCATTCAGTTTAGTTTTGTTTACAAGATACAGTGTATAATGTCATTGTGACCTTGACCTAAGATCTCTAATAAAGAATAGCTCAACATATACAGCAAGCATACATTACAAATTAAACTATAGGTGAATATAGTAGAATATAATATACATGTAGCTCACTACTGTAACACCTCCCTCCTTAAAAGAAAAGTTTTGAATGCAATGAAAAACTTTTACAATAATATCTTGAGCAGTGAGCGTTGCAATTTCTAAAAGTGAGGTTGAGACTTACATAATATTTGTTTACAATAGTCTTTTTATGTGCAGTATGTTTACAAGTATATAATACTTTCTATCGTTACAGTGTGAGTACAATCTAATAACATATAATGTTCTTATAATCCCATACTACAATAATATCTACATAAGTTATGCATTAAAAGTCATAAATACAATACATGCAATAGATCATATAACATGTACAATAGCATACATTTTTTTGAGTCTGACAAACACTAAACTAGTACAATGTTTTAAATTATCACATGATCTTACTTTAGTACTTCTAATAGTACACTCTCATATTATCAAGTAATCTTGTGATGCTATTTAATGATCACCTATAATGCTCACACATAATATCAATTTCACTATTTAGGCAAATGTTTTTATATATTGTTAAAATAAAGTGACAGTTATCACAAATCTCTAATTTGCCTACCATATAATATAATCTTCATGAGTTAATCATGATAATTTACAATATCTGACTCTTGAATAACATACATGTATAGTTGTCATTGACATACGAGTTTGGCCTATGAGCTAAGAGCACAAGCTCATGTTGAGTAAAGAAATTTTATCACGCTCAACATACTTTTTCATCATGTGTAGCTCTCTACACCTCACAGGAGTAGTTCTATCAATGCAAATGAAATCATTCAGCACTGAGTCAGATTGTAAGTCAGATATGAGCTCCTTTGGTAGCTCCACTAATGTGAAATTATTGATTTGTGATTTCACAATATACTTGGTTTTGTTATTCCCAAGCATAAGGAGTGATTTTATTTCTAGAAACTGTGTGGCCATAGACAGAATAGTGAGCAGATATTGATTATCAGACTTTGTTTTTGGTAATGGACCAACACAGTCAATAAGAACCTTACTGAATGGTTCATCAAATGCAGGTATAAGTTGTAAAGGAGCAATTGAGATTTTCTGGTTAGGTATCCCTACCATTTGACATGTATGACAAGACCTACAATACTCTTGGACATCTTGTTTTAATTTGGGCCAATAGAAATGATTGAGTATTTTATGGTATGTTTTAGTTACTCCTAAATGAACTGCCATGGGAGAATCATGAGCTAGACTCAAGATTTCCTTATGATACGATTTTGGGACAACAATTTGATGTGCAATTGCCCAATTATCTTTAGGGGAAGCTTCAGGAGGTCTCCACTTTCGCATTAATATGCCATCCTTTTTGTAGAAACAAACAGGGACCTTGTCAGCTTCATCAATAGTAAGACATCTTTTATGAATATCAATGAGTGATGGATCATGCTCTTGTTCATAAATTAACATGTGTTTAGAATGAGGATCATTTTTCAAAGAATCACTATCAGAAATAGAGGATGAAACCTCAGAACTAGAAGAGGATGAAACCTCAGAACAAGGAGGGGATGAAACCTCATGAACACTAGCAGAAGAAGATGAAACTTCATCAGGACTAGCAAGAGCGGGCGGAACCGCATTAAAATAGTGATCCTGCTCAGAAGGTGAATCACCTCTGGCAATAGGCTTTTTCAATGAAGAATTTGCCTCAATAGATGACTGCTTTGCTTGAACAGAAGGCTGTTTCAATGAAGAATTTGCCTTTAAAATAGGATAAGGATCATCTTTAACAAGTGGTGAGTGACATTCATCATCAAACAAGGAGCTTAAAAACCCACTATCAAAGTCATCTCCCACAGACGAATCCCCGCTATCAGCTAACTTTTTAGCCATAGCCCTAGTAACAGCACAAGCAGGATATATATCAGAGTCCTCTTGGACAGAATCCTCAATAGAACAAGGCTGATCTGAAACAATGGGGTCTAATGATACCTTACCCCCAGCTAAATCATTGCCTAAAAGCAATGCGACTCCTTCAACAGGAAGTTGTGGCCTAACACCAACAATAACTGGCCCTTTGACTAACTCTGATGTGATATGAATACGATGGAGGGGAACTTTAGTAAATCCTAATTCAATGCCTTGCATCAAAATATGGGTACCTGTGAATGACTCCTCAGATAAAGGAAGGACGCCTTCTAACAACAAAGTCTGAGATGCACCCGTGTCTCTAAGAATCTTAATTGGCTTTGAATTGGTACCATCACTTGACAGTGACACAGATCCTTCGGACATGAAAGGCTTATAATCCTCCATAATATCACCATGAGTAGATTTCTCAGTATGAGTATATGAATCCCAAACAATGGGCTTTCTTGAAATGGGAACTGTAGCACAACCATTTGAATGAGCAAAACCAGACATCTCTCTTCTATTCTTAATCCTATAGCATTCAGAAATAAGATGACCAGGCTTTTTACAATAGTTACAGGTGACATTTGATGTTGGACCTGACGATTTTGATTGATCTGATTTTGAGCTAGAACTCTGTGATGAATTAGACTGGTCTTTTGCTTTGTGTGATGTATTTGATGATGAGGACTGATTTGATTTAGTATCATATGAAGGTTTGTTACCTTGATAACCTCTAAAGTTAGGATTACCTTTAATAAAACTACCTTTGTGAGTAAGCGCATAATCATCAGACAGGGTGGCAGCCTGACTCAAAGTTTCTACTTTGCGTTCATCCAAATAAATTCTAATACGGCGCTGAACACAATTTTTAAATTGTTCTATAAGCATAAGCTCTCTGAGCTTCTTAAAGTTTTCAGATGCATCTTTAGAGACAAGCCACCTGTCAAAAAATTGCTCTTGCTCCCTAGCAAACTCTACATAGGTTTGATCATCTTGTTTATAAGTATACCTAAATTTTTGCCTATATGCTTCTGGCACTAGTTCATAGGCTTTAAGAACAGCCTTTTTAACTTGATCATAATCAGAGCTTGCTTCAATGGAGAGAGCTGAATACACTTCGCTAGCTTTACCAGTAAGCTTGCTTTGAAGCATCACAGGCCATACTGATTTTGGCCAATCTAGGCACAAGGCTACTTTTTCAAAATGAGGAAAATATTTATCAACATTATTCTCTTCAAACTTTGGTACAAGTTCAATGTTATCTGCTGCATCGAACCTATTTTTAAAACATTGATGCTCAAGAGCATGTTCTTCAGTTTTGTTTTTAATTTCTAACTCAAGACGTTTTAATTCTATTTCCTTTTCTACATTGTATTTAATCATTTCTTGTTCCCTTATTTCTCTTTCATTTTGCATTTCTTTCTCTCTGATTTCATTGTGTAGTTTAAGTTCAAGCTCTCTCAGTTGCAATTTTTGTTGAAATTCAAGCTCTTTAAGTCTAATAGGATCATGCTCAACATGCTGGGCTGGCTGCTCAGGCAGAAGTGATTCTGCAACCAAATACTGAAGTACAAAGTTTTTAATTGTATCCTTTTTGTATGAGCTTTTGACTGACAGGCCAACATGTTTTGCAATTGCCAGAAGTTCAGTTTTCTTTAAATCATCAAATTCCTCCAAAGAGGGCGCTTCTAAAAATGTCTCAACCTCAAAACTCATTTTCGATTAATTGCTGTCTTCACAATTTAAATATACAAGGGTTGGATATTGAATTTTAAAATATTTGAATTTTAGCTTGTTGTAGTTGTATCCCGGACAAGCCCCCAATTTCTGTTACGTTCGAAAATAACAGAAAGTAAAAACAGCAATTAAAATATGATAACAATATATTTATATTTTGAAAAACTAAATAATATAACAATAATATAAAGGAGGTTTAATACTTAAGTGATGTCCAATCAATGATACGGCTTATTCTTGATGTCGATAAATGTCGTTGACGATCCTTGAGAAAGTTCCAGATCACGAAATGTTTCAATAATCGTTAATAGTTCTCCAATGTTTGTAATAATCCAATAATGTTTGTTGTAATCCTATAATGTTTGTATCCAATAATGTTTGATGATAATCCACAAATGTTTGATGATAATCCACAAATGTTTATGGTAATCCACGAATGTATATGATAATCCGTATATAGTGTGTGTTGTAATATATGTCCATGTAAAGTCCTCAGGTTGTATGTTTGTATTGTTATAAATGTTCCCACAGTAGGTTGTTGTAATTTTCTGCTAAGAAGATGTCCTTTTGATAAACTTTGAAATTCTGCTCTATTTAGTTCCTTTGAGATGTCCAGTTATATGATGATTTAATTATCTGCTAATGAGAGTCACTGTGCTGTTCTTTTTATAATGTGAAAGAATGATCCAGAAACGAATCTTCTGGAACTACATCTTGATTGGACATCTTTAGTGACATGATTACATTTTAATGAATGGTTATAATTTCTAGAACTATCTGGATGGTCAAGGGTTAATGAGTCATTCAGTTTAGTTTTGTTTACAAGATACAGTGTATAATGTCATTGTGACCTTGACCTAAGATCTCTAATAAAGAATAGCTCAACATATACAGCAAGCATACATTACAAATTAAACTATAGGTGAATATAGTAGAATATAATATACATGTAGCTCACTACTGTAACACCGCTATATTCATCGCGTCTGGGTGTTTAGCGCGAATTCAAAAGCACGTGGATTAAAGGCGGGATTAAAGGGCACATTGATTCAGTGGTACGTGGATTCAAAGTCAAAGTTAGAAAAAGCCCAGTCTAAAAAAATTATTAAAGATTTCCTTACCGTATCATTTATTGAAATATCTTATCATATTTAAACAGTACATTAGTGAGATGCCCCTCATAACCAATCTACACTATTCTATTGAATGATAAGTCGGGTTGATTTAGGTAAAACAGAATGGAAAGACAATAATTTTGTGTTTAGAAATACCGCTAAAATAATGACATAAGTTGAAGGACACACATCCGGGTCTTCTATGATGAAATATGATATCTATTTGTAAGTAAGACTAAACTAATATGAACTGGTATGACATATAATTTTGTAATGTATTAAAACTAAACCAACATCCAGATGAAAGGCTTCATTTGTTTTTGGCAAAGTTAAAGGTAAACTTCATGCAGATCCTCCAGGTTTTGCATTTTAACCAGTTGTTCAACATGGCTAACTGCGTCTTGCATGGACAATTACTGATCAAATGGCAGATACTCTACAGTAATGAAGTGTAGTTTAGTATGAGGTTAGTGTCTCAAATAGCTTACCTAAGTGGGGACATTAATGTTTAATTCTCCTGGGTCGAAATTCTTGGTAAAATCCACTGGTCTAAGAGTACGCGAATTTAAGGGCACGCAAATTAATTCAATGGTTCTTCAGCATATTTGGGCTTTTACAGTATATGTTTTTGAAAGAGTCCTGCATACCACATGCGATATTTAGTGTTTATTTTAAATTTTAAATTATAGTTATGGCGTTTACAACCACAAAGCAAATGGGGCACCATGTGAAAACCCCTAATAACAAAATGAACTGTATCAATATTATATCAACTATATCCACATGAAAATAATCATTAAAAGAATAATTCCTAAAATCCGATTGGAGAACTAAACACCCTATTGATTGAGTAACAGTTGTATATTAATGAGGGTTAACCGGTATTATTATTAAGTAGGTTAATGTCATTTTGTGCTTAACATATGCACATGGCTATAAAACTTACAGTCAAAATCTTAACGAACATATGGTACTATCCTATTTAACATGCAAAAAATGATTATGTAAAAATTACGTTATCATTAATGATTACGATAATGACCCATTTTTGATATTCAAAGGATGAATTCATGATTAGCGACTGTTGGCCAGCAGGTATGTTGTGTAATGACATTTAAACGAATATTATGGCGGTTTACTTTAAGGGTCAGTGTTGTTTTCTAATGTTGTAATATTTTAAATACACAATAAACAAGCTTTCTCAGTTGGATTAGTGTCAGCAAATCTGGTTCAGGTGTATGAGATACCAAGTTCGATTCCCGTTTGAGATCAATGATTGCAACTTACATTTACTAACAAATGGCATCAGGGTGGAATTCCTGGGTCGGTTGTCCATGTTGTAACATAAGCTTAACAAATGAGGTACATACCTAAAAGGTATTTTTGTTTGATAACCTTGATAAAACATTTCTATTTTTGTTCTTTATTCACTTTACAATTATAGTTTGATTTTACGAACCTTTCTTAGTTTGTTTACGAAATAAACATTAAGTATAACAATAATCTGTATGCTTATTTTTGTTAAAGGCCCCATGCAAAGTTTGAAAATATAGCTACTTTAGTCATTCAAATATTATTTTTCATGATTTGAAAAAATATTTGAGACATTTTTTAAAAAAATGTGACTTCATCTTATTTTTTTCAAATATTTGAATTTCCCGCCACAGAAACGAACGTTTAGATTTTAGGATCATAAGAAACATCACTGAACACCATGAAACACATTATGTGCTCTACTCCGTTGAATTGATCAGACAAAAATTGTTTCAACCATTCATTAGATATGATTTTATTCATACACAAACCTTTAAAGCATATTCATGGGTGTTAAAACACGAATATACCATGAGCACATGCTTTGAGGATCCGCGTTGTTTGAACCTACCGCCGAGCACAATTATACATTAAGACCCGTTACACAGTCATGATACCGCCGAGCAAGCTCATTGCATCATCGGGTCTGCTTTACCCCCGTGATATTTAAAAACTTGTGAAAGGATACGCTGTGATGTCATTCAGGTGGAAAAATAATTTTTTTCTCTAAACAACTTTTCTGCGCTTATATGAGTTGATCTCTTGCTCATTTTCAACCATTTAAAAAATTCAACACATTTACAACCGGTGATCGGACAAAATGACGGAGGGGAGCAGACGTTCTGCGAGAAAATTCAACAAATCTGAAAAAAAATTAATCAAGATCTGATGAATCTTCTTGCAAAAATCGCCTGCCCCCCCCCCTTCCGTTCATTTTGTTATCAACAAGCTTGAAAGTAGACTAGGATGTATGTTATCCGTTGGAGTAAATTATTGCTTAAAAGCGTATGTGCTTGACAACTTTATTTCATTTGAAATAAATTCACAACTTTTCAAACAAAAAGTCCTTCAAATCCACTTTTTGATAGTAATTGAAAAGTTTCAGATATCACATTTTGATAACAGGACAAAACTATAATATAAGTCAAAGTGGTTTAAACTTTATGCAGGGCCTTTAAAATGAAATTTCTATGTGTCACTCATTATGAAAAATTACTCTCTAATGTTTTACAATACATCGATTTGAATTTATTTTGAAAATCACTCACCTGTGTCGTCGCTATGGCAGAGTACACTGTTAGAAACCAAATGTGACAACGTGTCATAGCAACTAGATGTGTCCAATGAAGAATACGTCCCCTCAGCTAGACGCTCGCAACGGTTTATCAAAGGTGAAACTATCTTATAGACTATGAGCCTATGAACAATGCCTAAGCCAGATCCATAGAAAATCCAACATTCTCCTATTATGTGACACGAAGTTGTTAAACTTAACTAGCCTCTTATGTTTTCATCATAAACTTTCTTTATGCGTTGAAGTTTCCAAATACAGGTAGACGAGAAGTAGGTTGCATGAGAAATAACAATTCTGTAAGGTAGACTCTACTTTGTCTTTAATCAAGGATGCAGTAAATCCATGTTCTTTAGCGTCTTCTACCTCTTAAAATTACCGTGATTGTTTTAGACTATGCTATTCAAGGAAGCAGTCGGTGTCATAATCTATTATGTAACTGTCTACAAATATAGCTCAAATATCCGTTACATTTCTCCACACCTTTGAGAATTAGCTGTCCTCAGACAGAAGACAAACTGTCTGGTCAATAGTTCTAGATTAGGTTGGAACTATCATATTCATTTGTCTGACGTTTCGTGCGATGAATTTTCGTTAATACTTTACTTATTTTGCACCGGAGTACGTAAGGTTTGGACTGATTTCCCTGATTATTAACGTAACTTGTTGATACGTCTCAGGAGCTCAACAATGTACTGTCCTTAGATGTAACAACTGCTACAGAAATTGGCGCTATTTTGCGTTACAATTATTTATAAGCCTAGTATTATGGCAAGTGCATGTTTAATCTCCCATTCCAGTCTTTTATATTATCATGGGTCTTTGTAAGGTAAATGTTCTCTCTGATGTGAGAAAGAACACGTGTTAATGGACGAATGGAATCACCGGTGTTAATCCACTGTAGATACACTCAACTCCCTGCAAAAAAGAACAAAATAATGGCTATAGTAATTTAAGTGTATGATGTTACCTGAAGTAACACGTCCCTTATATGACTCTCAAGAGCATAACCAAGTGTCTATTATTCCTTTTCATTGTCGCGAAATCGTTAATACCAATTTTATGTTTCAAAAGTCAAGTGAGTTTCTAGTACAATCTATTAACCCACAAAAGATAATTTTATTGTAAAAACAATTACTGCTAAATTACAAATATGCGTGGTTGCTGAGAAAACTCGGAAGGAATTATCACGCGCTTATTGTGTTCTAGGGTAAGGCTTCTCCATTCTGTGTATTTACTTTCTATATAGTTACAGTGCACAATGTGCGCGGTGCATTTACCATAATTTTTAATATAATCTGAAACCACGACATTTTGAGGTGATTTTTTCCAAGGTGTGTTTACGCATCAGGTAAGTCGAAAAGTTAGTTCAAGATTTGGGTCGCGTTATCATTCGTGCAAAGAACGGTTATTTCTGGATTCAAAAGATTCACGTGAGCATATCTTTAGAAGAAAGAACGATTCTCGGTTTGGAGAACGAAGTTCAACAATCTAAATGAGCATTATCCCTGCTTCGGACAAATTTGATTTTTTTTACATAATATAGATTTGAATGTCTTCTTTTGAATAGTCATAATTTAATTTGGGTAATATTTCTAGATTTTTCGCAAAAAAATATTTGCGCAGTACACTGATGAACTTCTTTCCCCAAATCGAGACTTGTATTTTATTGAATCGTTCTAATTGAGCGTTATCCCTGCTTCAGACCAATTTGTTATTTTTACATCTTGTAGATTTAAATGGGTCTTTTGAATATTCATAGTTTAATTTGGGTAATATTTCCATATTTTTCATGAAAAAATTATTAGCCCAGGAGACTGTTCTCCAAACCGAGAATCGTCCTTTATGTAAACCGATTTATTGAAGACTATTTGTGACATAGACCGGGTGAGGCTTAATCGATTGGATATGTTATCGTAATACTTCTTTAATTAAACATCGTTGATAACGTATTATATAGGCTTACGTAACGCATTATAGGTGGAAAGTACAATTAACGTAGAGCAGGCGAAGTATATGTGAGAAAATACTTGATGGATCCTTGCTCCTGTATTTATTTATGTAAAATTGACCCGAAATGTTGTCCTGCATTGTACCTGTTTCGTTTGTTACAACAGACAATCAGAGACAGATCAGGGCGGATGATTCGGGTGGAGGATTACCTGATTATTCATAAATATTCACCACTATAGATCCAACGATCCACCGCCCCTTAAACACGTAGACATGTTCTTGTGGTCCGTTAACGTGCAACATTGCAATAACGATGAATTAATTCATCATGGAACACATTTCTTAGAATTAATAATAAAATACGAAACAGTAGCAGTGCCCACACTCAATTACCGTGCATCTTTATTTCTAACTACAAAAACACTATCAAAATGTCTGTAAATAACGTATTTGCGCAACAATAAAGAAATAAAATTGCTTGTTTATTAGTTCAACTATCGCAAATTAAATGTCTTATTGTGAATAAAAAATACGAGACACGAGACCAATAATATCTGCTTTGATATCCCAATTGAACTCTACTTAGTTTAGCAGTTTAGAAATTACTATAGTTACTTTTATTCTATAGTTTCTATAGTTAGTTATTTCAAAATTTATACGGTATTTTGTGACCCCGTGGAAAACTAGTATCGTATTTTGGTTATTTTTTTTATGTCACCACCAGAAGTAGTGACATATGGTTATTTTGTGGACGGTGCAGTTTTCGGCGGTTTGTGTTCGGCGTTTGTAACAAATGATAGGTGGTGACATTTTCCACGTTAATGCCTTTTTTACGAAAATCATAGAACGACTTTCATATTCACCCGTGGATAAAAATCCTATGACTCATAAATCATATGATATCCACTATGTGTTCACTTACGGAGTTGTGCAATAATTACAAGCCAAGGGAAATACAAATGAAGTATACATCCTTGTGGCGGAAACAATTGCGTTATTGGTCGGCCCCTGCTCCAAGGAGGTTCGTATTGTTAAAGGGTATCAAATAAATCACAATTATACCTGATGCTCGCTTCATCCCTTTCAGCTAAGGAAATTAGACTTAAAAAGCTTTAGCAACCCATACTCCACATGGGATAGTATGTTAATGCCTGCTTATATTTTAATTGGTCGAAAATTTTAGGTCGGAAATCATAACCTGATGAATTTGTAAATCGTCGTGTACATAAACAGACTTGAACGCATGTTCGATTCTGGGTTTAGTGGTTGCCAAACATTTTAAGGGGAATGTAGATATCTCTCCATAGCTGTCCTCTTACGTTTTCTTTAGTAAAGGTACGTTCACACCAACGGCGAATGCCACGCTTTAAATCGGCGAGCAAAGCGCCGTCATTTTTGTCATTTTTCTTCATACCAACGGCGCTTTGGTGGCGCTTTAAAGCGGCTTGTAAAGCGGCACCAACGCGTAACAAAGTTTGATTAAAGCGTCGGGGTCGTAATAGGTCGTAGAAAAGCTCAGAGTAAAACGGGATATTCGGCAAGAGCGCCAAAAAAGTTCAAACTCTTAAAAAATTTTGGGCGCCCTGTTACGAATCGATTAAGCGCCGAGAGCGTATCAAAGCTTAACAAACCGTAACAAAGCTCAGAAAAACTTGATCCAAAGCGTAGGAAAGCTTAACATAGCTCTAAAAGGTTCCTCACGCTTTGATCCCGCTTTGATCAGGCTTTGTTACGCTTGAAATCACGCTTTGAAAAGCTTTGATAAGCATTATTACGCTTTCAGTCAATATGGTACAACGAAAATGGGACTTCTGCGCATGTTAAAATTTTTCGTCAAAACTCAACTTTTGTTCAAGTTGATACGATTGTCTTTCGAACTAGAGACTTACCTCATTCGAAAGATCATAAAAGACTTTATCTATACTGAAAATCTTAGATCCAAACATAGTAGAATACGCCGTCAGTCCGCATTTAATTTTTTGAAGTGAGTTTCGTAGATCGTCAGATTTCTCCGACTGATATCGGGTTATCTCAAACTGGTTCGTTTATAAATACCAATTTCTTTACCGTTGTAAGGCGCATGCGCAAAATTAATTTATAAGCCTTATTGGTTGATGGTTTTTCTCCTGCGCATGCGTGAAGTCTGTTGAACAATTATGACGAAGACCGGAGCAAACATTACTAGCTCTTGAACGAAATTCCAAGATTCAGGTCATTTCGCCGTGTTTGCTAAGCGTGTATACGTGAATGACAAGCTGTTTTGAGTAGATCGGGTACCTGTTTTAGACACAACATTGATTTAGCTTGACATTGATGTGCACATTGGCACTTTTGAGCATGTTAATACAAGTTTTTACACGCTTAGCACGAGACGGGTTTTCGAAAAATCTGTTATCTGATTCACTCGATTATCGTATGGATATGCATTTCTGCTGACATTTCAACACCACATCACATAGAATTACGATGCAGAATGATAATAAAACACAAAACAACTACTAACTTCCACTTGTTATTTCACAGGAGGTAAAAATGCAAACTGCCTAGATTCTTTGTAAGGGTCGTCAGACATCGGATTGGCCGCCATATTTGAAATGAAAATATCACTAAATAGAGGTCTGCGCATGCCTCAACATTTCGACTGCTTTGATGCGATTATGACGCTTTAAATCAGGCTCTGATACGATTGCAAAACTCTGTTGTGCATTGTTACGCTCTGTTAAGCTCTGTCACGCATTGGAAAATGTCGAGATCGCCGATTCCATGCCGCTTTTGATCCAATGACAATATAAAGATGCAGTAGATCCATAAAACCATAGCATCTTTGACTCGAGAACACGATGGCAGAACAACGAGATCCAGAAATTCCAGATGGACCAGAGCATGACCTATCTGAAGAAGACATGATGTTTGTCGCACGGCGTGATATAGCGTGTGAAAACTTTCAAGCGTAACAAAGCCTAGCAAAGCGTTTCAATCCTTGATTAAAGCGTCTCAATTCGTTGGAAAGCTTGAGAGTCCCTCAGGAAAGTGTAACAAAGAGTGTCAGATATTGATGAAAGCGTCTGACCTCGTGTCAGATCTTCATGCCAGATCGTAGCAAATCTTGAGACATCTTAACGAACCGTGTCAAGTGGTAACAGACCGTGAATAGACTGGGGTCCCCGCTTTGAACCAAGCTGTGTTAAGCTTTCCTACGCTTTGAGTCAAGCTTTGTTGAGCTTTGTTACGGTTTGTTAAGCTTTGATACGCTCTCGGCGCTTCAATCAATTCGTAACAGAGCGCCCAAAATTTTTAAACAGTTTAACATTTTTTGGCGCTCTTGCCGAATATCCCGCTTTACTCCGAACTTTTCTACGACCTATTACAATCCCGACGCTTTAATCAAGCTTTGTTACGCTTTGGTGCCGCTTTACAATCCGCTTTAAAGCGCCATCAAAGCGCCGTTGGTGCGAACGCTTAAACAGTTTACATTTTTTAGCGCTCTTGCCGAATATCCCGCTTTACTCCCGAGCTTTTCTACGACCTATTACGACTCCGACGCTTTAATTAAGCTTTGTTACGCTTTGGTGCCGCTTTACAAGCCGCTTTAAAGCGCCATCAAAGCGCCGTTGGTGTGAACGTACCATTAATAATCATCAGTCATACGACGAGTTAAATAGCTATCAAGCGCTCAATTCGTCCTGACCCTCCAGGATTTATTGTACCTGGGAAGCGGATAAGTTTCATCCTTTGACAGATACATGTGCTTAACCCATCAACTCACCATTAGAATCTACTCTTATTTTCTACTTGATTGATACGGATGTATTGAAAGATGGTGACATGATCAATGCCATATTCACAGATTAGACTCTTGCAGACATAGATTTAGCATAACGAGAGATCGAAGGTGATGCCACCCTTCAGTTAAAGACAAATGATGTCGTTAAAGACTCAATATGACAACTAAAATTCCCAGGGGGTGTATTTATAAAAACAAATTTCTGCAAATGTGTTTGACTTTTGCCTTCAGGAATACAGAAAAAAGTATAGTTATGCTTTAAACCTAATGATGATTGAGCTTGAAGATTATCTTAAAAGGATGGGTCGTGGTTTCTTTTAATTACAAATTCCTTGGCTGATTTATGGTACAAGATGCCCCTAAGATCACCATGGGCCCAGACTGGTTGCGCAGATGGTCTGTTAATAAACTTGCAGTAAATTGAATATCATTTATTGTTATTTCATAACAAGATACAGTAAATTACAATAAGAATTCTACTGGATTAGTATCGAAGTATAGTTTCATTATCATGATAAATCAACACTGCAATTTAACAATAGTTTTACTCGCAATATTCCGTCATGACTTATTCCAAAACAACACCTAACAGGGCTGACCAATTGCTTCGCCTCGTTAGTTGATATTTCAATTGAGAAGCATAGGTAAGATGTTAAATCAAATTGGAAACAATACCCACAAAAATGTTGTTATTTTATGTTTTTTGAGAATAATCTTTCAACTCTGTTAAAATTACTTTTAAGGGCAAAAAGAATTTTCCAAAATATATGAGCAACGGTGTACATTCTCTGTTTATCCAATTGTTCAACGCTATCCACAATTTATAGAATATGTGATTACCTGAATTGTTTCTAAAATCGTTTCTTGCCTAACACGTTACACATTTTGACACATGCCCATGCGAAATTGATATGTAAAGGTATATTATATAATCCTCCTGAGTTCACCTGTGCATTTAGAAATCAAAAGCGATGAGGTAGTAAATTATGAGATAACAGCGTCGAAATCGTTCAACGTTGGAACAGTTTCACTAAATACTGAAAGGTTCTAAATAACATTTCCATTTTAGAGATATTGAACAAATATTTCACTCTATTGAGGTGAATACCTGTACATCTTTCACAAGTGATATTCCACGAAGCCCGAAGGGCAAGTGGAATATCACCTTGTGAAAGTGCTACAGGTATTCACCGAAAATAGAGTGAAATATTTGTTTTATTATATCACTGTCTAGCTAAACATCCCTAATATTATTAAGTCATTAAGTCTTCAGATATTTTTACGAATCTACTCGGTTCGTCTGCCATTTTGACTTAAACTGAACTAAATTATTTACACTGGACGAAAACAAATTCTTTGAAAATTCCCGGGAGCGTGGGATATCGCTAGATATCTCACGGTTGTCTTATCTGATTAGCATTGCCATTGAATATCGCCAGATATCCCACGACATGTGACCCGGTTTTGACCAATCATACTGTCGCTAGCTAGATAGTGATATAATAATGTTCCATATCATAGACTCATTGCATATCGATACGCGTATATCATAATCATTCATTTAGACGCATCAATGATTGTGTTACGTGTATGCCATATCAAAGGCCCTATTCAATGTTTGAAAATATTGTTAAATCATAATATTTATCATGACGAAAATTTTGAAAAATAAGGTGGTTGTCTTTCAATTCTCAAATATATTCCCACCATTTTAGCAGCAATAGTTTAAACATCATGAAATACAGGACTTAAACCAATGTAAAATATTTCATTTTCTACTCTCCTCAGGTAACGTCAAGTCTTATTTCAACCATTTAATTAAAATTGTATGCATACAAATACATTTGATTTAAAGTATTTTCAAAAATGCTTAACTTTCAAAATAAAGCAATTACAATTTCTCTATTAATTTTTAACCTTCTAAATTGCTTCATCAAAGAATAGTTGGGAGAATGTATACCCTTTGCATTCGTTCGACTTTGCTTCTCCAAAGAGAGCTTCGCCTTCGTTTATAATTAGACTCGGTGCACAGGGAGAGAGTGTGCGTTGCTGTGCATTAAGATCAAACTGAGCAACAACGTATCGTTTTACTTTTAATAACTTCATTTTTAAATGCCTCCAAAAACAACTTATTTAAATTCAAAAAAGGTTCACGTATCACTTTTTTGGTAATATTGGGTAACACTACGATATTAGCCAAAGTGCTTTAAGCTTTACATTGGGCCTTTAAATGTGAACTGGAATCGGACGATTTGGGAATAAAAATGTTTAACTCCCGTTTAAATACACGTACCTCTTAGCACATACACATAAAAATGCAAAATAAATGAGTCAAGATGATCTCAGAAAATACTTGCAAATATGTTTAGCTAACACAAACAATTTAACTAGTGACTTACCTTATCTTAAGTAACATGAAATATCCAATTCAATTTATCATCGCTCTTTTTATTTACTTTCGTCAGTCGAGTGTTTCGTGCTTATTGTAACTCACATATCGAATTACATACATTTCATATAAGTTTCATATTAATTATTTATTTATTGTCTGGCTGCAATTTATTGCGATCGTAGATCAAGAAAACCCCCAGTTTGTTTATACCGGATGATCAAAATGTCAGATAAATCACAGTTGCTGTATAATCGCGAACATGTTACATCATTAGTAGCCCCCACATATACTCATATATATTACAACATATTTATAGATGGATACATAATATGTACCACACACTGTGTGTATATTTAGAAATATTCCCAAGGCACGAAATACTAATTTGTTAATTATACATGTACATACATTCCTCTTACGTTTTGACTCGGTGCAACATCGGTGCTAATATGCCATTACCCAATCCGAGTACAGCAATGAGCACCAATTGCAATGAACATCAATTATGATGATTATTCTATTTTGCTTTAGTTTGATTGTGCCAATTAAGTTTGAATTAAGTTTGATTGTGACGATTGTGTTATTTGGATGAAGTTTGATTGTGACGATTGTGCTATTTTGATGAAGTTTGACTCAGATGATTGTGTTATTTGGCTGTGTTTGACTGTGACTATTGTGCTATTTGGCTGTGTTTGACTGTGGCGACTGTGCTATTTGGCTGTGTTTGATTGTGATGATTGTGTTATTTGGATGTAGTTTGACTGTGATGATTGTGTTATTTGGCTGTGTTTGATTGTGACGATTGTGTTATTTGGATGTAGTTTGACTGTGAAGATTGTGCTATTTGGCTGTGTTTGATTGTGACGATTGTGCTATTTGGCGGTGTTTGACTGTGGAGATTGTGCTATTGGGCTGTGTTTGACTGTGACGATTGTGCTATTTGGCTGTGTTTGATTGTGACGATTGTGCTATTTGGCTGTGTTTGATTGTGGCGATTGTGTTATTTGGATGTAGACTGACTATGATGATTGTGTTATTTGGCTGTAGTTTGATTGTCATTCTGTAACTTGATCAAAGTTTTTCTTTTATTTCTACAAACGTTTGTTCAGATTATTGTAGTTCAAACTATTTTAGAGATTAAAATGTAAACGTTTTGTCAAAATTGTGTTACTCTTAGGTTGCGTTTTTTAAACGGATGTCCACCTTAAACTCGCGTAGAAGAGAAGTCCAAACCATGGGCTGCCCATGTCCAAACTAAAAATTTCAAAAGCTAAATTAATTCGAATATATCTCAACAACTCCAAATGGAATTCATTTGCGCACGGTGATTATTCATACACGCTCACCAGTTTGATTTGCAATCATTATGAAAGTGTCATACCTTTGGTAATCAAAAATGGTGAATATTCGTATTCCCAGTACCTGAGACGAAGAATTTCAGATTCTACTGCTGTCCTCCTTAGATATGCATGTCGGATGATAGTTCATTAGGAAACAATTGCTAACAGCTTTTTCTATATCAAACATTCATCAAGGTAACAAATGACGAAATATATCCCCATTTAGGTATTAACACCCACGGTAATGCAGAAGCCTTCCTCTTTGTTGCTGACCTTTAACTTAGTATCTTACAAGAATTGGATGTCTCTAAGATTGCCTGGCTTTTATCATTAGCATCATACCTGTCCTTCCTACCTACTGAAAAATATTCTTTCATTTTGACGAGTAGTTCCTTAATTATTTTAGAATAAAAATTGACCTGGTCAGTGGTCACATGTTCTTTTTAAAAATACAATTTTTTGAAAGGGTTTTACGATCTTTATTTCCCTTCTTTTTATTTGTATATTATTCACATGTGTTGTGCGAACAATAGCTCTACAATGCATGTTTTTCTTCAATATTCTCACGGAGATACAATGAATACGTCAACGTCATATAATAGAAACAAGACATACGACGTGGTGAACAATATCGTACTTAAACATCAAACGTAGCCTTAAAAACTTATTTTATACCAAATAAACATCTCTGATTATTTCAATTGTGTAGACAATAAAAAATGAGACGTGACCACTCGCCCAAAGGAGTGGTATCGATATGGAGAACTGAATTCAACAATGTTTTTCTCTTAAACCAATCATTGAAAACATTCTGTAAAAACACGATATTTTATGTAATGTTGACTGATTGACAACAATTTAATGCGAAAATTATTTAGAAATATTTTATATAACTGTTTTTGTTAACATTTTTTTGTTTTTTAGTGCAATATTGAGAGACCTAAACATGTTGTGTTTAAGTCATTTTGTCCCAATGAGGTTCGAAAAGATGTTTCATTTCACTCTGGAAACATGATACCAAGAACAAAACAAGTGTTTGATGTGTTTTCTAAAGCAATATAGATGAAAGTATATAGTGTATATATATTTCAAATCATATTGTTACCATTCAAAAGATGACCATTTAATTGATGATGTGTTAAATTTTTCCATTTTTTATGACTGGTTTAAGAGAAACGTGTGTTCAAAAAGTTCTCCATATCGATACCACTCCTTTTAGGTACGATAAAAAGTATCTTGCAAGCCAATTACAGTGACGTAGCCAGGAAGAAAAAAGCGACGAGGCGAAAAATATTTCCAAACCTGGCCTCGCTTACCTGGCAACAAAAGAACATGATGATAACCCTTACGTAATGAAATTGTTCACAATTGAATCAAAAATTCATGATTTAAGATTAGAAATCAATAAAAGTTGTACAATTAATTTACAACTCGTGATCATTGCTCTAGAGGAATATTTCTCAAAGGGTGTTCAAAAGCCACCAGGCAAGCGCCTCGTTTGGTCTGCATTCTTGCTTGCTAGAGCCTCACATCAACAACACAGCATTTGCTTGTTTATCCTATCTTTGAAAGTTGACCAGCAGTTGCCTACTCAAAAACGCATTTAAGTTTGTTTATCCCAGTAATCTACTACAAAAATGTTTCTTTCAATTATGTTTGATCTGCTTTTGTTGATCCCCATTTCAGCATTTGTATTTATCTATTTATCGTGTTAATAACAGCAAGAGAAATGAGACAACGTCGTGTTGGATTAAAGTGCATCAATGAACTAATAACGAGCAAAGATGTGGATTCAAATTCGATTTGTCTCCCATTTAGTTTATTCATCCCGATTACAATTCAGTATATTTCTTTATCATTTACATCTTATTGTTATAGAGACTGAAGCAACGCTGATTATGTTGTTTTTGTTTCAGATCAAAAACATAATCTCCGAGTGAGTGACCGGTCAAAAAGGGGTATTAGTAGATAGAAAACTGAGGGCATCAGGCCGCCACGGGCCGCCACGGGCCCGGGGCTTTCAAAATCTCTGAAGATGAGCAGGAGATATAGATGAGCAGGAGATAAATTAATTGGATGGGGATTAGGAGATAAATTAATTGGATGGGGCTTTCATCTTAAATGTGTAAAAATGATAGATAAGATGCGCATGACATCATTGTTATCTTAAATGGGTGAGAAATGTATTTCTTGGACTGAATAGTAAAGTACAAAATAAATCCTTTTAATATTATTTTAAATTTGGTATAATCCATTAACAGTGTTTACAATTCTACTTTCAATATTAACCCAACATTGAAAAGAATCAATAATCCTATTGAGCTGGTCAAACAAATACTGTTCGCATAAAAGGAAAGAGAACTGGATTTTGGATTAAATATGTGTACAGATGAAAAGGTTTATTTATTTAAGTCCAATATTGAATTGACCGTTGAAAAGGTTTATTTATTTAAGTCCTATATTGAATTGACCATTTGATCTTACTATACTTGATTTCAACAATAATGGTCTTTTAATGTAATAATTGAATGTTGACATTTAATTGTGTCATCACAGTGTTAATCCTTCATATTCTAGAACATCTTTTGTTTACAGTATAATCCCCTTTTTCAAAAACAGATTATAGCGATGAGTCATTATTCTGGAAGGTTCCAGAAGTTTGACAGAAAAATCTATTGAATGTATCTTAAGAATATAAATAATCTTTCAACTTTCTAATCTGGAATGGTCAATAACAACAAGAACTACATTAATTCACGACATCAGTTTCTAAGAATATCACGACATCAGATGTTGATAAGAAGTTGATATTGATGCCACTTGACAATATATATTGAGTGAAATATTCAAATCTTTATCATTTCAATCCTCATACTTGATATATACACATCAACTAAAAACCATGAAACTAGTACCATATGTAGACAACCCAGAACACTGGTTGAAACTTATTCGAGCTGGGAGACAGAATAGATTGAAAGTATCTCAAACAGGAAGAGGGTGGATAGGCATAGATGACATTAAAGAAGATACTAAACCGGTATTAATCATATCACCCATGACTGCAGTTGTCGACAGAGCAAAGGCACAATTGAAACGTCAACATGAAGATATGAAACATGAAGAGTATAGACCATCTAAAGAGAAACAACAAAACTCTGTAAATATAAAGAAGAAACATCCATTTAAACAGAAAAAACAAAACACTTCGAATACAAGAAAGAAACGGACATTCTTATACAAACCACCTGGTATCCCAGCAAGGATGGACGATTAAAGTTATTTGTATATAATACTGAACGATATGAATAAAAATAAATAACTAAAGTTTCAAATGTTGTTGCTATTTACAGTCATTTACAAATGGTTTGAATATGTATGAGCATTAGTTAGCATTACCTCATTAGCATCTGTTAGCATTATCATTAGCATATGTTAGCATCTGTTAGCATTATCATTAGTATCTGTTAGCATTACCATTAGCATATGTTAGCATCTGTTACCATTACCATTAGCATATGTTAGCATCTGTTAGCATTACATCATTAGCATATGTTAGCATTATTTAGCATTAGTTTTACAAATGTTCACTGATGTTCACAAATGTTCACTGATGTTCACAAATGTTCAAAAATGTTCACTAGTATTGTTCACAAATGTTCACTGATGTTCACAAATGTTCAAAAATGTTCACTAGTATTGTTCACAAATGTTCACTGATGTTCACAAATGTTCACTAGTATTGTTCACAAATGTTCACTGATGTTCACAAATGTTCACTAGTATTGTTCACAAATGTTCACTGATGTTCACAAATGTTCACTAGTATTGTTCACAAATGTTCACTGATGTTCACTAGTATTGTTCACTGATGTTCACAAATGTTCACTGATGTTCACAAATGTTCAAAAATGTTCACTAGTATTGTTCACAAATGTTCACAAATGTTCACTAGTATTGTTCACAAATGTTCACTGATGTTCACAAATGTTCAAAAATGTTCACTAGTATTGTTCACAAATGTTCACTGATGTTCACAAATGTTCACTAGTATTGTTCACAAATGTTCACTGATGTTCACAAATGTTCACTAGTATTGTTCACAAATGTTCACTGATGTTCACAAATGTTCACTAGTATTGTTCACAAATGTTCACTGATGTTCACTAGTATTGTTCACTGATGTTCACAAATGTTCACTGATGTTCACAAATGTTCAAAAATGTTCACTAGTATTGTTCACAAATGTTCACAAATGTTCACTAGTATTGTTCACAAATGTTCACTGATGTTCACAAATGTTCAAAAATGTTCACTAGTATTGTTCACAAATGTTCACAAATGTTCACTAGTATTGTTCACAAATGTTCACTGATGTTCACTAGTATTGTTCACTGATGTTCACTGATGTTCACTAGTATTGTTCACTGATGTTCACAAATGTTCACAAATGTTCACTAGTATTGTTCACAAATGTTCACTAGTATTGTTCACTGATGTTCACAAATGTTCACTGATGTTCACAAATCCCCCTCCTCCTCCTTCTCCTCCTCATTCCCTCCTAATCCTCCTCCTCATTCCATCATCCTCATTCCCTCCTCCTCATCCCCTCCTCCTCCTCCTCATTCCCTGTGAACATTTGTGAACATCAGTGAACATTTGTGAACATCAGTGAACAATACTAGTGAACATTTGTGAACAATACTAGTGAACATTTGTGAACATTTGTGAACATCAGTGAACAATACTAGTGAACATCAGTGAACATCAGTGAACAATACTAGTGAACATCAGTGAACATTTGTGAACAATACTAGTGAACATTTGTGAACATTTGTGAACAATACTAGTGAACATTTTTGAACATTTGTGAACATCAGTGAACATTTGTGAACAATACTAGTGAACATTTGTGAACATTTGTGAACAATACTAGTGAACATTTTTGAACATTTGTGAACATCAGTGAACATTTGTGAACATCAGTGAACAATACTAGTGAACATCAGTGAACATTTGTGAACAATACTAGTGAACATTTGTGAACATCAGTGAACATTTGTGAACAATACTAGTGAACATTTGTGAACATCAGTGAACATTTGTGAACAATACTAGTGAACATTTGTGAACATCAGTGAACATTTGTGAACAATACTAGTGAACATTTTTGAACATTTGTGAACATCAGTGAACATTTGTGAACAATACTAGTGAACATTTGTGAACATTTGTGAACAATACTAGTGAACATTTTTGAACATTTGTGAACATCAGTGAACATTTGTGAACATCAGTGAACAATACTAGTGAACATCAGTGAACATTTGTGAACAATACTAGTGAACATTTGTGAACATCAGTGAACATTTGTGAACAATACTAGTGAACATTTGTGAACATCAGTGAACATTTGTGAACAATACTAGTGAACATTTGTGAACATCAGTGAACATTTGTGAACAATACTAGTGAACATTTTTGAACATTTGTGAACATCAGTGAACATTTGTGAACAATACTAGTGAACATTTTTGAACATTTGTGAACATCAGTGAACATTTGTGAACATCAGTGAACATTTGTAAAACTAATGCTAAATAATGCTAACATATGCTAATGATGTAATGCTAACAGATGCTAACATATGCTAATGGTAATGGTAACAGATGCTAACATATGCTAATGGTAATGCTAACAGATACTAATGATAATGCTAACAGATGCTAACATATGCTAATGATAATGCTAACAGATGCTAATGAGGTAATGCTAACTAATGCTCATACATATTCAAACCATTTGTAAATGACTGTAAATAGCAACAACATTTGAAACTTTAGTTATTTATTTTTATTCATATCGTTCAGTATTATATACAAATAACTTTAATCGTCCATCCTTGCTGGGATACCAGGTGGTTTGTATAAGAATGTCCGTTTCTTTCTTGTATTCGAAGTGTTTTGTTTTTTCTGTTTAAATGGATGTTTCTTCTTTATATTTACAGAGTTTTGTTGTTTCTCTTTAGATGGTCTATACTCTTCATGTTTCATATCTTCATGTTGACGTTTCAATTGTGCCTTTGCTCTGTCGACAACTGCAGTCATGGGTGATATGATTAATACCGGTTTAGTATCTTCTTTAATGTCATCTATGCCTATCCACCCTCTTCCTGTTTGAGATACTTTCAATCTATTCTGTCTCCCAGCTCGAATAAGTTTCAACCAGTGTTCTGGGTTGTCTACATATGGTACTAGTTTCATGGTTTTTAGTTGATGTGTATATATCAAGTATGAGGATTGAAATGATAAAGATTTGAATATTTCACTCAATATATATTGTCAAGTGGCATCAATATCAACTTCTTATCAACATCTGATGTCGTGATATTCTTAGAAACTGATGTCGTGAATTAATGTAGTTCTTGTTGTTATTGACCATTCCAGATTAGAAAGTTGAAAGATTATTTATATTCTTAAGATACATTCAATAGATTTTTCTGTCAAACTTCTGGAACCTTCCAGAATAATGACTCATCGCTATAATCTGTTTTTGAAAAAGGGGATTATACTGTAAACAAAAGATGTTCTAGAATATGAAGGATTAACACTGTGATGACACAATTAAATGTCAACATTCAATTATTACATTAAAAGACCATTATTGTTGAAATCAAGTATAGTAAGATCAAATGGTCAATTCAATATAGGACTTAAATAAATAAACCTTTTCAACGGTCAATTCAATATTGGACTTAAATAAATAAACCTTTTCATCTGTACACATATTTAATCCAAAATCCAGTTCTCTTTCCTTTTATGCGAACAGTATTTGTTTGACCAGCTCAATAGGATTATTGATTCTTTTCAATGTTGGGTTAATATTGAAAGTAGAATTGTAAACACTGTTAATGGATTATACCAAATTTAAAATAATATTAAAAGGATTTATTTTGTACTTTACTATTCAGTCCAAGAAATACATTTCTCACCCATTTAAGATAACAATGATGTCATGCGCATCTTATCTATCATTTTTACACATTTAAGATGAAAGCCCCATCCAATTAATTTATCTCCTAATCCCCATCCAATTAATTTATCTCCTGCTCATCTATATCTCCTGCTCATCTTCAGAGATTTTGAAAGCCCCGGGCCCGTGGCGGCCCGTGGCGGCCTGATGCCCTCAGTTTTCTATCTACTGGTATTCTAGGCTTCCCATTCAGTGGGATAAATATTTCGTAGATCAATTGTATAGGGTTTCTTTAATTGAAGCATCAAATGGGCACATCCAGAAACAAATGAGCAAGACAAGGAGAAATACCCCAAAATGCTGCACCATATATCAATCTACAGAAACAGCTTGACCTTGAACTTCCATCGGATGACGTCTTTGGACAAGATTGTCTTAGGAGGCAATTATGAAATGCTATCATTCTGGATCAGCAAAGCAATGTCATTGAATGGCCAAACACAATAAATGAGAGGCCTATCCTCAAACAATTAACCGAATTTTTCGATAAGTGTTCAACGTTCGCAATATAAAATTGCAATTTTCAGTTGAGTATTTTGACACTACTTTTATTCAATGTAACTTTGTATAGGTTATTGTGTTTACTGTATAGTAACATTTAAAATTGTTAGGGAGGACCTAAGCTTCAATAGCAGCATTGTTGAACTCCCTTTGTAGTTTCATATATTTATTTGATAAAAATTGTAATCTCTCACGATATCAAACGTTGATCAAATTTTGAAATGATAAATATGCACTGATGAAAGAAAAACATCATATTAGTAAAATCAAAAGTATTTTCTTTTACTTTTTATTTTGTTCTTTATATGTGTATAATCATGTATAAAGTGATGGAATTATACAATTTACTTCAAATGTTATTTGACTTTTTGTCACGGTGGCCATGAGTTTGAAATCGATTGCTGAATTTATTCGATGATTCGGTTTTCCTTCGAAAGAATGGGAGTATTTTGTTCAAAATTGCAAATCGGTTTTGAACAAATTACTCATCGGCCGGGGCGCCGGTCTTGAAGATCGGAGCAAATGTGACCACGTTATAAATAAAGCTCTCTTTCCGAGATGTGATATCAACTTCAAGGTCAACACTGCACCCTTTCCGCTCTGAATTCGAACCTTCACGTTCATGTAGACCGAAATTGGACGATGGACTGGGATAATACACATTAACAACTCAATCTCCAGGGTTCTTCCACAGAAGAATTATGGATCAGACAAAAAGAAACATGAAATAATTCAAACTATTTATAAGCGAATTGTTTACGTAATGATGCTCGATGAATACCCCGTGAATCATTAAGGGAAATGTATTGCAAAGAAGAACAGTATCTCATAATGAGCATTTGAAATTACTAATCGTGAAATATCGCCCAGTAACCATCTACTTTATTTGTTTGCCTTCCAGACGTATTCTTCTTAATTCCAACACTAAACCACAAATAACCACGAGGAATATTGCGATTGAAGAACGCAACAAATAGTCATAAACAAACCGTTGATAAATGACCAGCAACATTCATAGTTCCCTCTAGCTTTCAAATTGCAATAATTCACTCAGGAAATTTGAGGTATTTTCAACCTTTCCTCAGTGAACAAGATTTGTGTGACCCAAAACTTAAAACGTTTCATCAGAGTAACTTTGCTAACCGATCATGCCATATATCAAAATTAGATTGAAGATATGACGGATAAATATGACTCAATTAACCCTAGAGATCAAATTCAAATGAATAATGTGTGCGAATGATTGAACTAACTAAATTTATTAGCATGTCTAAGTTTACTAACTTCGCATTTCCATTTACTTTGAACACAAAGGCATAAAAGTGTTCCATGAATATTAGAATACAAACGAATGAAGCAGAGTTTGATAAACGAGCGTCGGGGGAGACATCAATAAGAATCCGTAAATAAAAATATATCTTAAGTTGTGGTCATGTGGTCAATCACGAGGAACTTTTTCTAAAGTGAGTTCAACTGGTCAAAGCAGATTGAGAAGGCATAGTGGTGTTGGTTGTGCTTCAAATCTTTGGTTCCCGTTATGGACTTCCTCCAATTGTTACGTGTAATAATGTAACGAATAATAATATTCCATGTACGGCAGTTTTTTAGCAACATTAGGCATTTGACTTCAAAATGGCCGACAGGAAGTATTTATCGAGTCGAATTTTTTTTCAACCTCCTGCTCTCAAAAGTTATACCTGAAAATTTAAAATGATATCTGCATTTTTGGAGAACACTTCTGCCAGATGTACGAACAGATATACGGACGCGCCTAGGCCGACCAGACAATGTGGTGGGGGCGTAAAAACGAAGTCGGTAACTTTCTCAAAAGCGTTTGATAATATACCCCACCGCCACCTATTTTATAAAATGATGACTACAGGTATCCATGGTAACGTGTTAAAACTATATCAATCGATGTACAGTAAACTTCAATGCTGTGTTAAATGCGAGATAAATGCAAATATAGAGCAAGATATCCATACTATTAAACATGTAAAAGGAATTACAAATTTTTTTCCATGTACAAAGGGTATATTTCAAGGAGATTCACTCAGCCCAACGTGGTTCATTATGTATGTAAACTCATTTTTTAACATGCTGAGGGAACAAAACTGCCAAGGAATCCATATTGTAGAAGGTTCCCCTAATATAATGGCATTGTGTTATGTGGATGACTTAAATTGTATAGGTAACACTGTACCAAATGTGCAAAAACAACTTGATACCTTAGGTAGCTTTTCACGTAAATGGGGAATGAAAGTAAATTTATCGAAAACAAATGTGATGGTGTTCAGGAATGGTGGTCCCCTCAGGCAAAATGAAAAATTTTATTTCGAAGGAGCAGAGATAGAACAAATATCATATTATAAGTATCTAGGTATACTATTTTCCACAAGACTCTCCTGGTCTCCAGCTAAAAGTCAGCTTGCTTCACAAGCAAAGAAATCTATTATTTTACTCAAACAACTTAACCAAAAGTGTGGAAGAATACCACTTAAACTTATGTTCTCTCTGTTTGATGCCATGGTAACACCCATCTTGTGCTATGGTTCAGAGATGTGGGGATATGAATGGTGTAATGTAATTGAATGTACACAAGCTCAATTTTGTAAATATTATATAGGTGTGGGACCACAATCAAATGATGCAGCAGCATTAGGCGAATGTGGCAGACTTCCACTTTGTACCACTTATATGCTTAAAACCATAAAATACTGGATAAAATTAACAGAAATGCCTAATCATAGACATCCTAAATCATGCTATACAATGCTTTATCAACTAGATCAATCGGGAAAAACAACTTGGGCATCAAAAATCAAATATTTGCTTTTTTCACTGGGATTTGGACATGCATGGTTTGAGCAAAGTGTAGGGAACCAATTATATTTTATTTTTATATTTAAGCAAAGACTTCAGGATATGTACAGCCAAGCTTGGCTAGGGAAACTCAGGGAAAGCCCCAAATTATATACATATATGCAATTTAAAAATATTTTAGAGCCTGAATTTTATTTATTATGTAATTTAGAATATAGATGTATTAAAGCTCTAGCAAAATTTAGAGTTTCGAACCACTGTTTTGAAATTGAAACGGGAAGACACCGTAATATTGTAAGAGACAATAGAATGTGTAAATATTGTACCATAATAATAGAGGATGAGTACCATGTAATGTGTAAGTGTCCTAGATACCATAATATTAGACTAAGTCTTGACATTACCTTTGTAGAAAACTATAGCACAGATCAATTCATCCAATTGATGAAAACAAAAAATGCTATCCTCCTAAAGAAGTTATCACTATTAATTATTGAAGCAACCAATATTAAACTATTGTAAACATACTATGTACACAATGGGCCAGAGGCCTTATATGAAATAAAATCTTATTATTATTATATTATAATTATAAAGATATTTATTTCTTAAAATCAGTTATTAAACTTTCCAGAGTGTGCAAAAATTAAAAAATCATGTTGTTCAGATAATACTGTCTTTTATTGCCCTAATCTCTTATTTCCTAACATAGGGATGAAAATGTTTTCTAACTCTAAAAGTAAAAACGAACGGGCGGGTAAACAACCACCTTAAGCATTGAATGGACAGCCGGTCGGGGGACCCAGTCCATTGTTTCTTCGGAACTGGTGAAGTCGATGTATTAACGGATAATGATAGCTTTTAATTTATCAACACCTGAACATATCAACTCTACAATTTCCATTCAAGTTCTAGAGAATACAAAACATAACACATTTGCCTTTATATTCTATATCCTTTGTCTATTACAATTGTTGTGTAAAAATAAGGTCGTCAAGACTATTCCTTCGTGTCACGTTCGCGTTTTGTACCCTTTCCGATAATTAGATTCGTTCTTTAAAAGAGGGCTTCGTCTACACCGAATGTACTATAGCTCTGAAAATCAAGGGTTTGGGTACAAAAACCAGTACACAAATTCAACATTCTACATAGAGAAAGTTTAAACAACATGACATATTAGTCTTCTTACAACTTCTTCCTATCGTATTGCTAGTTTGACAACAGAAACATATGCCGACTATCAATATGATAGGGAGCAATGAACTCCTATAACCTCTCATATTCCCTTGGACACCTAGGTGCTTATTCAATATATTGAATTATTGTTACTATGTAAAACTAATTATTCATATGTGCGATCAGAATCATGAATCTTTAATCTCTGGGTACTTGATCCAAATAAAGAAACATTAAAGACATTATCCTATTGGATCTAGCTTTCTTGGGGGCATATTCTTTCACAGTGAAATGATTTATTATGCCCTTGGAGCTATAATCTTTTCAAATTGGGACTATGGTCTTTTTCAAACATACTCCACTTCTGCGAAGAGCCCGGCCTTTTGTAAAAGGGCACAGTACGCCTGTCTGCTATTCTTCAATTCTCTCCCCTCTCTTCGGGTTTGGATTGCTAATTGCAAGACATATAGATGTGATGAGTATCAGAATGTTGTCAAAGAATACTACCCGATGATTTTAATTAAATACTTTGAGGAAACGTCGATCAATAATCAATATGATAATTGAATCTTCGCTCATCAATTAAATGGCTAATTAGATTGCATATAAACGGAAAGTGCTATGAGTAAGACATGGGCTATGTACACACATGTAGTGGCGTTTGTTGCATAAGATCAAAAATCGGATTATCGTGCACTTAGTCAGACAATTCCAATATTTGGTTTCGAACCGTCTTGGTTTAAAGCCAAGGAGACAATTATTTTCTTTATCAGCAAATACCACGGGGACAAGCCAGGCCCCGCTGAGATCGCGGGCAATGAGCTCATGCTAGAAGCGGGGCCTTGAGAAATATGATAAATATTGAAATATAAATTTTCTACGAAACGTTGGTAAGTGAATTTCAGCACAACTTTATTTCATAGTACAAAGGCTATTTTAGTTACAGGGCAAGGACGTACTTCAACTACAACTATATTTTACCATTTCTCTCAAGGCCCCGCTTAACATGCGCACATTGCTCGCGATGTCAGCGGGAACTTTCTCGAGATACACGGGGTCTGGATAGTCAACGTGAAATACCGACGTTGATGATGAATCCTTACACTGGGAACTTTAGATTCGGCTTTATAATTGTGTTGCTCCAAGTTTCAACCACCCCCCCCCCCCCTATGTTAATACGTTTCCACCACTTTGCTTGTGTACAGGTTTTAGTGTGAGGGAGGGTCACAAGGGCTTGTACCAAGACCAGGTTAATAAGTGTATTTGAGCATATTACGTGTTATCCCCGAAAAAATATATTGGCATTTTGATTAGGAACTTGATATGTAATGATAGTCATAAATTGAGAGAAATAGAATCAATGGGGCGAGCTCAAAAAAGTCAAGTAATGGGCTATTTACAATTAATTACGCTCATTGTAAAATCGTTCTTTACCATTCCTTCTAAACTGTGTCAATAAATACATTGTCTTAGATTCAACATGCAGAAAATAATGTTAACTTTAGGAAACATATTACCACAAGATCAAGTTAAACCGATCAAATTGCGATAAGGTTGAAGAGGTTGCTTGCTCTCTGCCTCTGATTGTGCTTTTTATTAAGTTATTTTAATATCATCAAAACAAAGCCAAAACAGAGACATATAACAATTGTAATGTTCAAAATTCAACATCACATATAATGCTTTCCTGAGGCAATAACAAAAAATAATGATAAGCTCTCTTTAAATATTGTAAACGAAATTAAACTATGAAAAAGATATTCTGATTTATCAGAGTCTCTCTTTTTCTATAACTTGAGAGAGGGGTAGGGACTATGGGCCCCACGATGTGAAAAAGGGTACTGGCAAACGTAACCCAGTGATTTACCGGACTATGGATCATAACACTGAAAAGCTTAATAGAGATGAAAGCATGATGCGATAGTGCTATACACGGATATTATAACTTGAATATGATTTTAATGTCATATGGATGTCAAAATAAAACACGACATCAGTTTAACACGAAATGTCTTTATGGGAATAAATTGACTGTATCCTAATTGAATTGGACAAGATGTTTCGGGGTTACGATGTTGTAACAATGACCCTTGACATATAGAGAATCTTTCGTTTATCTATGCTAATATATTGAGTTTTGCCTAAAAGGCTTGTCAATCAGGTACTGATCGATGGTAAACGCTTGTTCCAGAGAGCACCATGAACCTGTCAAATAAGCCGATTGCTACAGAACAATTTTTAAAATATCTTTTTAATAATGCAACATCTGCTATTTTGTCAGATTAATATTGTAGACCTTGTCAAAAATGGGTTAGAGCCGAGCCATTAAAAGATGCGATGTCAAAGATAAAAACAACTTGACATATAAAAAATGTATACACGCGAACTTTGCAAAAAACATATGTTATTCAATTTAGGCGTTTCACCCCACTTACCATGCTGTTCGACAAGCGAGGTTTTGTAATTTTATTGTATTGTAATTGTAATGTATTGTATTGTATTGTATTGTTTGTTTAATAGAATATAATTACATATAGTAATGTTTCATTTCTCATTCTGATAAAGTCATTGTTTTACTTGCAACATGCAGGGCAGCATAGATTGTTCACCCACAGGAGAATTCTTAATAAAGAAAAGTACAAAAGCAAAAGAGGCTGTGGTCTGATAGATCAGAATGTGTTCTAGCTCTGGCACTTTTTATCTCATCTCTGTTGTATTGTGGTCGTTTCCTTTTTATCTGAATTTACCTGGTAACATTTTATGATATTGCGTTATTATATATTGATAGCTATAGCTAGCCCATAATAAATACGAAATATCTCAAAAGCCTAGAATTTGGGTCCCTGGATCAGAAACGAGATATAAAATAAGAAATGAGACATGGTTTACCATGATGAATATTTCTGATACAGGTATAAACTGATAGAGAACAATGCAACATCGTACTTACCGACAGGTTGTGTTCCTTCTTGGATCCATGTATGGTTAAAACATTTACTTCGTGCAAAATGGTCACCTCGAGTTCATAAATGGTCAAACTTGCGTTCATATGGACGCAGATCCCTCTTATCCCATATGCGATTTATTGTATACTTACAGGGAATTATCAAAATTGAAAGCAATCTCGCAGCGCCATTTATTCTGAATCAAAGCAACATGCATAAGATTACGCGCTAAAGACTATAAGAGAATGTGTAGTTTAACTTTAAGCCCAGAAACTCAAGCAATAGGAATCATAGTGCTATTTCTATGTTATAGCAGAACAATTGATCTCTGGAAATCTAATTACTACTGAATGGCATTATTGCATCAAACCGTAATTTACGTTAATAAGGATAAACAACGAGACCTACAAGTAAGAATGCAAAATGCACGCGATTGGGGCTTATTTCTTTTGGCTTCTTAAAACAAATTGTTTATATCAATTTCAGTTGTGATTGCGTATGTTTAAAGGCTTTTGAGATTGTTTAGGTATTCATCGCCTTTTATCACAACATTATTATTGTGAGTTGAAACAGCATAACCGCATATACAGCCAAACGTATTTGTCAAATTAATATAATGACATTTGTTGAAGAAGTCCATGCTACCCTGGGCAATCTCTGTACCTACTCTTAAACATAATGACTTAACACCTTTAAAACACTTTATGTTTTGGTGATATACTGATAGATTGATCGTTCATTACAAGACGATATACAAGATAGAATATAATCATCTTATACAAGGTTTGGAGCTTGGAATTCGAATATCGATAACCTGGGAGCATTACACTATACAAGTGCCACAGTGAGTGCACTAACTGAAAGTACAAATACCCATGCTTGATTTACCTCTATCGATCACATTTCAATTCCCTCTGAAATCATCTTCTCTTTCGTTGTTCAGTTCAAGAGAGTCTAGCGATGTACGGTGAACTGTTTCACTGGTTGCGTCACTTTCATCTCTCCATTTCTCATCTTCAATCATCTGATCATTGCGTTGTTCTTCCGCTATTTAGATAAATACTCCGATGGGTTCATCTTATATGATTTATTACTCGTTCATATGAAAGAATCAATCGTCAAAATGCCACCATTAGCTATTGCATTATCCAAAGAGTATGTTTGTTATAAAATTGCATTATTTTTAAAGGTCAAATCCATATCACCACCTTCTCAACTTAAAAGAAATGTCCCCGAGCATGCGAGACTCTAGTTACCTTAATAACAGAATACTTCTAAATCACACACACAAAATACCACGCCTGACATGATTTATTTTTTGGTTTATTTTCTTGGTTGTTTTGAGAAGATATCGAATCTCTTAAACGATTGCATGTCCCTGTTAAGCCCTATTTTACTATATAGTTTTAATAGTAACTGTCACGATTTTGAATAATTACAACATCAAAATACCTAAAAAGTTATTTGACTCTAAAGCTTTTGAGACTGAGTTTACCTTAGCAACCATTTAGCATTTTGTGATTCACTAGTGTGAAATACAATATTTGAGCAAATTAATGTGTTCTTTTAACTTTTGTTTATTTTTTAGAGAATTAGTCATTCAAAAAGTTCTACAAATTGTGCTATAATGTTGATAAATGCAATAAATACAAGTTTATCAGAACAACTTGACATTAAAAAAAACTATTCGGTGATCAATTGGGACTTGATACAGACAGCACGATCACATTTTGGGGCATCCCAACTCATGAACGTGGCAAGAAACTCACTCTGGGAATTAAAACAGTACGATACTGGTGTAAATAGCTTATTTAATAACAGCTAGCGAAAGAATGTGTATTTTATTTGGAGAAAAAATGTGGTATCGATGGAACAGAATACCAAATTGAATGTCTGTTTAGTTTACATTTAATAGGAAATGTGAAGAGTTGCGTAATCCACTTTTTATAAAGTGATGCGGTAATGACGTCGAAAACACGAGGAGGCAATCTGATTCGAGAGAGAGACCGTCATTTCTTACTGGGTATTGTTTAAATAACAATTTTTGAAGATTTGAGTCGGATGTAATATAGTAACATCTGTACCTTAATGTTTTGTCAAATACGAAAAAGTTGAATACATGTTCATTTCTATTGTATTACAGTTAGCGTTAGCTCGATGGTGCTTTAATATGCATGTAGGTCTACCCCCAGTCCTGGGTACAGTCGGAAGCAAAAATATAACCCAAACAACATATTTAGTATGTTTATTTCCAAGATGCTTAATTATAGTAATTATAGATTTCGTGCGGCATTAATCAAGTTTAATCAACAAAATCATCCCATTTCCTGCTAACTTGGTTTAGAGTTGCAAAATCAAATATTTATATTGAAATCAGTATAGGCAACATGCAACGGTAACATTGTCTAAGACTGACAAGCAAATGTGAAAAACGATAGTTACTCATGATAGCTTTGGGTAAAATCTTCATAGCTATACAGAGTGAGCCAATTTCATTTTCAATTAAAAGTTGCAAGAAAGATTTACACGTTACTTATAAATCGAAATATTGCGAAACTAAATCATTTTGTTATTTAAGTTTCAATCTATAAAAGGATGTCAGAAAAATAGTTTTCTGTAAGATTTGGCGATGCCTCGCCTTTCTTGTACCATACCGAGCAAAGTCACTATTGAAATAGTACAAAATGAATGAGCAGAAACAACCATTACAAAGTCACGTGTTGGCATCCAACAAAATGGGTAAGTTACCATTCTGATTCACCAGAGCCCCTTTTTACCTAGCTAACGCTTTGGAGAGATCTGAATTCGTGGTTCCAATGGATAGTACAGACTTTTAGGGTCCTATAATGGCAAGCTACACGATCCAGAATATCGTTTCAAAGGTTAGAAAATGCTCCCGCTGCCTGGGGTTGGAGGAAGTGAATACTAAATGTATTTAATATTTATTTAATGTTACCTCATCACCTATCTATCAAAATGAATGAATGCCCAAGCAGATGAAGTGCTACTTTCTTTAACAAACTCCGTCGAGTGAATCATTCATTTCCTATATTGTTCCATTGAAAAAGTGTAATTACTTTGACATGAAATATTTCACAATTGCATAATATACGATATTACGATGACATCGTTCATTACCACACTTAACTGATCCATGTCATCTGAATAATAATGTTGTTACGTTGAGACCGCATATATTACACTGGTGATCCGCTCGATTGGCGTTTCGGTAACAAAATGTCGGAACCTCGAATGTGCGATTATTTTTTTCTTCTTCCGCGCGTTGTAGGCAAAATTCCTGTGATATTTCTATGTGTCATGTGTCAGTATCATATGTCTATAGCTAGGAAAATGTTTATGTTTGCGAACAAATAGTTCACGAGACCACAGAATCGTTGATTTACTGAATACCTCACTACGTAAACGGAACTTCAGAAACGGTTATACCTTCGAGGTTCCGACATTTTGTTACCGAAACGAACAACCAGCGTAATCGAGTGAATCGCCGGTGATATTAGTAGAAGCGAAATAATCTAACTTTGCCAAATGCACTTTATAAATTGCACCTCCTTTTTTAATAAGGCAAATCATACCCGCCTGAGCCAAAAATACACCAATATAAATGAAACTCTTTCAAAAACTTCAAAATTGATCAGAAAATTCAAAACCTTCAAAAATACTCCAAACATTACTGATATTGTTTACTGGGAAAAGCATTGAATTCAACAGGATAAAACATCTGTACCAAATTATGATGGTGCAAATAACAGGTCATTTTGATGTTTATTTTTGATTGGGTTATGCTAGACGAGCAATTCTAAAACATATACAGTGAAACCTGTCTTAGTGAACACCTCTCTCTAGTGAACACCTGTGTTTAGCAAGTTAACACCACTTCAAGACACGTTTTGCATGGATACTTGTATAAAATCCCCTCTCTGTAGTGAACACCTATCTACAATGAACACTTTGTGTTCACTTTATACAGGTGATTACTGTAATATCAAATAAAACAAAAGACAAATGTGTAAGTCCTGATAAGGGTCACACTTTTCTATATTCATTCAATACAGATAAACATGGCTGTACAATACACTACAAGACATTTAAATACAGTAAATTCTACAATACACAAAAATACAATCTCAATTAATCAAATGCACCAAATCGTATTGCACAATTTTTAATTTCACAAGAGATCTCGCCAGTGAAATTGTAATTTCACGAGCGAGATCATAAGTTAGAACTTACAATGCTATTGGTCAAGGTGAACAGCCTTTTTACGTATGAATGAATTCAAATTAATGAGCTACGTAATGCAGTAAACCTCGGCCTTATTCCTGGCTGTCGGACACACACTAACAGTTTGGTATGATGTAAATTAAATAACGCATCCTTAATATTAACCATGGTATATTTAAATCCTTGTGAGTTACAAATATGCGGAATTCTTACTCAATTCAGTGATCTCATTACTTGTGAGACCAAATTTCCACTATTGTTGAAGAAAAATTCCTCCATAATAAATCATAGTCATTATTGCTTATTGTTCTCATGACTTTGAGACAACATTCACTTAATATGAAGATTACTCCAGTAAGATAAACTTGTGATCTCACTTCTTGTGAGTCAAACATTCACTGCTTGTGAAGAAATTAAAATAGTCAGCAACTGACGGTTCTGATAATTCAAATAAAACTGTCCTCTCACTTCGTGTGGGGTCTAAGTTAATTCTCCACTGAGTGAAGTAATATACTAAGTCTTCTTATCCTAATAACTGCGTGATTAGTAAGTCTAAGTGAAACATATTAGTTCCATTAGTGTCATTGAAGAAAATGTTCTTCGAATCTCCTCGATCCTCGGAAGACAACTCCACAACTGGTCCAACACCTACTCTTCAGGTCCTGGAAATATATAATGAACAAATTAAATATTAATTTAACAGGGAGGGTGAGGAGGGAGTGATGTAAGTTCTAACTTATGATCTCGCTCGTGAAATTACAATTTCACTGGCGAGATCTCTTGTGAAATTAAAAATTTCACACTCACTCGCTCATAAGTTAGAACTTACAATGCTAGTTTAAAGTATATTACCTTAATATTTAATTCAGTACTAGTTCTGAGAAAGATGCTGTTTGTCTTTTATAGAATTTGAAAAATGTTTTTGCATTTGACCAGTTAGCCACCTTAATGACTTGACTGGTGGAGAAACCACAACTACTGGCCTTCGATGTTGCTGCAGACCTGGTTGAATGGGCTTTGTATTTTGAGACATCAATACCTGCCTCAGCCATGATGCATTTTATCCAGTTAGCTATTGTACATGGTAAAACTGGATTATGAGGTTTGGTAATAGAAAGGAAAAGTTTACCTTTCTGTTGCTCGGATTTCCTGAATGAGACAGTGGCATTCAAATATGCCCTGATGCATGTTAAAACATCAATTTTGGAATTGTGGGAAAATTCTTGAAAACTCAGAATGTTCTGTGGATCAGAAGGTGTAGATGTCTTACCTGTTCCATCTAGATAAAAAACAATTTCCACACCTTTATCTGACATTTTTGAAGGGTTAATTCTGTGTAGTTCAGAGCCTCTACATGCACTACTCAGCGCCATAAGGATGGCAAGTTTATGAGATAAATCTTTCCTAGTAAGTGAGCTATTCTCTCCAAGGGTTTTGATGTGACGGAGAATAATATCAACGTCCCAAGTGTCTTCATATCTTGGTAATGGAGGCCTGGAGTTGAACATGCCTTTGAGCAGATTACAAATAATAGGATGTTGTCCTACCTTAGCACCATCTATGGGGGGATGATATGCTGAAATTGCAGATCTGAAAATATTCAAAGTAGAATATTCCTTACCTTCTGAAAACATGTGTGATAGAAAGTCTGCTATAGTGGCCACAGATGACTGAAATGGATCAATCGATTTTCCCTCACACCAGCTAACCCACTTTTCCCAGGGCCCATTGTAAGCTTTTGATGTACCCTTTTTTCTGGATTTGAGTAACAAATCGGTAGATTTTTCAGAAAACCCTTTTGCAGAGTAATGTTCCCTGAGACTCTCCATGCCGCTAGAGTGAGGTTGTTCTCGAGAATTAGAGGATGTGGTTGACTTTCTGGGGATGTTAACAGATTTGGAAATGATGGAAGGAGAATTGGATTTTCTATTGAAAGTTCCAGTAGCAGAGGCCACCATGGCTGTGTGTGCCAAGTTGGTGTTATCAAAATCATTTCCGCTTTTTCCCTCCGAATCTTTGAGATTACACGATTGATAAGGCAGAACGGTGGAAAGCTGTAATGCAACTTCTCTTTCCAGCTGATTGTAAACGCGTCTGTTGCAATCGCATGTGGATCTGGTTTCCAACTGACATAATGCTTTGTCTTTGCATTCAGTCGATTGGAGAACAGGTCCATTTGCACATTCCCCCAAATTTTTTGAATTTGATTGAATATTTGATTGTTCAGAGACCAGTCTGAAGCGTCCTTGAACAATCTGGAGGCTTGATCTGCCAGAGTGTTCATTTTCCCCGGTAGAAATTCGGCAGTAAGAGTGATCTTTTTTGATATGCAAAAGTTGAATATCTCTTTCGTGAGATTGACAAGGTTCACTGAGTGAGTTCCCCCCATTTTGTTTATGTGAGTCATGGTTGAAACATTGTCTGTTCGAACATGAACATGGATGCATTGCAGATTCTTTGTGAATACATTGAGTGCAAATAGAACTGCTTTCAATTCTAGGTAATTGATGTGATTTTCCCTCTCTTGAGGGCTCCATTTCCCCTGGATGGTTTCTCCCTGACATTCCGCCCCCCAACCTGTTTTGCTGCTGTCTGTTGATATTATGAGATTTGGTTCTGGGATTTTTATTGGTTTTGAGTTGTAATTGTCTATTTCTGAAACCCACCAAAGAAGTTCTCTTTTTATTTCTGGCGTTACAATCATTTTGGTTGCATAAGAGAGATTTCCTTTTATTAGGGCTTTTGTCTTTGACATTTGTAAGTGACGGTAGTGAAGGGGGGCCGGAAGGACTCCCGTTGCCGATGCCGATAATTTTCCGATTATGCTGGCTAGATCTCTTACAGACGTTTCTTTTAGACTTGCCATATGTTGACATTTTTCCTTTATTGCATTGACTTTCCCTTGTGGGAGTTTTAGTTCCATTGTTTCTGAATTTATGAGAAACCCCAGATATTCGATCTGTTTTGACGGGACTAGAATTGATTTTTCCCAGTTTATTAGAAACCCTAGGTGGGTCAAGAGGAAAATTGCTGTGTGTAGATGGCAAAGAAGAGTCTCTGGATTGTCGTTTATGATCAATATGTCGTCGAGAAATATAATTAGTTTGATCCCGATCTTTCTTAGGATTGCCATTGGTACTTTCAATAACTTGGTGAACACCCTCGGGGCAGATCCCAGTCCGAATGGCAGACAAGTCATTTGGTATAGATTGTTTTTGATCTGAAATCGGAGGAATTTCCGATGCTGCGCTGCGATGGGAATCACAAAATAAGCATCGCGCATGTCGAGCTTCAAGAAGAAATCCTCTTTTTGAATCAATTCTTTTAGCATTGGAAGCGTTTCCATTTTGAAATGTTTGTAAGTCACAAATGCATTTAGCGGTTTTAGATTTAGGACGGGTCTCATTGATCCGTCTTTCTTCTCCCTGAGAAATATATGACTCAGAAATTGAGCTTGATTTGGAAAATCTACCTTTTCGATTGCATTTTTTTCCAGTAAAGTGTATACCTCCTTTTCTATTTCTGGACTCAGCTTTGTCATATTGACATTTTGCCTTTGTACTGGTGTTTCTGAAAACTCCAGATGATAACCCGAGACGATGCCTAGAATTTCGAGATCGCTTGTTATTTTTTCCCAATTTGTTTGAAACAAAGCTAGCCTTCCCCCTACTGGGATTGGGTGATTTGGTATTGGAAACATGTTTAATTGTTTCACCAATAGATGTACCTTTTTTGTATCGAGCTCCCATGGTTGGATTTGAACTAATACTTCTTTTTGATTTTGTGAAGAAGAAATGCACATACCTTTGTTTGGCATTGGTTCCTTGTCCACCAGTGTTGGTAGAATTTCTGCGTCCTCTGTTTGAGGAGCCATATGCTGTACTTCTGTTTCCTTTGTTGGAGTAGTTTGAATTGTTACCTCTTCTGAATCCCCCTCTACCTTGGTAACTGTTTGCGTTAGAGGGGTTGTTCTGAAAGCGCCTGTTTCTTTTTGGCAGCAACTTTTTTAAGGTTTCAATTTCTTTTGCTGCTTTACTTGAATTTATCAATTCTTTATAGACTTTATTGCCTATCAACTCATCTGTGTCCAAGTCTTTGCGAAAGTTTTTCTTGTTCTCTTCAATAAACTCTTTTGTGTCAGTTTTATTGTACCCAAACAAAGGGTTGAGAAAATTGTATCTTCTGTAATATGTTATCATTTGGCTAGATTGTCCTGCCAAGATTACAGTGGAGTCGAGCAGTTTTTTAATGTACTCGATGTCTAACTCCGCTGTATGTGAGCCCATGTCAATGAGATTCCATAACTTGGACAATGGTCCCATGATGTCACCAATTTTCTCTTGTACAACCTTCCACTGTTGGTCATAATTATTTACATGTTTGTTAATTAGTTTGGTAATTTTCCTATTTTTTTTCAATGGTTTGAGACCCTTGGAAGTGGGCTTTGGACACTCATCTAAAATGTGTTTTTTAACGTCATTTTTTGACATGAGTTCCTTACGCCAGTATTTGTAAACCACTTTCTCTTGGTTTTTGTCAAGATGGAATCTTTCCTTTTCTACCTCATGGAGAGGATCGAAACAACTTTGAGAGCATGAAGAGGATGCTGACTCATAGCTTGAAAAACTAGTATCAGTGTCAGAAGAGCTACTACTGCTACTGTCATAATCATACTTTGACTTGCGAGATGTTTTAGCTTTCTTTCTTGACTTGCTTCGTGAATGAGAGTGGGGTCTCTTTTTTGATTTGTTAGATCGTCTTCTGACATTGTCAACTTTTGAATCAACTTTCTTAGGGATTTTGTAGTTATTCCAAGATCTTACAGAATGATTATCACCATCTGAGATGCTAGCAGGAGACTCATGACCACTGTTTTCACTAATAGAGTCAATATCCTTAGAACCACTTGGTCTTACTTCTTTCCCTGAAGTTGATTTCTTCCTTTGCTCCTTCACTGAGCTATCAGTTGTTGGCCCCTTGACTGGGCTATTTCCTTGACGTCCCTTAACTGGACTATTTTGTTTATCCATATTGAATAAATAAGTAGTTGTTGAACACTAATTCAAAGGAACAACTAAGTCCAAATGAGAAAAACGTCCATCTTTTTAGTTTTCGAGGCACGTGTAAAAATGAAAAACTGAATCTCGTAACTAAACGTGTGTCTTCGTCGACAGCCAGAAAGAATAAGGCCGAGGTTTACTGCATTACGTAGCTCATTAATTTGAATTCATTCATACGTAAAAAGGCTGTTCACCTTGACCAATAGCATTGTAAGTTCTAACTTATGAGCGAGTGAGTGTGAAATTACTTTAAACATCTCTTTCATATAATCATTTTTATTGTGTTGTATCATATAGATGGCACTACTATTTCTTATTAAGCTAACTCTTATTGTTTTTTTAAATACCTCAAAATACACAAGACCTGAGTTAGTGAACAAGTCTATTATGATGAAGACTCCAAGTCTCTTGTAAATGATGAGCATTTCACTTCAGTGAACGGTGAACTGTACTTCCTAGTAAATGTCACTCCAGTAAAACCAACTCTCTAGAGAACATGACTAGTGATTGGAGGCCACTCTAGTAAACAGCCTTCTAGAGAACACAACTCTGAACACCTCTCTAATGACAACTCCCCTTGTGAACATATTAACCATATATACAGTATAGATATTTTTTTGCAAACTTTTTCTTTCTTTGATTTCCATGTAGTCATTAACATAGGCCGCCCTGTCAGGTGAACACTCTGACCTTTTTCTACCTACACTTCCACTAAAAAAAGTGTTCACTTGACAATTAGGACGTACCATTTGTACATAAACTGTAAAACATAAAACATGCCTCATTTGAATACTATTGGGCCTGGCTAAAACTGTTCACATTTGAGGTTTTGACAATATGATACTCAATGGGATATCCAATGAGGATGGAAAACAGTTTGAGGTGTCCACATTTAAGAAGACTTCAAATACAAAGATTTAAATGTATGTGTGTATAATTATCTTAAATATCAGAAACTGCTTGAATATAGCAGATATCTTAATGTAATTTACAGGATGCCACGAAAATAGCTAATGAATAAAATGAAATCAATAATGAACCATTCTGGTCTAAAGCCAAACAACAACAAAAACAACATAATAAAAATAAATCACAATACAAAACCTAACAGGCCTGTAGCCAGAGGGGGGGATTTGCAACCCCCCCCCTGACCTTTCAAAATCATGCAGTTTTTCACCATTTTGAGCACTTCTCAAGTGATTTTAGCCATATTTGGGCCAAAATTGTCAAATGTGAATCCCCCCTGGAAATTTTCGAAAACTGAAAACCCCCCATCCCCCCTTAGCAAATCCTGGCTACAGGCCTGCCGAAATAAACTAAAGGTAGTGGCATAAAATTACTCATATAGATGGCAGACCTCTACTGAGCTTTCTGTATTTCTATCAAATGCATTGTAGGTTCATATTGAACCCGATATTGAACCACTACCAAGAGTACCAGATTCTTGTAATTGGATAATGCCCTCTTTGAACCACTGGAAATGGTACTGAGTCCCTCATTCAATCACCAACAAAGAAAGCTTTACATGAAATCTTAAAATAAAGTTTACCCCAGACACAAATACATTCAACTGATTGGCTATTAAGCCATAATAAGAGACAAAATATTCTATTGATGAAATGAAACTCAATATACAAATTGTCAGGTCACAGTAACCAAAGATTAACAAGTGACCTGTCTTATAGGAGATAACAGAAGTGATAAGTCTAATGAATAAAATAAGAACCTTTGAATTCACCTTACGCCACACCCAAACAGTTTTTTCATGAAAAATAACACAGGCCCCTAACTGTTAAGGTGGCTTTGGTCAAAATGAAAATATTGATGTATTTTTCACTTAGTTCACACAAATGAAGCCTTAACACATCGGTTCTTTTGTATAATTTATGTAAATGTTGTGCATTTGCAAAGTAGTTGTGCAAAAGCATGTACGATCTGGACATGGCATATAATGTGTTACAATACAGTTCAAAGTGTTCCTTCAGTAAGAGGTTAAAGCCATTGTAATCATTGAGATACCCCACCTTCTACTACTTCATAGGTAGGTAGATAAGAAGGGTATATCAGAATGCATTGTTATAATCATACATCAATAACTGAGCCAGGTCACAAGAAAATTAGCCTTAACACACATCATTTTAAGTTTTATTCTCTGTTTAATATAATACAACTAAAAACCTGTTTGAAATACTCTATTTTCTGTAGAAAATTCACAAAGTGGAAGTATTTATTTTAATTATAAATTCCAATCCATTTATAAGACTGATTTTCCTGTAATGCCACTCATATAATAATACAGTACTACAATGCATATTTATCATACTACTATACATTGTAAATATAAAAGCACCAATAATATTCTCGTACTTTTAGTACAGAAATATATCAAATTAAAAATATCAAATTATCATCAATCAAATTAATGATGTGCCAGTCATTCAAAAAAGGCAAATATGCTCAGTGCCTAACTCTGATTCTAAGCTAAATCAAAATTAAAAAGATTCAAAATAACCTAAAACTTGCAGCATTGACAGATCTTGATACAATACTTCATTTCTGTCCTCAGTTTGAAAGAATTTGCCCATAAAATAAAAAGGTGTGTATGCCTTTTCAAACTTTTCTCATGACACCAGCCCATCAGCCACACGCAGTATTCTTGGTCAGAACACTAAAATCTATCTATATAAGTCTTATTCTCTATAGACGGCAAGTCTATGCCATATAATAGTCCCAAAGCATCTATAATTTCAGTATTTCCCCAAACTGTGTTAAGGACAAAGTGGGGGAGGGGGCACATAAAGACTTTATGCAAGATGTCTATTGTCTATTTATGTTCAAATGAACAAATAGCATCTATCTAAATAATCTCAGACTTATGGCACTTTTACAATTTTAATTGCACAGATAATTTCTCATCAATAGATATTCTGTATGTTAAAAGTGATTACATGTAAATGTACATTTATGCATATGTGTACTTGATATTTGATCCTTTCTCATTTTAATTTACATTTGTGATATCAAATTGCCATGGTGATGGATATAGGCATACCTAAGCAATTGTACATTATTTTGATTGTGTTACTTTTACATACAGCAGCAACTGTATACAGCCATAACAAAGTCAATACATGATCAAAAAGCACTCTCTGGAACAAATTCTCAAGGATAATCCAGAAAAGACGATGTTGCCAACCAAGGCTTGCTGAATGCAGTACAACACCGTTTCAATATTTCAAATATTTGATCATCCATTATCATAATAGACTGGTATATGGATCAGAATTTTATCTATACAAAATGAAAGTATGATTTTGAAGTCTTGTGTCAATCCTTACGCTGAGATCTCTCCATGATTCAGATTATCGAATTCCTAAACCAAAAGATCATTGTGAATTATGATTGCAATTGCTATTTTTCCTTGTGCTATTGTAAATGTCATTAACTCAATGTGTGATTATGTAGTCTACAACAAATTATATTAAAATAATTTTGATTTGAAAAATAAGGAAATGTTTGATTCCATATTTAAGAGAAGGGGTTAATCTGAAATGTAATTATTATTATGTTTTGAAAAACAATGTTGTGAGATTGACTTGGTCTTTAATAGAAGAAGAGCAATTCAGACTCTTGTTGAAAGACAGCCAAATTGGCACTACATACTGGAGAAAACTAACCCCCTCAAACCCTATACATTTTCACAGTCACAGACACCCATTTGAATCACTTGTACATAGTAACTACCGGTTGGTTCAAGGTGACATTCATGTGACACTCTTGAGTTTCAAGTAGTTTTCTCTGATTATCATCAGAAGAATCACTTATCGATTGGTTACTTTTGCAGTAGACTTACATTAAGACATGTCAAATGCTGACTTTTTGTAATTTTAGCAATTTGTGTTAATGTTGGGGAGAGTGGGAAATCACTTTTTAAATATCAATAAAGTAAAACCTGTCAAAGTGGAACACCTTGGTACCTCTAAAAGGTGTTCCACTTGGGAGGTGTTCAACTTAAAGAGGTACATTTAACATGAAGACAATTGGTCCTGGGGCTCCGAAGTGTTCCACTAATGAGGTGTTCCACTTCTACAGGTGTTACACTTTGCAGGTTTCACTATACTACTACACTATAATCCATTCATAATAACATAAATCATATACATGTAGATTACCATCACTGACATCTATATACTTAAGGTTGGCCAAGTAAAATGAATAATATGATTCATTAGCTCGTCACACTTTTTTGTCAACTTTTGCATATTGATATCTTGCGAAAATATATCCAAAAGTCATCCCGTTTCAATCCTTTATTTTTCTGTATCTGTATTTAGTTCTTGGCTATTCTGATGGACGGCTTGAGGAGGCTGGCAACATATTTATGAGTGTATACATACATCTAATTCAAACTCATGTCTTCCATTTGAAATCTGACTAACACCTCAGCAAGTTGCCCTATGGATTTAGATATGGACTGACTACATATTGGTACTCGTTGACGATGCCGTTCATTTGTATTGTCATATGCTATATCCCGAATAGCTTTAATAAAGGATGTACATGAAGATGTGATACCCATTGTAGAACCTGTAATGCAAAGAAAACAATCTTACTGTACCATATGATAACAGCTTGTACATACAAACAGCTTGTACATACCTGCCTTATTAATTTGAATTTCCCTTCAATGTATCATGCATATCTCATGTATATATTGTAGGATTGAAAAAAAATGTTGAGGCAATGGAGGATGAGATATTTTCAGAATGATATTGGCAATTTCAAATTTCACAGGGATAGCACCCAGTCTTGTATTGATGATGACAAATTACATGAACTTCACCATTTCGGTTCATTTGAATGAGCATTTAGAACCATTTAGTCAATGTCATACATTCATTACATGTTATGTGCATACAATATAATAAATCCACCAAATATCAATGTAGCAGAGTGTAAAGTAAAGGAGATGATTTCTTCAATACCACAATATCCTTTATAAATGATGATTTAAATAAAAGCAACAAAATCAAAATTGTTGACATTATCCCATTCTGATTTGGTCTGGTTATTGATTGACTGATTCTACAATCTTTAAAATGTGCATGAGGTATAGAGTATCGTCATAATAACCCTGCAATTGTGGCAATCATAAAATGACCATAAAAGCAATAGTCAAGTGTGAAGAACAAACAAATAAACGAAGATAATTACCAAGTATTGCGGTTTGTGCCTCTCTGCCAGCAGAGGTTGTACTTCCAGGTATACCCGTAAATTCTTCCTCAGTGGAAAATGTCACTAGAGCCTTGGCTGCTGCTATTAACGGCTCTGCAAATGTAACACAGCGGTGATGATGTGTCGGTGTAGGACTAGCCTTGTAAAGTTTAATACTGTTGATTAAGCAACTCGCGCTTGCTGTGAGGCACTTTACACATAGTTTATACTGCTCTTGGTTACAGTCATCTGTGCACGCTATAGCACGATGACAACACTCCGTCATTACGGATAAATTATGGGAAATTTCTGAGCAAATATCTACTAAGAGCTGCGGTGAAAGTTCCTCAATGACTGGGTTTGATTGCTGTATTCTCCTACAGCACAGTTCAATGTCTATATTGGCACGTACCATTGTGTATTTGTCTATGACCCCTGGCTGAGATTGCAAGCACTGGTATTTTTGTACACTTATTATAAGAGTTGCATGGGCGCAACATTCTATGATGCTTATCACAAGCTCAGTGATTTCTTTTAAACAATCCCTGATGTCATGCCAACGTGTGGTAACACTGTGTAGTTGAGCATTCATGGAGCTAATTAAAACTGATAATCCTTTTGTTCTTGCGATAATTGTGTCCCGGCATTTTGAATACGAGTCACCACAAACAGCAACACTTTCTCTCATGACTGGTCGTAGATCGTTTGAAAGCAGTAAGAAGTCAGCAACTGATTGTATTTTTGCCTGGCACCAATTACATGTCAGTGCCACCTCTCGTGTTTTTGGGGTGGACATGAGGCTGTCAGGCACAGGCTCCGTTGTAGAACACACCATAACAAGAGTCTCATCGATGTCAACTGTTGTGATCCAACATGAGTGATCCTGCTACAAAGGGGCGTATTGAGTCCTGCCCTTGGGAACAACTACAAATGAAATATTTACATTTGAATCATATAATAATGAATAGGGTGTCAACTTCACAAACCACTAAATCATGATCAGCTGTGAATAATACATTCACATTCATACTGTGTTTCAATGCAATTCAATACAGAAAATACAGACGACACAATTTCAATCACTGCATAAGGTACCTAAACAAGTGACGGTGCTCTTAGAAAAATATATATACATACTTGGTATATTGGCCCTTACCTCTGTTATACACATGTGAAAATCGCATGCTTCATTTGTGGAATAATAGTGAAAATGCAGAGAGAAAATCAACCGGAAAGGTGTGGTCAAAATAAACTCTATTGAACTGCGCATGCGTAGGTCGAAACTTATCGCGGTTTCTCGCGTGAGGTCAGCCTGTTTACAAATTATTATTGCGAGTACATAAATTAGTTTGTTGCCAGTTGTCCTTTTATCGTGTTTAAGATGTCCAGATAATACAAGTTTCTAGCTTTATTTTACAAAAAATTATATAATGAGCAGTTCTATATATTTTATCTTGCAAAATGACATCAAAGTCACTTCTATGCGCGTAGTAAATATTCGGGCACATGCTTCCGGAAAAACATTGGTACTTCCGGATGCTAAAATTTTGACTTTTATATCGCTTTTCCGTGTAAATGTAGACTTATTCAGCGTCATCAAAAGGTAAGAAAATAAAACAGATACATGAGATTCTACCTGATACTTTTATATGTTGGTTCAGGACCTAATAATTTAGTAAATTATAAAAAACATTGAACTACAAACAACTTCCGCTTGGCATTTTTACTTTTTTAATTTTATTTCGAATATTTTTTCAAAAGTTGATCTATAGTGCTGATACAAAATAATGAAGGATGAGTTTTCAAACTAAAGAGAGTACTCCTACCAATATGGATTTGCCTTATCCTATTCCAGAACTATAGTCCTGGACCGAGCGCAATCTTTTGCCTGTACGATTACAACATAGGAGAATTTTCTACGCTTCTTGTACAGGCAAAAGATTGAGACGTTCTCAGGACTATAGTCCTTGTACGGGATAAGGATTTGCCTATATAGCCCTGAGACTCTTATCTGATAGATAAAATGCACAAATAAAACAAAAGTTTGGCTATTATAGGTAAAAAAGTTCTCTAAAGTGATTTTACCTGTTAATTCTGTCATTGGTCCGCCATTTTTGCGCAAGTTACACTGAAACACAAACTCCATGGAACTAAACGAAATGACTAGAAAAAAACATGGCACACATCGTGCATGTTCGCACTTAAGTTAAGGTGCCATGGAAGTGAACAGGAAATGACAAAACAAAAAGTAACAAAACCATGCCCGATTTTGAAAATTTTTTGAACCAAGATAACAGAGTTCTGTTTGGACCTCCAGTCAGTTTAACTAGTTCCACATATCAATTACATTACTGGAAATGGTCAGAATGACTATAACATGATGAAATAACCTTTTCAGCCCTCTGAAAATGTGACCGAAAAATAGCTAAAAGTAGGTGCTCAGTAAAGGTCAATGAACAATCTTTTGATTTTTGTCTGAAAATGTGTCAAAAGACAGCATTGTTAAAAGCATGAAAGAGACCAGGAAGATTTTATGCATAAATTAGGATTATGATAAATCGCCAGGCAAATAAGTTCTTCTCAATAATTATGGGATGATATTGGGAAAAAGGGATAAGACAAAATAAAGGACCATGCTACATATGTAAATGGAAAGTTTCAAATGTTTCGTTCGGCGCAACGCAAAAAAACGGGTTAAGAACTCTTAGCCAAAACCGATGGATTTACATTTGCTTGTAAAACGATTTAACGCTAAGACTTGGCTATGACTAAGGTCCTAAAACTTTATAGCTAAGCGCTGTTAGCTGAGAGCTCTTGAGTAAATCTGGATTTACATTACACTTGTAAAAGGTTTTAACCCTAAAACGTTTTAGCTAAGACGTCTTAGCGCGCTAGTGTAAATCCAACAATTAATAATCTCCAAACTCAAAAATAATTCTCTTTTGTGAAAGTTATCAATAAGCAAATATTTTTAAACCATGCAATAAAAATTTTTTATTAAATCGAAATTGAACATCACGTGACTAACTAATAGATTAGAATGTTAAGAATAGGCTGCATTAAATTTCAGGCAGGAATATGATAAACTGAGATGAGTTAGTGGTAAAATTCTAGCTGGCCACGCACGGTCAACCACTGTTCGAATCCGGCGTTGTGCATTCTTTTTAACTCAATGGGTGCTTGTTTGTGCTTTGATATTTTGCAGAAAAACACATTATAAATACATCAAGTGTATAACGAAGCATTAATAATCTTCTCAGTTGCATGAAAATGTAAAAATAATATATGTTCAAATATTGTGTTTTATAGAAAGGTCAGACTTTAATCAGGATTGAATATTCTTTCAGATGTCATTGGTTGATTTAGGGAAGAGACTCCTGGAGTCTGCAAAGATTGGTGATACAGATGATGTGCGATCTCTGATGGCAAATGGAGCCCCCTTTACTACAGACTGGGTAGGATGCCAAGATTGTTTATACAGTAGTCTCTGTTATTCTGATATTAAATCACCCAAATATTTATAACAGACTTGCCAACCTCCCGTTTTTTTACGGGAATCTCCCGTAAATTTTTTGTTTTTCCGTAAAAAATACCAAACTCCCGACCGTTTTCTCCCGTAAAAACTCCCGTACAGTATTTCTACTAAAATCTCCCGTAATTTTTTTAAAAATATGGCCGTAAAATCTCCCGTATTTTTGCTGAAATCTCCCGTAAAATCTCCCGTATTCTGGCATAACTCCCGTAAAATCTGTAAAATCTCCTGTTTTCTGGTATAACTCCCGTAAAATCTCCCGTATTCTTGGTATAACTCCCGTAAAATCTTCGTTTTTTGCTGTCGAAATCTACCGTATTTAAAAGGAATTTGACAAATTTGTGACCTTGATTATTGCAGGCACGCTTCTTTCTTTTACTCCAAAAAGGATTGGCTCCCATGGTTCACTATCGATACTTTTATAAATAACTTAAAAGTACATTCCCATGATTCAAATTGCTTTTCTGCGATCAGTTCGGTATAAGTTTGCACACCAAATGTTCACAAACGGGGGCCAGTTCATATTCTGTCATACTTCTGTCGGGAGAATACATTTTATTTTTATTTGGCGCTAAACAAAATATTCCCGCAATATAAGGCGCATTATGGGTAGAGACTGCTGTGAAATAATGAACGTAAGTGACATCTATCTTAGATTATAAGTCCTAATTAATTTATTAACTGCGCATGCGTCATAATAATTTCAACCAATTAAATCGCTGGATTTAATGCTCATGCACGAAAAACCGAACCTAAAAATGGAACCTCACGCAGATTGCCCTAAGCATACCGTAAAAACTCCAGTTTTTTCAAAATCTATAGTAAAAACTCCAGTTTTTTCATAAATCTACCGTAAAAACTCCCGTTTTTTTCAAAATCTACCGTAAAAACACCCGTTTTTTCAGAAACCTACCGTAAGAACTCCCGTTTTTCCGAAATCTACCGTAAAAACTCCTGTTTTTTCCCAAATCTACCGTAAAAACTCCTGTTTTTTTCAGAAAACTACCGTAAAAACTCCAGTTTTTCCGAAATCTACCGTTAAAACTCTGTTTTTTCAGAAATTTTCCGTAAAAAAAGTCACGTTTTTTAAAAGTTACCTCGAAAAATACCTTTTTAAAAAAATCTCCCGTAATACCCCCGTTTTTTCAAAATCTCCCGTAAAAACTCCCGTTTTTTTTTTCAAAATTTACCGCAAAAACTCCCGTATTTTAAATCTCCCATAAAAACTAACGTTTTTTTCAAAAATCTCCCGCAAAAACTTCCGGATTTTGAAAATTTTTTCATTTTAGGTTAGCAAGTCTGTATAATGATGGACACATCTACCATTTTGACAATTTATGATATTTGAAAATTACCCTTCAAAAATCCTATTTTTATTGTACATTTTCCAGTTGGGAACATCACCGTTACATTTTGCTGCAAGATTTGGACATATAAAAACAGCAGAGGTATTGCTACGTGCTGGAATAAGTCGGGATGCAAGAACTAAAGTAGACAGAACTCCACTTCATATTGCCAGTCAGGAGGGTCACTCTGATATTGTGGAATTACTTGTCAAACAAGGGGCTGATATTGAAGCTAAAGATATGGTATAATATTTTTTGATAGTTATCTTTTAATTTAATATTCAATATTTATGTTGACTAAATATAATTGAAATTGAAACTTGAAAAATTCCATTAAATTTAAAATTGATCTTAAAAAAGCATATACCCTAACTATAAGTAGATTCACTGGATCTTAGGCATATAAAAAACTTACTTATATATTCAAAGTTTCTCAAGCTGATGAACAAAGTGACACAGTGATCCTTATGGGATGGAATATAGGTATCAGTCCACCCATCAACATTAGTGCTTCAATGTATGTCAGTTTTCAGGAAATTGGTTACATCCTATGAATGAATAACTTTTGGGGTGGCTATTTTTTTCTGACTGCCATTCAGATTTACACCAAATGATCTTCAAATTCCTACACATATTACAGATTACCAAGTTCTTCAGCTGATTAACATTAGGGTGATCATCTTGCTTTCTGTTTTCCATTTAAGAAGTTTTGCAATAAATCTTGAATCGTCATTCAGTAAACCTCTCTCACGTTCAGGCAAATGTCACTTTCAGCACATGGACTGTTGTCGAGCCTCTATAAATTTTGCCAAAGACCCAAGAAATCTCTTTATGAATGAATGGATTGATGTACATGTACCCCATTATCTTAATTATGTCTGTGATTGAAATATTTTTTATATTTTCTCAGCTGAAGATGACACCTCTCCAATGGTCTGTAGAAAAAGGACATATAAATGTCATGAATACATTACTGAGGCATGGAGCGGATACCACATGTGAAAACAAGGTCAGTTGCACTAGCGGATCTAGGGGAAGTGCCTGGGGGCGCGCATCCCTCTAAAAAATTTTCTTTTCCAAAAATCTGATAAAATTACCTGTTGTATAGTGTTAGAATTTCTCAGAAAATTTATCCAGAAGCCTTTCTTCATGAAGTCATTCATATAAGCCTAATTGTGGGAAAATGCTCTTTTCAAAATTTCTTGGTCTATATTATGAGGTCTCTTATCTTCTCTCAAAAATCCACATAATGGATCGTTGATAGAAATCTACTGAACAGTACAGCTACTAAATGTTTTTCAGACTTTATGTCTCTACATGTACATGTATTTGTTGTTCGTTCTGGGAAATTACTTGAAATGTTAGTTGGCTGTACATGATGATGTATTTTATTTCAGTTTGACCAAAATGCCATAGACATTGCCACATTTAATGGTCGGCTTGATATTGTATCAGTTCTGCAGCTAGCAAAGGTGAGAAATGAATAAATCAAAGTTTAACTGACAAAGCATAAACACTGCATTATTTACCTGTTTGTACTATACTGTACTGTTTTAGACTGCACTGTACTGTATTAGACTGCACTGTACTGTATTAGACTGCACTGTACTGTATTAGACTGCACTGTACTGTATTAGACTGCACTGTACTGTATTAGACTGCAATGTACTGTATTAGACTGCACTGTACTGTATTAGACTGCACTGTACTGTATTAGACTGCACTGTATTGTATTAGACTGCACTGTACTGTATTAGACTGCACTGTACTGTATTAGACTGCAATGTACTGTATTAGACTGCACTGTACTGTATTAGACTGCACTGTACTGTATTAGACTGCACTGTATTGTATTAGACTGCACTGTACTGTATTAGACTGCACTGTACTGTATTAGACTGCACTGTATTGTATTAGACTGCAATGTACTGTATTAGACTGTACTGTACTGTATTAGACTGCACTGTACTGTATTAGACTGCAATGTACTGTATTAGACTGCACTGTACTGTATTAGACTGCACTGTACTGTATTAGACTGCACTGTATTGTATTAGACTGCACTGTACTGTATTAGACTGCACTGTACTGTATTAGACTGCACTGTATTGTATTAGACTGCAATGTACTGTATTAGACTGTACTGTACTGTATTAGACTGCACTGTACTGTATTAGACTGCAATGTACTGTATTAGACTGCACTGTACTGTATTAGACTGCACTGTATTGTATTAGACTGCAATGTACTGTATTAGACTGTACTGTACTGTATTAGACTGCACTGTACTGTATTAGACTGCACTGTACTGTATTAGACTGCACTGTACTGTATTAGACTGCACTGTACTGTATTAGACTGCACTGTACTGTATTAGACTGCGCTGTATTGTATAAGACTGCAATGTACTGTATTAGACTGTACTGTACTGTATTAGACTGCACTGTACTGTATTAGACTGCACTGTACTGTATTAGACTGCAATGTACTGTATTAGACTGCACTGTACTGTATTAGACTGCACTGTACTGTATAAGACTGCACTGTACTGTATTGGACTGCACTGTACTGGCTGGACATGGCCTGAACCTGGGTGACTTTCCTTTGACATTTTAGGTTAATGTACATATATTGACAATATAACAAGGTTGTTGTACTGTACTTGTTAATGTTACAATATTTAGAATACAAAAAGACACTATCGAAATTGAATATAATATTAAAAATGTATTAAAAACAATTCCCTAACATCAGGATCGCTTGCTAAGATTGTTCTGAAAATGTACCCCCTAAATGACATTTCTTAAAAATGTTGAGAAGTATGATTTATGATATTTTATTGTGTTACAATAATGTAATCGTTAGTTTCTTAAAATAGTGTCATTTTTAGAAGACAGTTGAAATTTATCTCATCATACTTTCAAAATAGCACACCCTGGTTAATGACTTTTCATATGTTTTAATTAATTTAGAATGGTCAGTTTGCCCAGCTAGTTGATTCTAATCCTGAAATGGTTGTTAAAACCACAATGGATGACATAACAACAGATCTTAGTCCAAGTACTGCAGCTAATAACAGGTTAAATTCAGGTATGGCTTTTTGTGATCCTTTTCATCAAAAGTGTGAGGCAGTTGTTTAATTAAAATAATTGTAGAAAAAAGAAAACACAACATTAGCATTTTGTATGATCATTATAAAACAGGCATGTAAAAATGATGAGTCAAAAAGATTTCAAAATGTGACCAATTTAAAAAACCTTTCCCTTCAGATTCTATTTATCTTTTATACTTTGTCTTGTTTATTAAGAGAGTCATCCTTGCCTATCTTTTGCTATTTTTTTGTTGGATAAAGCTTTTTAAAATCATCAAAATATGATCTATAAATAATATGCTATTTGGCCTAGCCTCAGGTTTTCTGTTATCTTGTAGGCACTGATGAACAGAATGAGGACAATAGTAGTACAGCTGTTCTTGCTACATTGGCAGCTCTTGCTGAAGCTACTGCACCACTAGGAACCTCAACAACAGGTAAGCAGGCAGTCCTTAAGAGAAAACTCTTCCTTTGAAGTGGTTTGTGTGGTTGAAAGAGGACCTACTATTCAAATGATATCACTTTTTAAGGCATGTTTCTGTGTAGTTGAAAATAAAGAGTTGCCTTTATATGGTTGCTTGTTTAGACTTTCAAAAGTGTGGCATATGTGTTATATCTCCCACAGTGTGTATGTATGTACTTCTGCCATAGTTTCCCATTACAAACATCATGTTTCATATTTCATGTATTATGGTGACTTGGAAATGCAATCCTGAATTATTGATCATATTTATATGTCTTCAGTTGATACCTCATGGTTAGAAAATCAGGCAACAGTAGTTACTACAGCAGATAGTGATTCTACTGCGGTTCCATCATCAGATTCTGGACCAACTTTTACTCTTACTGGTAAGTTAGGTTTTTATGCCACCATCACAAGTTGTGACATATTGTTATAGTCTCTAACTTTTTTGTGGATGGTGTTAGGCAGTTGGTGTTAGATGGTCGGTGTCTGTAACAAATGGCAGGTTGTGACATTTTGCATGCAAGTAAATGCCTTGTTGATTTTTATTTTGGAGGTTAATCTTGTATAAGTTATGTTTGGTATGTGTGTATACATTCATGTCGCAATGATCTAAAAATAGAAGCAAGCAGGAGCTGCCCCCCATACATATGTTTTGTCCAGTTTTGTAAATTTTCAGTCAGAACTGTAAAATGGAGACTTAATAATATGTGATATTTTGTTTTTCAGAAGCAGGGAAACTTGCACTAAATCATGTTAAACACACAGGAGAAAATATAGGAGAGAATAGTACACTACAGGTCACCGATATTAATGGCCAAGTATGCTTGAAGATAAATCTATTATACCTTTAATAGGGAAAACACAGATTATCCTGATAAATTTGTAAATTATCTTTCATTATAACCCTGAATTCTGTTTGGATAGGCAGAGTACCCACTATTAGTATTGTATATGATTTTCCAATCTTCATTCTGATAGTATCTTTTATATAGAACTTTGAATGGTAAACGACTAGTAGCTATGGATCCAAAAAATGTGGAATCATCATATTTTGACTAATATTCTGTTTGGATATAGTCTGGAGCAAAGAATTATCTTTAATTTGATGAATAAATATGGTGAGCTTTTACCATGGGTATTTATTTGCTCCTTGTTGATGTATATTTTAGAAAGTCCTTCACCAGATAATACCAGGAGAAGTGAGCACTGAAAATACAGAAAACGATGTTACTGTAGAGACATCTGTAGACTCCTCAATGCCATTGGTTGTTGCTATGGCATCAGAAGATGATGGCACACAGGAATTCCATGTTGCTATTCAAGAAAGTGATGATGAACCTGGTGCAAAGCGGGCGCGAACCTCTAGTGAATCTGAACCAGTATTAGTCCAAGTAAGAGCTGTAGTTACATGAGGATGGAGCAACTCATTTCAACCGTTAGGTTGTAACCTGTTCCAGTTATGTCACCACCAGAATTGGTGACATATTGTTATAATACCAACTTTTTGTGTATGGTGTTCTGCATTCTGCGTTTGGGGTCTAATAAATTGAAGGTGGTGACATTTTGCATGTTAATGCCTTGGTTTATTTTGATCACATCCTTGGGTGATATGTTGTGATCAGTTTGCTGGCTTACTCGGTGGGTCTCGTGGGAGGAGTTCAGTCCCTGAACCTTGTCTATTCGTTCTTAGAATTGATTCGTTTAAGGACATGATCCAGGTGAATTTCAAGGTAGCCATTTTAGATTTATCATCCTAGGAACTTAGCAAGATTATTTTTTTAATTGTCTGTGTTTTATTCTTTTCAGAATAGTGACCTTCAAAGTCAGGTAGAAGATCTAAAGAACCAGTTAAAACAGAAACAATTGGAGGCAGACACATACAGAAGACAATTGAGAAAATCTAAATGAAACATGTTTAATAGAAATCCAGACGTCCATCAAAATAATATCAGAATATGTAAAACCATGAATTTAAATCATGGTTTACATAGTATGTACCCTCTCGTGTAGAGAATCCACCCTGAGATGTTTGAATTGTAAGGATTACATGTAATATGGTGGGAATTTCAATGAAAATCATCAGTCATGGTTCTTTCAGCATAAAACTGTTCACGGGAGCTATGTTACATTACACGCTTGATGAAGGTAGAACAATACTGATATATGCAGTTCATCACTTCAGAAACTCATTTTTAGTAATTAATACCGGTTCCTGGTAGCAAGTGAACAAAACATTCGAGACATGGAACTTATATTTATATGATGTAGTAGGCCAAAAGAGTGTCAGATAATATATGACATATTTGCATGTTTTTTACACGACTTTGAAAGTATTAATTATTTGTCAGTAGAAGATCTGTGGTTTGATTTCTGAACTAACATAATCTACTATCTATACATAAATGTTTTGTGATGTTGAATTAAATGCATGAATTATAAGTCTTGAGCCAACCTGTTTGAGGACAAATAAAGAAAAAATGAATCAAGAAGAGTGGGCATCCTAGTATGATACCATAGGCGAAATATCATTCATCCCAAGATTCATCCAGTTTAGAATAATGTCAATATTAGGCATAGTCCAGGTGAGTGCTTTATATACTCAAATTTTGAGGTGTTACACCACACCCAGATTCTACTGTATGGCACTTCACACATTTTAAAATCCACATTTGTACAAATGATATTTTCTGGATCATATTTTGGAGTTACCTCAAAATATGATATACATGTATATTTGCTTCTTTTGGTTTTATGGATTTGCTATGGAAAAATCAGACAAACAAATTGAGACAAAATGGTACATTGTGTTTGCATTTTATGGCTTAGATTCACATTAAATGTTATAAACTCTGATTATACATAGAATGTAAGACTGCATTGATAAGGCACTTTTCTGAATTCACAATATATGTATTGCTCATATTAGTTATAATATGTTTTGGATGATATGTTGTTTTTGTGATATCTTACTTTTGAAATGTGTTACCTGTGTATTACATGTACAAACTGTATAGTTGTAGATAGGGTACTTGTATTATAAACTCAATAAAGTTGATCTCTTGTATATAGATGTATATCAGTTATTCATGTTTTATATTCAATTACAAAATATTTAGATATGGTTTAAAATTGTTTAACTATTGTGAAAGAACAAAGGAGAAATTAAGATATTGGGTAGGGGCAGAACGAAAAGAAATTTCTTTTTTTCCAAGCATTGAATTTACAATACATAAATACTGCAAGCAGCTTATATCTATTAAATAGAATGCAGTTGTTTTTGTACATTTCTCTCCATGGAATGTCACATCTCATTTGCAAAAATGCATATCACATATTATTTGGTGTGCTGAGTGAATGTCTACGCTGTTTTTGTACTGGATGTCCACCAGGTACATGCTGCACTCTATTAGTGTGTTAGATATTCGCCTCGCGTATGATGCTTTTGTGAAGTGTTTCAATATTCACCTTGTACATGCTGCACTATATCAATGCATTCGATTTTCATATGGTACATGTACATGCTGTTCTCTTATAGTGCTGTGTAATTATGTCCACCTCGTACATGCTGAACTATGTTGGCGTGTTGAATGTTCATCAGTACACGCTGTTCTCGTGTAGTGAGTTACAATGTTTACACTTTGGATTCATCCGAGGAAAGAGTCGATCGGATTTTCTCTCTCTGTTTGAACACTAATAAATGCATACCTGACATTTTCATGTAAATCCTGGAAAAAGAAAAGAAATTACTGTTGGTATCGAGACAACTATTTATACTATTACAAAATATAATGGCTTATTTTATTATCGGTGTGTAAAACGTTTCGATGCATTTCGCAATATCTGAATATGTACTAGGATCAAACATTTGAACACTGAGTAGGCTATACTCTGTCATTTAGCCCATCTTGACTTAACAATTATTTAAGAAATAAATAATGATAGGTCATTCAATATGGTGACATTCAGCACGAGTTGGACAGAATGTCATTGCAAATGCAATCACCTTCGGTTCGTGCTTTGTACGACATTCTGCCCAACGTTCATTATTGGTTATTGGCATTCCGATTGGTTAAGAAATTCAATTAGAGCACGGTCATGTTTGAACTAGTATTTCAGACGAATTGCAATCATTGAACATGTGCGTATGATGTTTCGTAAAATCGTGCTTGTTTAATGTATTTAGAGCTCCAAGTTTTTAGGATGAAAAAAACAAATCATCAGATGATTATTTTGAAAATCCCAATTAATCTTTTTGTAAACATTGGTATCTATTAATGGCCAGTTTAGTCCAGTCAAAATATCTTGTACTCATATTTATTGTAGACTAGTCTAACATGTGTAAATGATTTAAAAATAGTACACAGTTGAAAAATAAAAATGCGAACATTGGGAAAATTGTTGTGGATTTTAGTCATATTTTGTTCAGCAAATGTTTCGGTATTTCTTCCTCGCTGGCTGCTTAAGATTGCGCTCAATAAAAGATCAGAAAATAATTTGAGTAACGATGGTGCATCATTTGTAGCTCACAAAAACTGCATTACATATAAACGCAAAGAGAATCATGTTGTAACAGACATTCTAAAATCAAAGGATGACAATAAAAGGCTCAGTTACAACGAAACATATAATGAACTGGAAAAGTATCTAATCGGCTCCTACGTTGAAGACCCCAAATTGCTCAGATTCTTACGGAAATATTGGTTAGTGCCACCTACAAAGAGAGTCTATGGTGGGGAAGAAGCCAAAGACAGATATTATGGCCAGGCAGGTCAAGCTGGTGTAGTTGATCAAATACTGAAAGGTATAGTTGGTTATGCATAAAGTTTGTAATTTGCAGGATTCATCAGTCTTTTCCACAAGTGGCACCATCTATGATGTTTCCTATAACTTTGAATTTCGTCAGATGGGTGGGGGCATCTATAAATACTGCAACCAATATATTTATATATATCTGAGATATGCTAGTATAAGAAATGCTTATGAGTAGAACTTGAAGAAGCTATGTCAAACGAAGAAGCTAAGTCAAACGAATGCAAAAAATGTTAATTGTCTATTGTATCTGTTATCATATTGCAGGTAAGACGAATGGAGTTTATGTTGAAAGTGGAGCAGCTGATGGCATCTCGTCCAACACAATATTCTTTGAAAAATTCCGTAATTGGACGGGGGTCTTGGTAGAACCGATCCCCGGGATGTATAACAAACTCATAGGCTGGAGGAGGCAGGCTTGGCACCTGAACTCCTGCCTTAGTTCTAACAACAAAATGGAGAAAATTAAATTTGCGAACTTCGGCACTTTTAGTGGCAATCTAGACAGTTTGAATAAACTAAATGGTAATCGAATGAAGGAATACGATATTGGTACGATCACTGTACAATGTTTTCCGTTCCATTCTGTCGCCGCGGCCCTCAATTTCACATTTATTGATTATTTCTCATTGGACGTAGAAGGTGCAGAAATGCAGGTGTTAAAAACAATTGACTTCACTAAGATTTCTGTGAGAGTTTTTTCTATTGAATACAGAGATGGGATAAACACTTTGTCAAAACTGCGAGATTTGCGAGACTTTTTCACAAAGCTTGGATATAAAGAATGGGGTCTTGTGTCAGAGAAGAAGTGGATGACAGGACAACCCAAGGATAATGAAGGGCTTGATGTAATATTTTACAAACGTTAATGCTTACTCAGCAAAATGACAATTCACGAATAGCTGTTAATCCCTAGCTCCTTAAAATGTTGCCTTGTGTACTGTGTTGGTTATACGTTAATTAATACTGGTTACCCCGTATATATTTATACAATGTATGCACAAGTGCCAAAGAGAAAGGACCAAAAATTGTAGCAGAGCACAGCAAGAATAAGAAAACATCAAAAATACCAATATTAATATTTTCGCAGTTTGGATCAGAAGGGAAAAGTACTTCTGGGATATGATGGAATATTCCTCTTGCGCCTAATAGCTGCCATTAAAGTTCTGGTTCTGCGCCATGTGCTGCAGCGTATTTTCGTTTAACAATTCAATTTCAGGAGGCCGCATAGAAAATGTCTTTTTACAAATTGTGTTATTCTAAAATAAATAGTTTCTACTGAATTATAGTATTCAAATGATAGCATTTGGATTAACACCGAGGCCCAGGGATGCAGTAATTCAATATTTTAAAATCACATGCCTCGTGTTAGTATGTGCAATTAAATGTGAATAAATAATTTCTATACTATACATATTCGGTGTACTCCGAGTCAAAGAATCGTACCAAAATAAACCCCAAAGTGCTGTTTTTCTTTCTTCGAAAAGGCTGAGCTTTGCACATGATCGTAAAGAAAACAATTTTCCAGTTAGCTTTGCAAGTTAAAAATTCTTAGAAATTAGTAAATTGCTAACGGAGAAATTCAGGTCAATCAGACCTGAATGTCATCCCAAATGTTGAAAATGGGTGATCATGACGACTAAAACAAACTTTATTTCAGTGAATAGTCTGCAGATGTTCGAAGTTGAAGAATATTCCATTTGTCACACACGGGATTATTTTATGTTTGTGTCGGTACAATTTTTTGAGGGGGGACACCAAACATGGAAATTAAAAATGATTAATGAAAGGCTACTTAAAGAATTTTTGTCTTTAAAATTAAATAAAACTTAATAAAACTTTTTGAATTGAATCGTCAGTCATACATGACATTTTTAAATTACAAAATATCCCTTCACCACGGACACAATCACGTCGGTATTTTTGAGGAAAATATTGAAGTTGCTTAATTATAGATGTCCCATGCTTTGAATTACCACAACTTTTTAAGCTAATTTCTTGTCCATGAAATTCTTGATCTCAATGTACAATAGATGATCTGAACAAAGAGAGAGCCCCCATGGGTGGCGTTGATTATGCATCGACACCCTGTTCGTACATTATCACGTAATATTCGACTTCCAAGATGTTGATATATGGTGAAGCAACTGAAACCTTGTGAATTAAGATGTTATCATGTGAAACTTACCCAAACGTTACCATACTGAGCAGGGAGATCCCTCCCATAACTAGAAATACGAAGCCACCAAACCAGTGGACTGTGACTGCATATATCATGTTGAAGAAGGAGCTGCCACCAAGCACGCATGCAGTTTCTACGCACCCTATTCCAGCAAACAATGCACCCTGTTCATCGTCCATGACAGTCTTAGACATGATAGCTCGAATTAGTGGCAGGAACATCGATGCAAACATTCCAAGTACTGGTCCTACAAAATTGAGAGATGTGAATTGGCAAAAACAGCAAACGCAGCACCAGATCAAGAGTGAATATAAATGATAAAACAGTGAATGCAGCACAAACCAAGAGTGATGAGTGAACCGATAAAAACAGCAAGTGCAGCACAAATTCAAGAGTGAAGAGACAAAAAACAGCAAAATAGAAAATAGGTTGTAATGAAGGCTATGCGTAAGAATGTTAGCTATATATACCAATGAACATCATAATTATGTTTCTTGCAAAGGCTTGGATAACCTGCGTCGCTGTACCAAGAACGGACGCAATCATTATCATTCCCCCATCAGTAAAACATCTATCGAAAAGTTTAACTCCGACCATGCCTCCTAAATTCATCAATAAGGTCCATGTCGCGGTGAAGTATCCAATGAAAATTGAATTCCAGCACAGGGGCCTGTTAAGCATAAAAAGGGTAAGTACGTCATCCCTGCCATTGGCGAGCATTGCGACTAAAGCGAAGCTTATGAGGAGTACCAAAAGCTTCCAGTTCCTTCCAGACGTATCTGTTTTATAATACAAAGAAGTGGCATTTTTAATATCCCGACATGGATTGAAATTACCATTTTTGTTTTTCTGTTGATTTAATTCAGGTACAAAGAGTATAACATAGAAAATGTTGACAATGTGAACGCCGGACACAAACCAGAAAGGGGGTAGGTATCCTGCAATGTTTATCCAGTACCCAATACCCAATTGGGCAGCTGCACCCGATATACCCAGCACTGCGTTAAGTGCGGTCATTCTAAACGATCTATCATCTAGTACTGTAATGTCTGCAATGTAGGCAAAACTTGCGCTCGTGAGGGCAGATCCACCGCCACTTAATCCCTCAAGCACGCATCCTATTATCAAATACTCGATACCCAAGTCTAAATACATTATGATAACATTGGAAATACAATGCAAACACGTTCCTGCTATTGATATTAAGATAACACACTTTCTACCCCCTATGTCAGAGTAAGCACCTAATATGAGCACCATGAAGAACTGGGGGACAAGAATAGATGCATTCAAATACAGCATCCAACGGGAGGCCTGTGCTTGTATTGTGGCTCTGAGTTCAGCTTCTGATGCTGATTCATTGGCAGCACTACACTGCGTCTCCTCATGTGTGGCGTCGTCATCACCGTGATACTCCTTTCCAACCATATGATAAACAAATTGCTCTGTTAGCGTTACAGTTGGAGTAGAGGCGAGAAAATATAAAAATATTGTAGGTTCCACTATTATTGTTCGCTTACTTATTGGACCTGGTCTACGACTCCTTGGAGCCGATTTTACAAATGCTTCCTCCTCTGTTTTATCTATAGTTGTAGAAAGAAGAAGTGGGTCGCGTTCACGGTTCCTCTCCGTCATTTCTTTTGAATAAAACGCGTAAGTTGAAACCGTAGTCTTGTTTGTCGTTCTGTTATATGTTATCCCATTGTTGACAGCGTTGTTATGTGAGGGTTGATCTCAGTGAGAAAAGGTGAACTATTGTACCCAATTTACTTGATTGAATATAGTCTTCAGCGAACGAAATTATTCTTTTCCATTATTGGTAAATATTGTGAAGTGTCATTTTTGCCAACCAATCTTATGTTCATCAGGAAGTCGAAGATCAGAAGATGGTGAAGTGTCACCTACGTTTATTGAACTCGTCTCGTATGAAACATGTGATACACCTGTACACACACTGTGTTTTGCACTAGGGAGATAACGAATTCAAGGCTATAACAATTGTTTGTATTATCTTCAACTCTAACTATTATCAAGAATCTGGGTTCAAGAAGAATCATTATATTCCGCCAATATAAAGATGGCAGCGCTGTATTTTCTTTGTTATTATTTAAACCTAGGGATCCGAAGGGATTATATTTCAATATTTCTGTGTAGTGTTCTAATTAATTCTATGGGACTATGCATGTCCGTAGTTTTAGGCCTACTCAGTTTTGTTTATAGATTAATAATTTATTTCATCATATAAATATTTTCATACATAATAGTTTGCCAATCGCCTTACTGACATTATAGGCTAAGCGCTCAGTTTACCAGTGGTGGATCATCTAATTCGCCTTTTATAATATCATATTATTTTTACAATAGAGTAGTTTCTAAATAGCTTTAAAATCTCGCTAAATCTCTTTTTTCATGAGGTTTTTAGAGATTTGTACTTTTTACCTCTAATGACTTACTTTTCTTTATTTTTGATAGCATATTTGAATTCAGTGACAAGTTTTCTCCAATAATAAGTTTGATTTATACAGTTATGTCATTTAAATCATTTTCCATGACATTTAAAAAAACTTGGGCCAAATATCCATTGGTGCAATGCTAAGATTCATTAAAACCTTGTCTTATTCGTATGACAACCAACATTTTCATGTTTAATCACAATATGTACATTAACAGTATCATCCGATAGTATGCCATTCGAGTTTCAGACAGATTCAACCAACACTTTTTGACAAATCATGAAATTAAGTGACTATTGCAAGTTTCTAGCATTGAACTGAATGGAGGTGTGGCCCAAGAAAATCAAAGACAAACAAGGGTGACATCTATTATGTCAGCGTTATTCAGCTATTTAGAAACTATACAATTGTAGTGCCGTATTCAATAACAATACTCAAACTGTGTTTATAATTTATATGGTATGAAATGGCTCATATGCCTTACTTCCCCATCCTTCAAGATCGGACATTACTGTCCCAGCTCATATGAAATAGATTGAAAATACCCTTGGACCAAGTCTATGGTGCTTATCAGTAACGAGTTTGATTTTCATACCAATCAAAGATGAAAAGGGCTCAACAGAAATATTAAAGTCTTATCTCGAACATAAATATAAGCTTACTGCATATATGCGTTCGCTTTATTGGTGTTAAGTAAATAGTCATGAGACACCACATACTAGGGGTGTACACATGAACCTTGAACCCGGACATACAAATACATACGTATAAGAAAGGCCAAGAAATGTAACAGATATAATTTGATGCAGCTAGTGTGATCATGTTAACAACACAGGCTAGAAACTACAGAGTTAAGAAAACTTAATTTGAATAGCAAGTGTAAATATTGACGATAACAGACAATGGCTACGCCTACCAGGCCAACAAATACTAAACCAAGTGTTCAAATCTCAGACACAGAAACTTGGGAGAAATCCAAACGATTCACAGTATACAAAGTTGTAGTGACACATGCAGGGAAGTCGTGGTTCATATTTCGACGCTATAATGAATTCCATAGTGTATACGAGAAGTTAAAAAAGGCCTTCCCGGACGCTAATCTACGTCTACCAGGAAAACGACTCTTTGGGAATCTTGATCCCGATTTCATAAAAGAAAGGAGAACCGGCCTGCATGAATTCATTCAGACAATTGTGAATACGCAGGCAATATTGAGACTACCGGAGATTCAGTTATTCCTTGGTATCAATAACCCCAGGAGAAGTCTAGTGGACGAGGATGAGACTGAGTCTGTAACTAATAGTAACGAGAGCGCCCCAGTGAATTTGGGCCCTACTGAAAAGACGCATGCCAAACCGAGTGACTTCGAATTTCTCAAGGTCATTGGTAAGGGCAGTTTTGGCAAGGTGCTTCTTGCCAAACATAAGCTAGAGGGCAAGGTTTACGCTATCAAAGTACTCAACAAACAAGCCATTATGAAACGCAATGAAGTGAAACATATCATGGCTGAGCGAAACGTATTGCTGAAAAATATCAAACATCCGTTTCTTGTTGGCCTGCATTACTCATTCCAGACCCAAGACAAGCTCTATTTTGTGCTGGATTACGTAAATGGAGGAGAGCTGTTCTTTCATTTACAAAGAGAGCGATATTTTCCAGAGCCTCGTGCTAGATTCTATGCAGCGGAGATGGCTAGTGCAATCGGGTACCTCCATGGTCTTAATATAATCTACAGGGACTTAAAACCTGAGAATATTCTCCTTGATTCACAAGGTCATATAGTGCTCACAGACTTTGGATTGTGTAAGGAAGATATAGAAGGGTTAGGCACGACCTCTACTTTCTGTGGTACGCCTGAATATCTCGCCCCGGAAGTCCTGCGCAAACAGGCGTACGATCGAACCGTAGACTGGTGGTGTCTTGGGGCGGTCCTTTATGAAATGATGTATGGCTTACCTCCATTTTATAGTAGAGATACGGCTGAAATGTATGATAATATTCTTTACAAGCCCCTGCGTCTTAGAACGAACATTTCCGTGCCAGCCAGGGCTTTATTAGAAGGACTTTTACAAAAAGAAAAAGGAATGAGAATGGGTGCTAAAGACGACTTTAACGAGATAAAAAACCACGCGTTTTTTCTCAACATCGATTGGAAGGATCTCGATGAAAGAAAGCTGAGGACTCCATATAATCCAAACGTAGCAGGACAAATGGACCTAAAACATTTTGACCCTGAGTTCGTGCGAGAACCAGTACCAGCGTCTGTTGGTAAGTCAACCAACAATAATCAGATTAGTGCGAGCGTATTAGAGGCTGATGGGGTTTTTGAAGGCTTCTCATACGTCCCTCCCGTATTTGATCACGATGACTGACCATAGTGGATGCGTAATAACACTGATGTGCCATCAAAACCTTCGGATCTGATGTTGAATTCAGCCAATAGGATATTTACGAATGGATCGCGATCGTTGATTTTAAAACGCACAGAAATACTTTGGCGATGTTCCTAAACATTTTTAAACAGTTATGCTTGTTTTCAAAACAGTCATAATATTATTTGTTTTATTGTATTAGATATCTAAATAAAAAAATATGCATGAGATAAGCTGTGTTTGAAAATCATTTTCAAATTACTATTACATGAGTTTGTAGCCAACTACGTGTAGATCATTCGATCATATACGAGTGAAAAGAACATACCACATACTAGATTAGTAAAAGTGTACTACTTTTATCACAAAAAGATCGAAATGAACCAATTTTGTGCTCTCTGCTGTTATTCGTGACTGTGTACATTTTCGATTGCCAGACAGACAGAATAGTCTGGGAAGGCGGAATAATCTTGTTTTAACACTCGTAATTCTTGATGGAGTGACCGTCACAGTGACGAATTAATGTTTCTGTTGTCAATACGGCCTCTTGATTTAAAGATGGCATCGCGGTAGTGGATGCCCAAAACAGGTTATCATGGTTACTGAGTGGTGATGTGGTGATCGGGCTAAACATTTCAGAAGTTGACTTAGCCCAATATCATACGGTTTACAATTTTAGGAAAATATCATGGAATCTCTGCCTGTCTACAGTATCAACATATCGTCACTCGCTATATGATTATACAGGCACCCGTTAATAGCAGGACAATCAGGTGAGATAAATGAGCCCCATATTTGTTTATGAAGTTGCATGGTTTGACTCAGCCAAACAATGCCAGAACTAGTTTGATACACAATCCTAGCACGTTTCTTAGAATCATATATACTTTCAATCCAACTTGATGATACTTGATCCATCTCCGACTGTTGTAAGGAAGAATATGCAGCAACACAGCCTTCTGACCTGTCTCGCACAAAAATAGTGTCTCGGGCATAAATGCACAAGTCCTGCAAAGGATTTAATATCTAATATTATGTCAGGATACATTAATTAGTTCAATTCAAGAGTAGAGAACGTTATAAAAACGTGTATTATCAAAAATATGCATGCAGTGGTTGAAGTGGGGGAGTTTTTTTATATAGCTAACTCTCTCCGCCCTCTACTCATTATATTATTTTGACCATCTCATAATGTGTTGCGGCTCATTATACAGTTATAGAAATACAAAAACATACAGTTTTGTGATAACGTCTATCAGGTTTTGCATTTTGTACAGGTCGTGTACACACCCACTACTCGATTTAGAGCAACAAAAAACGATTGATTTTTGCATGTTGACGTTGCGCCTGTTAAATAGAAGCGACAAAAATCATAGGACGCCTTACATATTCTACCACATCGTGCACTTATTTAGCGATTTATCCTCTCTAATATAGTCTTGCGTCAAGACCCTGGACCCCCCTTTCTCTTTTCTAATGTGTTGGAGAAGTAGATAAGGGGGAGGGGGTCCACAGTCTTGAAGCAAGACTATGTTTAATACTTAACTTTCTCATGAAAATATAATTCTTGCAGATTTGTTCAGTTTTCTTGCAGAAATGAGCCATAAAATCGATCACAGAGTGAAATGTAAATTGCTGTAATGTAAATTATGATTTTGGTATTGACCTACAAATTATTTGATACAAGCTATATCTGTATATTGAGTGCACCAGGGTTTCATGTGTACACAGCCAATCGCCAACGGTACCGGTGTAAACTGTCAATTCTCCATTTCGCTGTTCGCTCTTTGAATCAGAACGTTCGCATATATGGTGCATAGATGTACTCAAAAAGGACAAAATTTGATTGGTCAATATTTTTCAACGATGCATTTCGTGTAGCTATTTGTGAGACCCGAAAGTTCTAAATCAAATTAATTACGCAATTTTGTTTTTACACCCGCAAGCTAAATAAAAAAATGACACCATCGGAATTCTTCTTCTTTGTCATTGAATTAATAGTCAGTATACCAGATTTAATCAATAAAAGATTATACAATTAACAACAAAATTCGGAAACGAGTATGTAAGATTTGCTTTCGAACCACTAAACTTGACCTAGATAATAGCGACGTGTCTTCTTTGGTCAAATGCTCAGTTGTTTGTGGGTTTTCAACGTAACTCTATAATGTAATATGAAGATGAGTACTTTTATTCAGTTGTTGCATCGATGTTACAGTTTGTAGTGCGGTAATATTGGCATGAACGTGTTGAAAGTCGAATGGAATTGCTTTTTCCAATATGGCGACTAGTCACGTGACTTCTTCTCTTCCGGAATATACTCCCATTTTCAATCATTGTTTTCACCCCGTTAGGAGCCAATAAAATGAAAAAAAATATATGTTATATAAAGATTATTAAAAGACTAATTGTTTCTGATAGTTTGTTTTCTCCGATCGCATGGAGATTCGATCGAAAATATCGCTTGAAAAATGGGTATGAAAATCCCCATGTTAAACCAACGGGGAAAAACAAGGTAGAAAAATTTTGTTCCCCCGCGAACTGCATCATGGGAAATATTTTGACCTTATAAGGAAAAACTTTCGCGCCATCTTTATTAGAGATTCAATACTACCGAATCCGCGATTTTAAGAATTAATTTATGGTTTCTCCATTGTTTTATATTGTGACCTATTTCCCTTACCCGAACACCGTCCACAAAAAAAGTTGGAGACTATAACATCTGACTATTAACAATTATTATGTCACCATTTCTGATGGTGACATAACTAGTACAGCATGGAAATGACTCTCAGGGTGCACTTCAGTTGCAAATAATGAAACAAAATGTGACCTTGATCTACTGGAAAATCCAAAGAAAGGAAACTGTTATTCAAAATATTAAGTCTGGTGTGATGTAATAAACACCATTTACCTTTCACAGTCATCAGATTATGAGAATGCAATTCTTAAAATCGCGGATTCGGTAGTATTGAATCTCTAATAAAGATGGCGCGAAAGTTTTTCCTTATAAGGTCAAAATATTTCCCATGATGCAGTTCGCGGGGGAACAAAATTTTTCTACCTTGTTTTTCCCCGTTGGTTTAACATGGGGATTTTCATACCCATTTTTCAAGCGATATTTTCGATCGAATCTCCATGCGATCGGAGAAAACAAACTATCAGAAACAATTAGTCTTTTAATAATCTTTATATAACATATATTTTTTTTCATTTTATTGGCTCCTAACGGGGTGAAAACAATGATTGAAAATGGGAGTATATTCCGGAAGAGAAGAAGTCACGTGACTAGTCGCCATATTGGAAAAAGCAATTCCATTCGACTTTCAACACGTTCATGCCAATATTACCGCACTACAAACTGTAACATCGATGCAACAACTGAATAAAAGTACTCATCTTCATATTACATTATAGAGTTACGTTGAAAACCCACAAACAACTGAGCATTTGACCAAAGAAGACACGTCGCTATTATCTAGGTCAAGTTTAGTGGTTCGAAAGCAAATCTTACATACTCGTTTCCGAATTTTGTTGTTAATTGTATAATCTTTTATTGATTAAATCTGGTATACTGACTATTAATTCAATGACAAAGAAGAAGAATTCCGATGGTGTCATTTTTTTATTTAGCTTGCGGGTGTAAAAACAAAATTGCGTAATTAATTTGATTTAGAACTTTCGGGTCTCACAAATAGCTACACGAAATGCATCGTTGAAAAATATTGACCAATCAAATTTTGTCCTTTTTGAGTACATATATGCACCATATATGCGAACGTTCTGATTCAAAGAGCGAACAGCGAAATGGAGAATTAGAAAGTTAATTTCAGATAAGCGTTTTAATTTTTTAGTTCGTCTACACTGTACAGTATTGCAAGGTATATATAATTCTTATCACACTGAGGTGACATCATTGAAGTGGTTGACCATGGTTTTACAAAATAAATCCTAAAACATGCTTAGTCATGAAACCTACCGTACCAATGGCATGGATTCGGAGCGGGATTCTGAGTAGCCTGAGAAATGATTTTATCAGCAGATTAATTTTCATTAGGTACTGTTTGCAAACTGCCCATATTTAAACGCTAAAACACCAATACTGTGACGTTGGTCATGTTAATACAGCGAATCGACTTGGTAAATGCTACGCACACTCTGGGATCCACTTATTTCATCTATGTACAGGATCTTGACTCTATTCTATTTAATGATTAACTTGCATAATCAAATATCATATAGTAAATTCGAAACTTAGTCAGCGATCGAAGTCTTTTTGGATTCGGACAGCACTTATACATTTGAATCCAAAATATAAAGCTAGGCTTACAAGATGAGTATAGAAGAGAGTGCTCTCTCACAAACTAAAATCACGGGAAAAGCTCATATGAATGACACAAACTCAAATGGCATCCATGGAGATACCGTCCAAGGAAAAGAAAATGATGTTGTTAAAAAGCTCGGGGATGATGAGCGTGTTGGAATGAAACGCCAGCTGACATTGATGCACACTGTGGCTGTAATAGTAGGCACTGTAATAGGATCAGGGATCTTCATCAGCCCGAAAGGAGTCACAAGGAACGTTGGATCAGTCGGTGTTTCCCTCATCATCTGGACAATAGGAGGACTTATTAACATCCTTGCTGCACTATGTTATGCAGAACTCGGAACAATCATACCAAAGACTGGCGGCGATTATTACTACGTATATGATGTTTTTGGTCCTCTATTAGGATTTATGAGTCTTTGGGCAAACATTGTCATCGTTCGGACTGCTTCTCTGGCAATATTGTCAAGGACTGTGGGAACCTATCTCATTCAGTTATTCTTCAACGATTGTGGTTCTCCAGGTGTTATCGTCACTCTAGTAGCACTTTGGTCAGCATGTGAGTATAATCCATATGCATGCATCAAAATAAATCTCAATTAACATATTTAACACTGTTTAATCTAGCAGTTAGAAAAACAGCAACTCCCCAGCAAATTGCACTGAACTAAATATATTACATCAAATAAAAAATGGTTAATTTGTAGCGACCATATTGAGAATTATTTCAAAGTGAAGGTATCCAAACGAAGTTAGCCTATAAAGATTGGAGCAAATCCGATAACAGGTACTCATATTTGGTGGGAACGTGAAGATAAAGGTAATTGATAACAATTAAATGATCATGAGTAAATGTCTATGCAGTCTTATCAGTAGCATTCTATATAAAACATGACACTGTTGGTGAATCCTAAAGCATGTAAAATGCCTCATAACATGAACAGATGGCTACAGAAATGTTTCTGTATGTATGTTTTAAATGAACCCTAGATTTCCAGCGACTCAGGAAGAAATGTTCGTGGGAATATTGTCTTTAATTTTTAATTCAGAAGTATACTGTACATAAATACATACTAGAATAGTATATAAGTGGACACTCTTGCTATGGAACTAGGAGAGAGACAAGATGCAGTAGATGCCCAAATATAGGCTAATGAACATGCCCAAATATAGGCTAATGAACATACGGGTCAACAAAAAACACTAATAGCACAAGCGTTCCCCGCCACTTGACATTAAGAGGAGCAACGAACAGTTGATAAAGAACAATAAAGCTTGAAAATCTGTTTCTTTAAATTCCAGTAACACTGTCATTCGTGAATGCCTACAACGTAAAATTGGCTGCTAGGGTTCAATCGCTGTTCACATTGTTTAAGCTGCTAGCTCTCGCCATCATCATTGTTACTGGTTTCGTAGAATTGGGAAGGGGTGAGTATAACTAGACTGATGATTATTGACATCAAATAGAGTTCAAGTTAAGACTCCCTTTTTAATTGACCTACATTTTACTTCTTAAAGGTAGATTTGTATACTCAAACTCATGAAAACCTAGTGGAGTTATCTGACCATTTTGCCTTTAAACATGTTAAAAGACAATAGAATACTACACTGTAATGTCATTTTATTCGAAGATTAAATAAGAAGATTTGAGCTGATCTACTTTTTGGACACATCTGACAAATCTGTGTCAAAATACATGAAATACGTCCCGACGACTAATGGCTGAGACCATTATCATATACTCTTGGCTACTATGTGTACTATTAAAATGTCAGGATCGCAAAAAAATATATAGATTTTTTGAAGCTGCGGCCGCCATAAGAGCAAATGTTAACTCATATATAAAATACAATTATATATCACACCGGAATATCTGACTTTACCTTTGTCACAAATGACGGACATAGCCGTCGCTCTCATTTCAGGGGACTTTATCGACAATTCTGTGCATGTATTAAGCTGTTGTGATGATGTATCATATGCAATTCAAAGTCCGATCATCGCCACAATATAGCGTCTTTGATATCGTCAATGACAACGGGATCTGAATTTGAAATAATTTACAATGTACGTTGTCCCGCATCTAATTTTGATCGGTTAAATTAAAGACTTTATTTCGATGGTAAAACATTATTACTGTACAATGAGTATAAATACACTTTGCTTGATTGTTGTTCCAAAGAAATTTAGTCTAAGTGCTCTATTAAACGTACAGTTCATGAAAATCTAATTGAAGGGACGGTTATGTCCGCCATTTGTGACAACGGAATCAGACTTGTCAGGTGTGATATATAGGCCTACATAAAGTTCAATAACTCTTGTATATGAAAAATTATTAGTAAAATTAATAATTGATATCATACATTTAATTATGAATATGTTTACTACAAACATGTTCATGACGCATCATTTGCAAAAACAAATGATTTATTTATCATTTGTTAGTAGTTACAACCTATAAACAGATAAGGTATATGTTCCACATGGTACAAATCTAGTCCCTTTCTTAGTATAGGCTATCGGACTGACTATACATTCTTTTTATCTGCACCATGTATTTTCTCTGGGGTCTAGAAAACAACTGAACAACGTTTGGTAGTAAAATTGTTTATTGAGAGCGGATAGCATGCATGATGTGCATGAAGTATTTATACTTTACAAATACTTTGTATTGTAATTGTAAAGAAACCCTATGGACACCCTGATGTCAAGGAACCCTGTATGTTAGTATGTCTAAAATGTAATCAATAGTAAAACCAATGCGAAACATACTTTGATGAATTAAACAGTACAATCAATCAACTCATACACATTTGTAAACATGCTAAACATTGTCAAACGGTTCAGTCTCGAATCAATCGTGAACCGCTTATTACCATATGAATATTAAGCAAATAGTTCATTCTATATATTAAAATTTATTGATTAAATAAATGTTCACAGGTTAAAACAAGTATTCTATATTTCTTTAAATGCAAAGTGATCGTAGAGAATGTCTAGCAAGATATAATGAAACAAATATTTCATCCTATGTTCGGGCAATAACTGTTGCACTTTCAATGATTCTTGCGGGCAATATACATGATATATACAGCAAAATTGACCACAATAGAATAACATATTTGCTAAGTCTTACAATTCAAGAAAATAAGCAGAAGCTAGCCTAGGTTTGCACTCCTACATATTCTACAGGTATCCAAATTCTTGCATTTGTTGTATAGGGTGATCCAAAATCAATTCTCTAAATGTCTAGATCATAGCAATATAACTACAGTGTATACCACTGTTTGCTCCTTTGACTTGTGCAAACAGGGCAAATTGAAAAAAACACAAAGGAAAGTATTGAAATTAAAGACAAAGCATTCGAGAAAAGCATATTTGTGTCATAAACAACTATAATCTAAGTCAATCGCTACATTATACATAGAGACGTCACTTTCCGTTGGTAGAAGCTATCACGCCCAGCGATCAGACAAAATGAACGGAGTATGTGGCTATAGTGCATACAAATATGTGATGGAAATGATAAACATAGAGAATTAGGGTAAACTTGATAATGGAGTCATCAGTGTCAATTTTATGATATGTCCCTCAATATAAAAGCCCACATTGAAAATCAATATATTCCTCTTAATAAATACCCATGAGCGTTTTTTCGAGGGCTTGCAAATAAACGTCCATGTTATGTAAACTCAGTGGGTGAATTAAAATATTCATCAAGTAGTTTTCAACTAATGGATCAATCCAAGTTTCTGCATCAAATTACATTTGAAATGTTACATTTCCATACGATTACTGCTACGGCCAATGCAATATGTCAAATAAATTCTACAAAGGCAAACAACTTAATCATTATGGATGTACAGGAATTGAGCCTTTCATATCACTAAATCATTAGTAAAGAGCAAGTGTCAATTTTAATAGGAATTCACCATTAATATGAAATACAGGTACCGCTTATGCACTCAAAGGTTTTTAAAAAATGTCACCAAATGCAAAAATAAATAGTTAACAGTCTGACATTCGTTGTGTAGTCATAGATATCATTAGCCCATCTAACATGTCTAATCGAAACATCCCAGAATAATGGCATTCTATTATCACGACCATACATGTTGTCTTCAGGAAATAACGCGAACTTCGTCAATGCGTTTGAAGGCAGTAGGTATGATGTTGGTTCTCTGGCACTTGGTATATACGCTGCCTTCTACGCATATGCAGGATGGGAAGCTGTCACATCACTCGCAGAGGAGATCATTGAGCCAGAGAAGTAAGTCCCTTTGGTTATGCTGGAAAATATGCAAGACGGGTAACTTTTTCATAAATATCTTTAGAAATAATATTGAAAAGATATAGTCCCTCAAAGGTCGACACCGGCCGAGCTCATGTGTTATTATAATGTAATATGTATCCCTTACTTTTAGGGAGTGCTAGAGTGTGTCATGCTTATGAGTATTCACATATCAAATATGAGCAAAATCGCTCTATTACTTTTTGAGTTACAGTAAAAAAAACAGGCCCGTAGCCAGGGGGAGCCCCCTAGATATCTCCTAAAATAATGTGGACCTACCTTTTTTGCTTTCTTGAAGAATTTTCTGACATTTCGAAGTAGAAGGTAACATTTGGTGACATATGTACGGTGTATTTTGATGTGATTGCCACTTTCTTTTTATAAAATTCTATATTGACTAGAATAGCGAGGCAACTAGATAATTCGGAAATTAATCATATATTTTGATCCTTTAATCGCTCAGAAGGTGTCAAATAAGCCTAAATATTCAATTTTTATTTAAATACACAAATCATATATTTTGATCCTCGAACTGCCCAGAACGCACTAAATCAGCCCAAACTTTTTCAGGGGAGCATGCCCCTGATTTTTTAATAAATCATATATTTTGATCCTAGAATCGCCCAGAACGTGTCAAATAACACTAAAAATTCGGTTTTTTAAAATACGTAAATCATATATTTTGATCCCGAGAACGATCAGAACGCATCAGAATCGCCCAGAATGCGCTAAAATAGCTTAAAAATTCAGTTTTTTAAATACGTAAATCATATATTTTGATCTAGAATCGCTCAGAATGCACCAGAATTGCCCAGAATGCGCCAAATAAGCCTAAAAATTCAGGGGTGGATAACAAGCCATGATAATTTGGCTCGAATTTTGTTCCGTCTAAATCAACTAATTAGTCACTTTTAACAACATTAGGGGATTACTGGGCATTTTAAAAACATTGGGCCCTTATTTTTTTCTGAACAAGCGCGGAAATTTTTAGGTTCCCTCGTTTTCGTGGCCACCCCTGGTGTCTTGTTTATAACACCCTTGTGGTCACAATGTGAAGTTGGTTAAGCATGAAAACATTTTTGTGTGTGGATAGGGGGGGGGGGGGTTCGAGCCCCCTAACCAAAACCTGGCTACTGGCATGAAAAACGTAAATTAACAGACCTGAAAATGGCGGCCATTTTCAAAATGGCCGCCTTCTAGCCAAAGTGCCATAAAACAGTGTGCCATATGTGAACAAAATCGCTTCACTACTTTTTAAGTTACAGTAAAATGTCTACATTTCTAGCTTTTATTTATTAATGTCTTGTTTCACTTTTTACATTTAAAACACATTGCTATTACAGTTTTATGTATTGTAAATAAATAATACTATAAAATCGGCACTAAAACGCCGTTTTAAAACGAGTGGCCATTTTGAAAATCGGCTTTCAAGCAGAACTTCTACCAATTTTGTGCCCTATGTCTACCCACATAGGGCACATGTGTACAAAATATGAACAACATCAGGCCAACATCAGACGTACGTATGTGAAGGCCCAGGTATTCTTGGCTACCCATCTATTCTGATTCTTGCCGAAGTATACTGACCTGACCCAAGTATTCTGGGTTTACTTATTTTTTCGAATACACTCGATAGATGTCCGCGTTAGTTTTTTAATCATTTGTCGATGGATTCCACGTATATTTAAAAGATGGCTCCTGAAATTAATTTGGAAACCATTCATGTTTTTATAAATGATATACAGGGTAACCCCCAAAAATGCAACCCTCCACTTCTTCAATATTTTTCTTAAAAGGAGAGCCCCAAAAAGTGAGGGCCAAAAAACGTATAGGGCAAAAAATGTTCTTCTATCCACATAAATTGAGCAATTAAGGTAACAACTCGGCATTACTGGGCATGATTTATTTTAATTTTGAGCCTGTTCTTATAAACAGGGTTCAAATTTCCAGATTTAGGACCCCCTACTCTTGATTTTCAGATCCGCCCCTGGAATGTAAGTATTTTTACAGCCACTGTATATCTTCTGTGCTTTTTTACTTTTCATGTAAATTTGGACCAAAAGGATCCAGTGCACTCTCCATTATGATTTCCCCATGAACAAAATGAATCATTTTTAGGTGTAACATAAAGAATACAATGTTACATAATACTTTGGAAAATATCTAAGCATTTGGACCCACATGGGCTGAGGTTGAAGACATTGAGTTCAGCAAGGGTGTATTGACTTGACAGTGGATGTGTTCCATTGACTTAACATGTGGATATCATCAGATTCCAATGGAGGCCATTGGTTTCTATTGATTTTCACAAATATACCGAAAATACACTATGACCTGAATCGATTGCAAATTAAATAATTTCACAATATGACACAACTGGTATATCACATCAGATGTGCAAATATAAAGTTTGCAATCGATTCAGGTCATACTTCAAATCAAAAGATTATACATTTTTTCATCATTATTTCCCTACAATATGGCTATAGAAAAATGCTTCAAAAGCAACTTTTACACTTATGAAATACCATATAACTTAGTAAATCCAAAGATTATACTGTTATGTTTCATTAATTCATAACATATTTGGATAAGATGTAGGGATGTGTAGGATGCAAATGGATTTTGACAAACACAAAAATACTTCCTGATTTGGCATCTCTACCCCTGTACACTTTATGATTGAATACAGTATTGGCCCTTATAAGTGGCCCATTCATCAATACAGTGCTGCATATAGGTCAACAGGATACTAGTGTACAATAATAATAGCAGTATATTAATTTTAAAAATCAGATGAATTTATTTATTTTTGTTCATGGGGAGATCATAATGGAGGGCGCACTAGATCTTCTATTCGTGTAAAAAACATGAGTGTATTCCTGAAAACAAAAATCCAATAGTAATTAAATGATTTCCTCGTTATTATTTTATGACATCTTTGCTAGTGACAGTGATAGCAACATATTTTATCTAGGCATTAACATTCAAAATGTCGTCACTGGCATTTGTTACAGATGCCGAACGCCAACCACAGAACACCGTCCACAAAACGTTGGAGACTATAACAATATGTCACCACTTGTAGACTCCCACTCCTTGATGCGTATCAATTAAACCTTTAACCATAACGTGCACATATTCGCTGGCATTTAGCGAATAATTCGTAAACTTTCTCGTGACAAAATGGATCTGTATTTCTAAGAGAAATCGGCTGAGCTTGTCAAAAACATCAAACCTGAGGTCAGAGTCGACAAAAAAATTAATCATTTATCAGATAAAATATGTTTGAATTTCAGTAAAAGTAGCTACATGAATTTTCAATATCTAAATCTTGGCCACTATATCAGCCTGCTCAGCGCTCTTTATGTAGTTCAGATTTTTCAATACACCCAATGAATTCGTCTGTATCTATGTTAGAAGTCTCTTAATTAGTCTGTAAACACAAACATGCCGAGATTAAAAGTAATACTATAATCTAGTACATTAACACTTCTAAAACATAGTTGAAAACATGTTTACGTCTGTTTAATAGATCAAGATTTTTTGCAACTGGAAACATGAGACACAAGATCTAGGGTCATGTGTAATATGAGAAACCTGTGCTGAAAAGCAAGACCGATGAGAGGCTGATTGTGCAAAGTTACAAACCACAATAAAAAACAAGACATCTATCGAGTGCATTTGAAAAAATTAGCAAACTCGGAATACTTGGGTCAGGTAAGAACACTTCGGCAAGAGTCGGAATAGTTGGGTAGCCAAGTATACTTGGGCTTCCACATACGTACGTACGGAGGTGTTCCCTTTATCCCTCCGAAGGATAATGGGTTGGACTTGAGATGATTTTCATGAAGTGTAAATTATGTATACAAACACTAAGTTTGCCCAACCAGACATCAATATTTAAGGATTTAAGGCCTGGACTTAGTGCATTGTTATTTTAACTTTTGCACGAGATGCGCAACATCGAGTGTGAAATTTAAGAAACAACGCCTGGGTGGAATGAATCAGCCACAATGTATCACGTCTGGCTATATTATGTTCACAGTTTGCAAGATATTTCTACGAAATCACTTTTTACAAAGGTCAAGTTGGCAAAGTATCAATTTCATTTCAATTTGTTTTCACCTTAACAACCATTCAACGGATGACATTGGGTGGTTAATTGGTAATATAATGCAATGCAGTTATAGGAAATACTGTCTTGAATTGGCTGGAATCGGACGCGCCTTGGCTGCTGTGTGAATACCTGCTATCACACTGTAGTTGTGATAACGATAACATGTGGCCATCCTATCAAGGTCTATTGAAAAATTTTCTAATTTCAGAAACTTACCAAAAGCAGTTTGGATTTCCATGATAACAGTAACAGGGGTCTACGTCCTAAGTAACGTCTCTTACTTTACTGTAATGACCCCACAAGAACTAGTGTCCTCCAATGCAGTCGCGCTGGTAGGTTTAATGATTTCTGTGCATTTCTGTGTTGCCAATTCCATCCCTGTTTTCAGCCATACAGCCATATCAGCAATCTAACGCAGCCTTATTTTTCAGACATTTGCTCAAAGAACATTGAGCGGGGCAGCATGGATCATGTCACTCTTTGTCGCAGCTTCATGCTTTGGTTCAATAAACGGAGCTATACTTAGTAACGCAAGGTAAGGATACCCCAGAACTCATAGATGAATAACCTCTATTATACATGTTATATGTAAACATGAACGTCGAGATATGTATTTATATAGAGGTAGATTCATCTACGAACTCGTGGGTATTCCTCTTCGCAAGGTACGTGTTCTAGTTGTACATTTCAAGTAAATGTGTTTCATTCCTAGAAGATTCTCATCTCCATTTTTTTATTTCAGATATACCTCATGTCTTGGCAGAAATGTTTGAATAAAAAGGAAAAGGCCTAACTTTTCATTGTAAATAAGTCATTGTAAATATATATTTGAACTGATGAACGTTTCGAAAACAAAATGAATTGAACTATTGGGGGTAGGCAAAATCCATATGTTACTTTAAACAACTATATTTCATGTATTTGACGGTCTATTCATTTTTTCAGATATATCTTTGCAGGGGGCAGAGAAGGTCAATTCCCCACAGTTTTTGCCATGGTGAATGTTAAGTATTCCACACCGATGTTAGGAGTAGCTGGCCAGGTACCAAACTAATGCATTTTATGTTTTAACATCTGGACGTGAATAGTTGCACGTTGAATAATTTTGGGTAACAATAAGAGCACTTCGACATAACATGACGTCAAGACACAAGCTTTCGTACAATACTAACATTCACATTCATATTCTAATACTGAAATATTTTTGCAAAATATGCTTTACGAATAAACGATAAAGGCAAGGATATAATTCATGACGCAATACATAACCAGTGTTTCATCTGATCATTACTAAACCTTTTATTGCAGAACGATTGACAATGATCGAGGTCTTTGTCGATGGGTAGAATGAAATCAAAGGTCATATATATGCATATATGCTATAAATCATAAAATCGAGGTCTTTGTTTCGATTCTAATATTTTACATCAATTACATATCATTAAAGGTAATATAACATGCATAATAATATTAAGATATTTCTCAGTTAGTATCTGTTTTTATACCGTGGTCGGAGCAATATCAGGTACAGTATATAATAGCAAGTGACAGATCACATATTTGGGACAGGGACGATATCAGGGATCATATCGGGATTAGAGGGGTGATATCAGGGATGATATTGATATCACCCTGGGTATATTCCCCCCATACTTTATTTATTCAAAAAAATTCATTTTTCAAAATTTTTCATCTTTGCTCTTGACCATGGTATAAGATCGTTATTCACCTGTCGTGAAGAAATGGGTAATATCCCTCGGATGATATCAATATTAATGATATCATCCTTGTGATATTCTCTATTTTAAATCCCTACTTTATGTTGTTTATCCTTATTATATAGGCTGTACTAGTGCTCGCATATTGCTTTGTCTCGGACATAAGTGCAATAATGCAATATCTAATGGTGGTGAGGCAGATACGCTACGTCATGTCGGTTTCAGTTCTGTTGTTCCTTAGATGGAAGAAACCAGACATTGAAAGACCAATAAAGGTAGACTCTCAGTAATAGTTTACCTCTTAAACTAAACAGTGGAAAGGTTATGGATGCGAGAGCAGACACTCTACGCCACCAGGGTATTTTTTTATTTTTGAACCTATAAATGGGGCCTTTGGGCTTCCTTTTCAAAAATACCTCGTTCAATGAAAGATCCCATTTTCTGAAAAACAAACCTTACGACTGTACTGCAGAGAAAACTGTCAGTCAAATACCCCCTCCCCCGTATTGTGTTGAGCCGTCGGATTACATTTCAATTGAAATATTAAATAAAACTTTTGTAGCTAATTTATATGCATTTGTATTACAGGTAAATTTGATACTGGTGATATTTGTGTATGTGGTGATGATCGCATTGATAATTATGTCATTCATCAGCAACCCTGTCCCAAGTGCAATAGGACTCGCTGTCTTCTGTACATCGGTACCAGTCTACTTTTTGAGAAACATGTGCCACAAGACGTTTTGTACTGGATACATGAGCGTCGTTGGTAAGCTTTTAGATATAGTAATGCTTGATCGTTGCACCAATAGTGGAAACGAAGAAAAAAATAATCCAGATCCAACTAACCTAGATTTCATATTAATTTTCAGGAGCGCTCAGTGCGCCTTTAAGAGAGAAAGAATTTAAGTGAGTTGTTCGTTGTGATTATAAAGGGCGACAAGAACAAAACACATTTACAATTCGGGCTACAGGCAGGATCATCTGACAGAATGTTGTTTTGCATTTCAGACAGAGTTTCACTATTTCTCCAGCAGCTGTTTCTCTCCTGTCCCGAGGACACCAAGAAAGATGAATGAGCAAACAAGTTATAGCAAGAGAAATGATTGAACTGCTCAAGAAATGTTGCTGAGGTCAAGCTCTCTATATTTCCCCAATGGAATTTCTGATAGATTTATGTCTTTATGTTCCATGGAACGTTAAGTTTCCTAAAGGATGTAACATATCAGAAAATGAACATAATATGAGGACTTTGATAGCCTAACTAAAATAAAAAGAATCGCAATTGCTAAAAGAACTGGACAATTGTTTATACGATGAAAACTTTATTTCTCGACTTATTCTATACAACATCTAACATTGTCTAACTTATACTATACTACAAATGTCATACATTTTTATTATATGCATCCACGAGACTTGCCAATGCATATCTTACATTTCCACATTTTATGTGATCACTGTACAATTTATCAATGTTTGGACATACTGCCACCTTGATAGTGCTTTAATGATTTTATTTATAAATATAATAACCTACATCAAAGCCATTTATATGTCATCTTTCCTTTTTTGCCATAGTGCGATGTAGGCCTCCAATGTAACATTAACGTACTTGTACACTTATATCACGGGATGGGACATGTGAGGAATACCTTTAATATCCCGATTTCAGTATATTCCTGTGAGAAAACCCTGTCTTTTCGGCGAATACCAGAATAATGATTAATTTAACCAGGAATCCATTTAGCAGAGATCATTTAACAAACGATTTTTAAAAAGTTCAAGTACAAGGGAATATCCTAAATTCCATAAAATATACGAATGGTAACGACTACTCATAAACTCCGATATATATATACCAGCGTGTTAAACGTAATAAGTTGAAACTGTAACAGAACATGATTTTACATCATAAGTAATAAAACAGACATTATTTTGACATATTCCTAATTCATCATTCCTTATTCCTAAAAATCTTTTGATACTTAGCCTTATCGAGTTTTTAAGTATTTAAGAAAGTACTTTGATAAGCCTTTCATTCACTCATACTTTCTTTAGGTAACTTGAATCAAACGTTATACTTGCTTGTCCTGATAAATACCACATTGAATTTCGACTAAAGTAACACACACTGTACACATAGTAAAATATTTTCAAGGCCCTATATAAAGTTTAAACCACTTTGGCATATATTGTAGTCCTACCCAGTTTTACAATATTTAGTGTTGTGTCAGCTTAAAATCTAAACTTTACGTTTCCTAAATACCAAATTCTAATATAATTGAAAATCATAAGATGAATAACTTTTTTCAAAACTCATGTTTCAAAAAAACGTCTCCAATGGTTTTTCATGTTATGAAAAGTGATATTTGAAAGATTAAACTATATTTAAAACTTTATACGGGGCCTTTAATTCAAAATATGTTTGGGATTGTCCATGAACTTTATTTAACCATGTTTCAATATCTCGTAATAAATACAATGACTTCTCAGATCTTTTATATCTCCTATCACGGTCATGGACAACGATGTTAAATGATCTGGTATTAAACGGATTAAAAGTAAGTTCACTTGGTAATGAACAATACAGAAATACAGTGCAATTCTAACGGAAGTGAAAAACAGAAATGTGATGTAAGCATCTTGGGTAACTATTTATATGTCGCCTAGGTCCTATTGAACAAGTACATCAAGTTAACATTGTTCATCTTGGATATGGCCCTCTCATCATGGGATTATATCCCAGAGGTCTGGGCTGGGGGATATGGGGGATAAGAGGTCTGATTTGCATCATAGGATTAGTAGGTGCAAATTGTTGAACAACTGGAACTAACTGCACAGGTTGTTGTTGTACTGGCATCAACACTGGCCTTTGTGGTCGTGGTGCAGCAAAACTAGGATTGTTAATGCCATATGGAGGAGGGCTAGGGTTTCGGGCAATAACTGTCTCTTTTTTAGTGTTCTTCTGAGGTGGCTGTATTGGAGTATTCATTTTACCATCTCTCATTTGATTTACTGATTGACTTTGTCGACCTCCTGATTTTTCATTAGATTCTGAAGCTTCACTATTTTTTAGATGCATTGCTGCCTTAAGGGCTCCTTTCAAATCCTCTTGACTAAATCCAGTTTGACCCTGAGCAGCCAGCGTCTCCTTCAACTGGTCTAATGCCTCCTGGTATTGGTCAGGCGCCATGCCTAGTGTATCATCATCAGTAGCCAGATTCGCTTGGGGAGATCTATGTGATGATCCAGAGTTATCAGTCATTGCATTCTCTCGATTTCTGTTGGATGGGGGCAACTGAGGACTTTGCTCCGTATATGCACTGGTAGGTGCTGGACCTGGAGTCACAAACACACCCGATGACTGCAATGGTCTTTGACCAACCTGCTGTCCAACTATACGATTGTAAGGTGCCTGGCGCTGTTGCGTATAATTGCCACTTGGCAGAGAGGAACTATAGTTCACTGGAGCATTATAATTACTACATGGGGCACCATATCTATCATTTGCTGAACTTGTAACCATACGTATCTCTGTACCACCGTAGTTGCCTGATGACTGAGAATTATCTAAGAATGGATCATATGGTCTGATATCTGTGTCAGGCTTTCTGATATCAACATCACCATGTGGCCCTCCATCAATCTCATATCCAGCTGGTCCTGGTTGTGGCGGGAGACTTAGGGGATTACTTCCAAATATATTAGCAACTGCTAGCTTAGCCTTGGATAAAATATCGTCTGGAACTGATATAGAGGCAGGGATTGAGGTGGCCGGTCTAGACTCATTTGCAAAAGGGGTCTGGTAGATAGGCTGATTTGTTGGGAGGCCACTTGTTAGGCCAGCATGCTAGAAATAGAGAAAACACGTTTTAAACTATACAACTAAATATGGCGTAAATCAACAATGATTTTATTTCAACATTCCATTTTACCAAAATAACCAGGCCTATTTAATATGAAAAGTGAATAACTTAGAAATCAAGTGAATTTCATTTCAACCGACATTTCAATTCGCAATATGCCAAGTTTTAAATAAAATGATTCAATTATCAATACTCAGATAATTAAATCAATCTGCGAGGACACATGTGGAAAAGTCAATTTTAATTTAAAAAAGATGCTAGCTTACAAGTTCTGTTACATTCTCTAGTCTGTATTTCAAAAGTGCGTCCGATAGTTGTTTGGATACATCCATTGCAATTGCAGCATCTGTCTCGTTGGCAATAGAGGAATTAGACTGAAGCAAACCATAATAACACAGGTTATGTAAATGCTTACACATCAAATATAATATTTTGAAAATTCATGATTTACTTAAGTTTCCATGTGTATTACATATTTATCTGTACATCTGTACTATAATATCTCCGATACAGCCTGTGAAATGATATTGTTAAATGACCAGAAGAGGATCTTGGTTTGTGAATCACTAAATGCTGAATTATTATCGTGTGTATTGTATTAATTAGGTTTTCCTACCAGTCCTGATAAAAATCCAGTCATGGCCTTAGCTGGGTCTGGGTTAGGTTTAAGTTCATTATCTTTCATCTTCTGAATCATAGCAAGCTGTTGGGCTACCTTCGCTCTTTCTAGTAGGGCATCTGTATCTAAATGTATATTTACTCAATATGTCAATTCACTAATGATACATGTTATAAGTATTTCTAATTGTGTTTGTACAAGGGCCTATCAATACAATCACTACTTTTTGCTTTATTTTCTTTTATATTTGTTCATTTCAATTTGAATTTGGTACAAACAAGCAGTGTTGTATTCCGCATTTTTTTGATACCATATAATTTGACCCCATTACCATATATGGCAAAAAAAATTTGGTCATAACAATTGGAGGAATGGGCAATCGTAGCTGCCCATAATTTTACCGTAATTGCACATGCAATGATATCTTTATATGCATAATCAATAAACATTCAAGTTGGGTAATTTTTTATACATACAGGGTGATCACTAAGTTCTGGGAATTTATCTGTTATTTCATTATTTTTCAACCAATTTACTTGAAATTTTCAAGGTAAATGGGGAATATAATTTTGGGTTGGATAAAACAGTATCATTGTCATCTGATGTCACAATGGATAATTGTTGTTACTATAGCAACATGACAAGTGGCGTAGCGGGTCAAGTAAAATAAAAATGAATTCAAATTTTGCTTGATCCAAAAGTATGGTTAATAAATACCTATTTGGTGGACATATTTCTGTGATTTTTCATATTTTCAAATACTTTTAACTTTAGTTTCTAAAGTAACATCTGTATTGTTATATAAGAGTGTACTTTGCTCTATTTTTGTATCATTCATCGGCATCTCAAAGTCACAATCATGACTCAAAATAGCAGGGAATTATCTTCCATTATGACTATGCTCCTTCCCATTACTTAAGCTGCCCATAGTACTCTTGAAGAATTGGGGTTCACACAAGTTATTACTGCCCCATATTTACCAGACAATATTCACCAGATGAAGCACCATTAGGCTTCACTACATTTTGGGTGCTAAAGCATTATATGAGAGGTCATAAGTTTGATTCCGATAAGGGACTGATTTCAACGACTTGAGCAAATCTTCAAGGGATACCAAAGCGAGGACTGGAACACATCTTTATGGACTTAGTTTGTTAACAACGCATGTGTGTCCAGGCTAATGGAAACAATTATAAATGAAATGATACTCTCAGCAATGAAGAATACTTCTGAATAAATGACTCCAAGAGTACTGTTCTGCCTCTAGTACAAGTAGTTTGAAGCAGCCATCTAGGCAAGATGACTATGTTTTGGCAGGAAATTTTCAGATTAGCATCAGTCAAAATTTGCTGACCCGCGGACCACTTTTACTTTTTTTGTAATTACAATAAAATAAATTGTAGATGTGATATGTATATGAAACATTGCTTGTCAATTCAGAATTATACAATGTACACCTGCTGAAAATTTCAACTCAAATGGTTGAGAAATCTTGAAATGGCAGACCAATTCCCAGAACTTAATGATCACCCTGTATTATATACATTAACTGGACATTGACCTTATTACATTCAGAACAAGGATTGCAATGTCACAGATGTTCTTTTCATACAATAAAGCGGTAACAATTGATCCGCATATGTAACACAAAAGGAGTGCTGACTGAGTTGCCTCAAGAAGCAAAAATGGTGAATGCAAATTTAAGATAACAGAGACTTTGTATCAAGATATCCGTGAAAATGAGACACACATTAAAGAAGATGTTGAGGACTGCAGAGGTCCATGTGGACAAAATTGTGAAAGCTATTACTTCATAATACAAGACATTGGCTCAAAGATTATCAACCAGTTGGCAGTTTCTCAGTTGATGATGTTGTGTCAGGCTGTAAATCAAGAATGTGAGAGGAAGATATATAGCAAAAAAATATATACTGATCAGACGAATCGGCAGTCCAATCATGCTGTCCAAGTCCAAGTAGCAACAAACTGGATCAGAATCTAACCAACAAAAAGAAATATCTATCCTTGTATACAGATTTTTCATTATTCATAAAACAATGGACACTAAACTTATCTGTTAACATATACGTAAGAACTTGTAACTTATAAGTCTATTTTTGAAAGTGAACGTGATTTCCAGCCTTTCGAGTATGCAACTCATGCAATCTTTTCTTTTATAATGCTTTTGCGATTGGAGATGTACCTTATTTATTATTTGTATGAATAAATAAAATATATAAATCAGCAGCACCATGAAGTAGCAAATTCCATTGAACAAAAAATATTTGGCCAATTCATTCAATTTGAACATTTCATGATGGAAACCAGTTAGTAGAAGTGACTCTTTTGTAAAAATATTATTGCCTGATATATCATGATAGTTTAATATTTTGATGATGTCATAGATTGTAGACAGTTACCTGTCAAAGAAAAAATAGGATTATTTAAGGCCTTTTGCTAATATTGAAAAAGAAAAGCACAAGTTAGGACATCATCAAACTGGACAGACTAGAATAGTTTCTTTGATGCAACTTAAAGGTGGCAAGATATTCATAAATGCCCCCATTTCCAACTAAAAATAACATGTTTGTCTAAGATGTTCCCAACCAACTTCATCTAAAATAATGAAAAATAACAACTCTTTACGGGCTCAAATTCAGAACGATATTCATGTAAAAATCATATATCTTCTTTGAAGTGGCAATCTGGGTCAGGGCGAAAGTAAGATTAACTTACTGCTATTTTTGTAAAAGCACAACATATGGCATCATAAGTTTAGTCAATACATAGTAGCTTGTTCGATGTACAAAAGGGTGGCAGGAATTATTGAAATGGTCTATTGAGCAGCGATCTTGAATATACAACTGATTTTGAAAAAGCTGTTTAATATACCTCTTACATGCATAAAGCATAAATACCAGTTTACAGCCATCACAAAAGTTGAGTTATGCATTTGCTGAAACAAATACTACAAGTCGTACCCATTAAATCAAACTTTGAAAGCTTTGATTTTTCATCGCCAAGACCAGGAATGGGATCCAACTGCCAATCATCAGTGGTCACCTTTGGGGCTGGGGGTTCAACCTTGGTATGACTTGATTGGGGATTAGGTTGACTTGTCAGGGGAGCCTGGCTTGATTTAGGAATAGATGTATCTGCCTGTGAAGAAGAAAGTTGTCGAATGTTCTGAGGATTCACAGAGGGTGGTGCCAATACATCATCATCACTATCTGAATCACCCATATCAAGTTTATGCAGAACGTCATCTTTCTTGTTTTTATTAATCAATTGTTTTTTGTCAGCGAGTTTAGTGTTTAATTTAAAAGCAACTGGTTTCGGAGGTTTTAATTTCTTTGGAGGCTCCATCTCTTCCTGGCTTCTTTTGGCAATTGCTCGTTTCAAATTCTCTAAATTTTTCTGTTCTGCCTTAGACAGCTTCTTTGATTTGTCAAGTTTCAAAAAGTGATCGCCATCCATTAAAGTTGTACTACTATCTGAACTATCACTTGATGAACTTGAAGAGCGATATGAGCGCCTGTGGGGAGATCGAGACCTTTGCCTATTTGTATGGTCTTCTTTTGGACTGTCATAACGTGGGCGTCTGGAGTCTTCAAAGGGAGGCCTAGGGGGTGATCTTGACCTTGTTCTAGAATGGGATAGTGACCCACCTCTTTCAATAGGGCGTTCCCTTGGTGGATAACCTGGTGATCGTGACCTAATTTCTAAATCATACCCTCCTTCAGGCGTTTCCATTCTATCTCGATAGCCAGGTGAAAAATCTCTAGGGGGGTATCCTCTTGGTCTAGGGTCTGGTGACCTTCTTCTGGGTGGATATCCCCTTTCAGGTGACCTTCCTCTTGGTGGATATCCTATGTCAGGTGACCTTCCTCTTCGGGCATATCCTCTGTTAGGTGATCTTCCTCTAGGGGGATATCCTGGTGAACCTGATCTTTGATATGATATTACTCTTGGGTCATATCCACCATCTGGTGATCTACCACGTGGGTATCCAGGAGTGATTCCTCTCGGTGAAGGCCCTCTGTGTGGTGATCGTGAGCGACCTCTTGGGGGATAACCTGGAGATCTGCCTCTTGGAGGATAGCCAGGTGACCTTGACCTTCCTCTTGGTGGATAACCTGGTGATCTTGACCTTCCTCTTGGTGGATAACCAGGTGACCTTGACCTTTGTGGATAGCCCGGGGATCTCGGCCTTGTTTGTGGATATTTTAGCGGAGGGGATCTTCCTCTCATTGTTGGAGGTGGGCCCCTAGGAGGAGAGGATCTCCCTCTTGGAGATGGGGATCTAGCTCTTTGGGGAAGTGGAGATCTAGCTCTCAGGGGTGGAGTACTTTCTATGGGATCTTCTCCAGGTATTTGTGGAACAGGTCTACCCCTCTTCCTGTACCAGGCAATGAAGAGATCCCTTGCCTCAAGATATGGGAATGGTCGATCGCGTAGCCATAAACGATGTCTGTAAAGGAAATTTATATTTTCATAGTGAATTCATCAACGCAGTTTTATACAATTAAGAAATTGAGTTTTAGTCAACATAGATCATTTAATATAACAACTTTTATAGAAGCATTATAAAGGTACAATGAATGAAACACCACCAAACAAACATACAAGGCATTAACATGAAAAAAATGTCACTACCTGGTTGGATTTATTGAAAAACATCCAAATGGACAACAGAAAACAAATTGTTGGCCGAAAATCAGGTCTAGAATTTGGTATCTTATATGAAGTGTAGGAATTTGAAGAAAATCCAATGAGCGTTTTTTCTGGAATTGCGATGACAATATTAATCACAAAAACTTCCAAACTTCTAAAAACACAAGATGGCAGCCCAAAAGTTAATCTGCTAAAATATATCTCAGTTTTGTTAATCATAATTTTGATTCCACAACTACACATTAGATAAGAACATTTTAATTTTAAAAGAAAAACATTTAGTAAATACCTTCTATCATGGCCCATTCTAGTCTCACCAGGAAGAGGCCGTGGCCTTTTGTCTAGCCACTGTTGATATCTCAACTCATACTCAGCCCTAGTTTCATCCTTATGCCTGCTGTATATCACAAAACGATCCCTACCAATGATATAATAATAAGGAAATATCACAAAATGTGAAAATATGATTGGTCTCTGTACTAGTTGGAATCACATACATGAATGGAATCATGGATAAACAATCTTTTTACCTATGGTATTAGATAATACATTATCAGGTAAATTTGACTTCTACCTTAATTCTTTCTCCTCTTGTTTATCCATTCTTTCCTGCTCTTCACGTTTCTTCTGTAAAAATCTCTCCTCATCCGTTAGGTTAGGATCAGTTTCTTCTTCATACTCACTCACCTGTTTGATGCCAGGGAGATCTGAAATAAGCAACAAAGTGAAAAAAGCAACTGTACCAATGTTCATAGCATGTTTAATAATTAAGTTCAGTTTACATTATGCTAATAACTAATGCAAAACTTTTATTGACTCCAACTATATATTTTTTTTGCCATGATTTTGAAATGAACAAATAAAAATTACTCAACTCACTTCTCTTTCGGTTATCACTGACTTCTTCCCATGTTATTTCACTTGGTTGATCGGAAGGTTTGGATTTAAATGGATTAATTTCTAGGCGAAGTCTAACATATTGTCGCCCTTCATCTTCTTCTATAATCTTAGAATATCCCTCTACAATTCTGGTTCTGATAGATTTCTTCTCACTCGCACTGACCAACTTATCATAGTATTTTACATAGTGATATTTCTAGAACAGAAAATTCATGACGTTTACATTTCCAATAGTATTTCAATTTTGGATCCTTATAATTGTTGATCATATCAACAGACCATGTACTAATTGCAGAGTTTACTAGAAGTATCAACGTATATCAACTTCATGAAAAAAACAATGTGAAAGGTAATTTTACTATCATTAGAGGATTGTCATATGCATCTCACCATGTATTTCTGTCTATGCCTTAATCCTGTGACATGCATCAGGACCTGGCGTGGGTCCATCTTTGACTGACAAAGCTCACAAACATATCTAGCCTCTTCATCCAATGACTCACGTTGGAATTCAACAATATAATCAAGTCCTGAAAATAAAAGATATAAGAATATACATTTAGACAAATACACATTTACTTAAGACTAAATAATAAACAAACACATAATGAATACAAACAATGAAATACAATATCAAATACACAATTCTAACAAAAAGAACTTTCAACAGAAATACATACAGGCTTGACTAAAAATGTTCCATTTGATTTATCAAAACATACAGCAAAAGTCTATTTAATACCATTGGAAGGAGAATTCAATTTTCTAAGAATGTGACATACTAGGGAGGATCTCAAAAGTCCAATGAAGAATTACTAAGTTATTGTATTTAAACAGTTAATCTGTGAACCCCTCATAACTCAGTGTTAGATATGTTGATATGCGTCAGTGTGTTATAATATGAAATGTCAATGTAGGAATTTGAACAGTTAATCTGCGACCCTCTCCCCTCACAACTGTGGGTAATGTATCTCACTGAAGAATCCTGAGTTTATATAAAACAAAATTTGCACTGATAAATTTCCAGCAACGGTGTTTGAAAGCTAACTGTTAAGGCTAATGATGACCGGAAGAAATAAATGGCAAGTAATAGAAATATCTTAAGTATCATTGTTTTTAATTTTTTCAGTATAATAGTGTAGGGCATATTTTGTGACACATTGTTTCAAAAACATTATTTCGGGAAATATCTAAAAGATATTACATCACCATTTTAAAACAAGAAATTTAATTTAAAAGAAATTAAATGGTTATCTACTAATGCTTACCATATGTTCTAAGTATTACATATCATATCAGTGTTATGGAAATTTTTCTTCCAATGGTATAAAATTTTTATTCAAAAATGTAGTAAACACTTCAAGGGAATTTTCAGCATTATTTACAAGTAACAGGATTTTTGTACACCCTTGATCCCTAACAACAGTCTTTATGTACAGGAATTGACAGATTTACCAATCAAAGCCTCTTTTGAACGATCAATTTCCTTTTGGATCCTAAGTGACCTCTTTTTGGATTTTCCTCTTCCATCATCAGCGTCTTGAACAGATTGAACTGAAATCATATATCAACTATTGTATTGATGAGGTACATCATACATCTTCATTGGACAATTATTGTGCTTTTGCCTAACAATAAACAAACTACGTTTCATTATACAGGGTGTTACAGATGTATGGACATCATCATCTTCCTCTAAATTATAAGAGAAACCTCAGGAATAAATTGTATTTTCAGAACATGGAGGAGAATTACGGAAGTAATCAGATCAGTTATTGCTTATCTGTACATAGGTTTGTTTTCTTTGTGTCTGGTTGGGATCTTAGATGCTACAAGAGTTGTTATTATTTGATGGTTCCTAAAATGTCAATGAAGTAGCTAATAAGTGAAGTAAAAATTGGAGTATCTAACTTCGGATAGTTACAGAATACATGTATGTTGGTATGAACTCACTCATATAAATGCACTATAACAAACAAGAGATTTCAAACAACTGTTTTATGGTCAGAACCACATCATGTGAGTAAAACAAATCGAAATAGTGTAAAACAGGCCTTTGCCTGTTCTAGAATGAGACAGTATATCGTGAAGTTTTATAGCATTCATTATCCAGGTATTTTTCGTTGCTAGCATAGCAACCAACCATGACCTGGGTATTGCTTAGCTATACTTCTATTTGTCGTAGATCACACTCTTCTATTACACTCTGCGGTTGAGAGTAGTTTGCGTGTAAACAAGTGTGATCATCCCTTTCTTACCATTGACATCATTCAGCTTCAGTTTCTGAAAAAATAAAAAAATTACTTCAATAAAGGATGAAAGGTTCAAAGATACTTATCTTATATCATTAGCAGAAAGCTTAGCGTGGGATTTAACTGCAACCTTGATGTTCATTAGTATAATACCAGTCATATTTGTTCTACAGCAAAGATTCAGTGAGAGATAACGACGGTATCTGCGGTTGTCTCATGGTTGCCCTAGGGTATATCCCTATCTGATCCTATCCTATCTGGCAGTAGTATTTGTTGTGGTGAAATTAGACATGCTATAGAGTGACAGAGGCATATGACATTACTGTTGTCATGTTGATTGAAATATATGTCAATGAAATGCATCACTTACCTTTTGATGCTTCTGTCCAGCAATATGATCATTGTATACCACCAAACTTGAACAGGGTATGTTGCAAATCTAAAGTAAAATTCAAGAAAACAAATTAAATACTGTAAATCTTTTTATAGAAATTTAAATACTTTTCTATTCATCCTTTCACTACAATGATGATCCATTATGACTCTTGCATTTTTATAAAATAAATATATCTGCAATTCATATATTACACAGCAGCTTTAACTGCTTCATTTTGGCCAAAAGATTTTGTGCTCGTGTTAAACCTCAAAAATTCTTCATTAGCTTTATTGGTAAAAATGCTTCATAATGATGCAGGTGAACCTGCTGTGTAACACTACTGATATGTTAGGGCAGAGAGTGCCATTGCCCCTTTAATAAGTTAGTAGTGGGCTACATAGCAATAATATCAAACTTCCCATGGTGGCTGCATTATTCACGATCCAACGAAATTCTGTTTAGCAAATTCATTCTTTATCCCTGCAATACGCTTTGATTATTGTAGAGAGTAAAGGATGAACTTTTCCGTTCGTTCATATTTTTAATTGGTCCAATTTTGTGAAGTTTTGTCATTATCAATAATTGTTAAACATTCCTCAACATTGCTTTATTTTTTCCTTCGCACAGTCGCGATGTTTTTGCCAAGTCCAAATCGAATTCCAGATTTCAATCGAATTTCTTTTAAGTGTAATATCATATAATTGAGATAAACTGTCCACAGCACTCAGAACAAGTTACAAGAATGGTTTAAATTTTTAATCCGGGATCTGTAAACAGAATATAGTACATTTATTGGGCCACAGTTACATATGACAGCCATACTCTGTCACCTTCTGGCAAATATAACAAGCGAGGTTAACAGGTTAATACTTTTAGTTCCTCGAACAACCAAGTGAAAAATTCATCACTGAGGAGGGATGAGAAGAATCACAATAGTGCATGCTCATTACAAAGAAAGGTGTCTGACTTGAGGCAGGACAATAGTGTTTGTGCTGATCCCAAAGAAAGCCCGACATCTGAATCTGAGATTTAGGACTTGGTATCTCAAAAAAGAGTGATGCTGTTATCTTCCAAAGAATAAGAATAGTGTGGTTATTACATGTGATGGCACCCTTTAAAGCAGCGGGAAGGTCCATCATCGCATTACAAATGATGCCAATCATTTCATAGTTGCAGAGAGACCTGCATCAAAAAACGATTGTAAAATATACATGAGATAGGCACAATCAGGAAGCATGTAGTTTCGGCATCTTTCAGATTGTTGGAAAGACCTTTCATAAGTATGGAATCTGCCCTTAAAAAGTGGCAAGCTTATCATCAGAAAGGAATTGTGATATGGTTTGAAGCCATGGAAGTCTCTGAAGATATAAAATCAGCCCTGAATGACAGGCATACCAGGCATGAAACTTTGCAACAGTTCTACGTGGAAGGAAATAGTAAGTGAAAATGCAAGTACATACAAGAAATTTGTCAGAAATTTAGTACATAAAATTATTTATTCAGTTATTGATAGTTTTTATTGCATATTATCTATATAACAAAAAATAGTATTTAGATAAATATTTTATCTATATTTTTCATGTTTATGATAGCTTTTATCACATATTATTTATATCACAAAAAATAGTATTTGGATATATATTTTATCTGTATTTTTCATGTTTTAGATATTACAATGAAACCTCTTTAAACCTCTCATTACGAATTCATACTGCCTCAGTAAAAAAGTGACATTATGAAGTAGAGGTGTCACATCAATCCAACATCAACCCGAATCTAAGTTTAGAAGGCTCAAGTCAGGTCACAAAGAACTGCTTACCAATTTTGGGTCAGGTCAGAACACTCAGGAATATCATAAATTATCGTTAAATGCTTTGTATTCCTGAGAAAAATTTCCAGCTGGCTTATTTGCAGCTCTTCCCCAATGATAAAATGGTAGGTTTCTATCATTTTCTTTTATCAAATCATAATATGCATTAATCCAGGCTTAAACAATGCATTGTGTATTTACTTAGATGGTCAAGTCAAAATCATTTTTCTGTTTCCTTCTGACTCGACCCGAAATTACCAGACTCGCACACTTTTTCTGGCATGACCTGACCCGAAAAAGATCTGACCCATGAGACCCCTACTACCAAGTTACAACATATTTAACATATTTTTTACTGTGACGTCATCTTATTTCATATTTGAATTTCAAATTGTATGTATCTCTTTTATTCATGTTTGTGTTAAAATCATAACATGGACCTCAGTAAAGGTCACAGCTGTTTGAAGACATTCCCCTCTCCACTTTTATTTTAAACTACACAAGGCAGTCTACATATCAATGTCATCAGGATATATTCATCAACATGGTCCTTGTTCTCAGTCTGTATATATTGTTTGTGACAGATAGAGGGCTACCTAGTATGTGTCAAGATAATCCAATGTAAACCAACATTAGTACTGAATAAGTAATGTGTGATATTAACTAAAATAAATCATTTTTAAACATAGTTCAATACTGTGGCACTTTGAAAAACCTACTAACATCACTAAATTCAAATATGGCATTGAAAGTACAGACCGATAGTGTGCAACAGACATGCTGCCCTGTATGGTCACATATATATATTATACTGTATATGGGTTTTATACAGAAGGCCAATGTTCTTCCTGAATGAAGGAACCACAACAGACACCATATTAACCGAGATATCAAACAAGTGTTTAATATCATCATATTGAGAGATTAAAGTTGTGTCATTGTTAACTATAAAAATTGAAAAACCACATGATGATCTCATAAAAAACTCTATATAACAACTCCAGGTTTGTAAAGCTAGCTGTACACCAATGGGACATATTGGGACATCAAGGGAGGTATTGAGTAAAATATTTTCATGGGACATGAAGGGACAAGTTTGGAATTCCTATGGGACATCAGGGGACATTGCCCCTCATTGTCCCTTTTTGTCCAATGTTGTCACTTGGACATTGTCTGATGTTGTCTGATTTTGTCCCTTTATGTCCCATGAAAAGAAAGGTTGTGAATAGAAAAAAACTTGTGTGATTTGATAACAAACATGAAGAACATGTTTATGAATCTCATGACACATCCAGTAAGGCAAACAGAATAAGACTATAATTATCTTACCATATTCTCTGTAATTAGCGCCTGCCCATTCTGATAAACGCCCATATATGAAAAAAATCCCAGGGAGTTTCATGTATGGCAATTTGTTTTGCCAAGAATGACTAATGCTAAAATGGACCAAGAGTCATTGACTGCATTTTAGTGTGAGCACTCTATTATCACCCACTTGATTACCTTGGAAATTCTATTTTATTTGATGTATCTTTTACTTGGTCATTCCTTGATACTTCTTGAGCTTTATAAAGTGGGGTAGGCATTTATTAGAGGGTGGGTGCTTGATACAGTGATTACAGTATTTACATTGAACCTTTTAAATGTAGGCTTGTTACCCTGATGTCATGCAGCGCATTAACAGTTTTAAAATGTGAATTGAGTCATTGTAGACACTGATCACCTAGAAAGTTACATTTGAAAACAAAGAATGCAACTAGCTGTGATGCACGAGGCCTCTTTCTCAAAGCTAATTTGCTATGGACAAATCGTTATTAACACGAATCATTAATCATGAATCGTGAAAATAACAAATGAGTTATAAAAATGAGCAAACCCTGTTGCTTGAACTTTATCATAATGGAATTTTGTTATCTTGTACCGGATTGTTCTTTTGGCACTAAATGAATTATGTACTGTAGTAGGTTAGTTTAAAGTCATTTGTTTAATTCTAGTTTTTAAATCACTGACTAAAAACTAAAATTCCATTTTTTGGCAGTGATACTAACCCAACCATATCAGAAGAATACAAATACTGAGTTAATTTTATTGATGTTGAATACAATTATAGGTTAGTATCATCGTCCCATTCAGTTGATATTATCCTACCAGGAGCTCATGACATTTCTCCAATTTTGAAGATATTTGATTTCTTTGGGCTTGATTATGATCAAACCTTATAGTTTGGATGATGAAATGTTGAACATTTCAGATTTTACTTGGTTTGGTTAAGGTTAAAGGTTTATTAATATCAAACAAATGTTGTCTACAATCTTAACTCCTGACCATATCATCCTGCTGGACCCAGGTCTTGAAGGTCCTGAAGTTCAGGTATTGCATACTTAACACACTTCAAAAGTAATGAGTAGAAAATTAGGACATTCTATATTTGGCAAGAGAAAGCAGAACAAATAACTGGACATCCTGCATTTAAGGATTTGTTAAGTACATTTGAGCACAATATTATAGTATAAACTATAAAAGAGAAGTCACACATGCTCTTTGTAACAAACAATTATGGACTCATCAATTACATGTTGTTAAGGCTATGAAACACTTATCAATATTCAAACTGATATCTTGAATAAATATGGTACTCCAACTAAAGATAATGTGAGGTTCTGAGCTCTGCATTCATCCAGAGGATACACCTGACTGTTTGTGAACCCTGAACTGTTGTGAAAATATATTTCAGGGATGGGGATCTGGGGCGCTGAATAATTCATCGTTTGGATAGGATCTCCAAAGATTTTTACATAGTTCCATTAATGATGTATTTTGACTTGATGGACTCAGTGAATTGAGGAGAACTCATGCAGTTATATGTGTGGCTTTTGTCTGACATGTCTAATAACAATGAAATGAATTAAGAGTAACTTAGTTTAACATGATTAACAAACCCCCTTGTAATGTATCAGAATAGACAATGCAGTGTGCAGATGAAAAAATAATCAAAAAATGCCCCTTGTTTTCATCACAGATTTATTCAATTTTGTTATCACTTATAAAAAATGTATTCATTAATGAGGTTACAATGGTTACGGTGAAAGATCTACCCGCTGCAGTGCTATATTGAAGACTAGCACTACAAGGGAGAATGATGATTTATATGTGGTCACACGTCCATGAGACGAAACAGAGATCTGCGGAGATGGTTTAATCAAATGGTATAAATTCCTCTCATTATCATCATTCTATATCCTCATGAATATCATTCATTTAATTCTAATCCCATGCCAGTATGATATATGGTATATTTCCTTTGGTCATGTTACTAACTTCCCCTTTCAATGGTAATATCAATGGGAAAGGACAAATCTAGGTTTGGAGAACAGTCTCCTGGGCTAATAATGTTTTTATGAAAAACCCAAATGAAATTATGAATATTTAAAGGAGGACATTTAAATCTACAAGATGTAATAATATCATAATTGTTCGAAGTAGGCATAGCATGCAGTAGACAGAGTCAATAAAAGACATGTGTATAGTTGGAGAAAGAAATTAATCAGTGTACTGCGCTAATAATTTTTTTATGAAAAATATAGAAATATCAAGAATTGTCCAAAGCAGGCGTAACATGCAGTAGACTGATGAACTTTGTTCTCCAAAACAAGACTAAACTTTTCTTGAGAGTCAGCAAATTCCTTTGACTTTATCAAGTCGCATATCATGCATGCATAATGTAGAATCATTATAATCCATTGGCATAACACTTTGTATAAATGCAGAAGTCCGCTGACAAATCACTTGGGTGTCAAAACTCCACTTTAGCATTGCTTATTGATATTTGAAAGTTGTCACACTAAGAGAAAAATATGCTTCAATGAATGTGTTTCTTAATACCTTATAAATACATACACACTAAAGAATACTTACTTCAATGAAGTTATTAATTTATGAAACTTTTACACTGTGACACTTTGAATTTCTTAAAAAAAACATTTTGATTGTTTGATTTATTTCAATTTAGTCATTCTAATCTATTCTCTGTTTCAATCAAGTTCACACATTTTAATTGTTTCAACTCCAAGACATATAGAGGTTTTGAAGTTATTCATGCACAAAGAATGGAGATAAAGTAAGCATGAACAATTCTTGACCTCCCTGAAGTTGACTATTTTAATTATATCCCTCCACCATTGTCCACTGGGAACTATGACCATAAGAAGGTCTACTATTTGGAGAGGTCTATAATTGTTACTCTGGGGAAAATCTAAAGTATTAGACTAATCTACAACAATAACTGAATTCAAACAATTGTTTGGCTTCATACTTCATAATTTTTCTGTCTGTTTCATTTCGACGTAATTTTAAGGGAATCTCCAAATACTATTAACCAGCGATACAACCAATGGTCAATTGCCAAAACAGCTGACTCTCTTTGACCTATTATAATTGTATAATCAGATTGTTGTATATGTAGTTATAACATAGTACATTGTTTTCTTCGCGTGACAACAGTCATCAGCATATTAAACAATATGCTTACTCTAACAAAATTTCACATGATCTAGGCTGACAGAATCGAGTGTGTCTTCGAACACAACGTTTTAAAAAAATATATAATTTTAAATTCGAAGTACCCAATGGTTCAGAACACACTCCAAACCCATTAAATTGATTTCACAGCCTGTGCACTCACAAAGTTTCTGTGATTGGTAGTAAATGCATTCAGTGAAATGAGGAATTAATTCAACTAAAACACCTGTAACAGATTTTACTATATTGGATTTCGAAGATGAGATTTCTTCCTTAATTTACATACCTTTAGACCTTCTAAACACTAACAACAGTATACATATATTTACCAGCATATATACGTACATCACATGACATATATATTTTTCAACAAGAATTATAGAAAGTGCAATCCCACAAAATTGAACACCTGAAATCTCGATTTTCATTTCACCATTTTTCACTTTTTTCAAGGAGTTCACTTTCTAAGTATTGCTGTAATAAAATATGTTTTGTACTCACCTCACAGTAAAATTCACAGCTGCTACTGGAGAAATCTTTCGGGGTCAGATTACGGGACTGAGCCGATTCCCAATTTTTGTTCTTTATGGCAACAGGCTATAATTATATATAATATTATTAAATCAACAATGAATTGTTCTCCAGGATAACACTGAATCATGAACTCAACTGACACTCAACTGAGACTCAACTCCGAGACGTTCACATTGTATAAAGGGCCAATCCATTCTACCTAAGATTTAAACATGATCTAAATGATCTCGATAGAAGCTTTAAGTGGCAGATAATATATTACTTATTAAAACGTGTTCTCTAAATCAGAGTGTAGATGAAGTCAAGGTCTTGTACAGGGTAGATTCATGCTATTGTATTTTAAAAACAGGAGCTGTACCATTGTTTGAGGTTCTTCTGGAACTTCTTCATAATTCTTTGGATTTTCCTTCTTGTCGTTTTCTAGTACCCTCTGCATGTGCAGGATTCCTCGCATATGGATGTGATAATTCTGAAAAACAAGACAACACCATAACATGAAATAAACAAGGCATTAACATGACAAAATGTCACCACCTAGTTGCTCACAATATTATGAATCTTTTTGACCTTGAGAAGGTCAAATCTCAAAAGGTCAAATCTCAAATCTATAGTTAGATTTGAACTTTTGAGAACTTGTAGATGATTTTGAAAAGAAATTGGTCAATTTGAAGCAAGATGAGAAAAAACCTTTTTTACCTTTTCAACCTCATTTTACCTTTAGATGGTTATTGGAGGTCAAATCTTGAGAAGCTCATTTCAGGTCAATTCTTTCATGAGAAGGTCAAATCACAGATCTATAGTCAGATTTGAGCTTTTGAGAACTTGTAGATGATTTTGAAAAAAATTGAAGTCAGTCTAAACAGTATTTGTTAAGTCATTGGAAGTTGTAAGAATTTGTTACAGACGCCAACCACCAAACATCCCCCACAGATTGCAATCACAAAAATAGAGACCATAACAACATGTGTCACCACTTTTTGGAGGTGACATAAAAAGCACTAACTCGATTTTATCTTTTTGACACTAAGGGGACACTATGTGTCTTACTTAAAATTAGTAGACAGATTATTACAACAAAGAATATACAATGTTTATTCAAGTAATATATGATTTTAGCCTTCTTTCTTTCTTATTAAAGCAAAGAAGATATAAATCTTATCCGAGTAATATACAATTTTTATCCTGAAATAAAAACCTCTGTTTCTGGCTTCAAAACCCATCCAGCCTCCTTACTTTTTTCATATACTTGTATTTTCACCAAACAAGGCACATGATGTGAACGAGATCACCCTCTATCATGTGTGCGAATTTGTGAGATAACTGAAACTGGAGAGAGCTAACACTGTAAAGCTACCTGTTTCAGAAAATTGTTTTGCTCTACATAGTCTCCAAAATCATTCCGCCATCTCTAAAAATTCTGTTTCTAACCTAAATTGTAAATGTTTCCTGATAGATTAGTACTTACCCTATTGAGAATAAACCTTGATTCATTTATCAAACACTAGATGGCGCTGTGACGCGCCAGAAAATGAGAAAAAGTTTTTTAAACAGGAAACCAAATAACCAATGGTAACTGCTAGTATCCTTACTCAAAACTATGTGCAAATTTCGAGAAAATCTGATGAGTGGTTTTCCTGAAAATTGCGATGACAAAAAAGTGGGACGATCACTACAACAATAACGATCACGATGACTATGACGACTATATCCCACCGATGGTATGATAAAAAACTGTATAGGTGTTGATTTTAAAAAATTTTAAAAAAAAATTTCTTTCAGATAATGACCAATAATAAAAGGAGGAGCTCATAAAAATTCATTTTTAAACTGGGCTAGCTTAACTTACTCCTTTAGTGGTGAAGTCCACATTACAGACAGTACAGCACTTCCAGTCATCATCTTCCTCTTGTTTCTCATCACCTGCTCCATTCTTTTCTGCTTCTTTCCCCTTCTCTTTACTATCAGTAGACTCAGAAACAGTCTTTGTAGGTTCCTTGTCACAAGAATCACTGCTAGGATCAATCTAAAAAAATTATTTCATTTTTCTTAAATTTTTATTTATAAATACTTTTATTTCTTTAATTAGTAATTTTAATCTATTTCTCATATAAAACGTTATTTCATAGTTGCAGGGCTTACATTAACGGCGTCCCGTACATGTTAAGGACTCAAAAATAATTTGGAGGACGCAAAAATTGAAAATATTTCCGTTTTTTGGACGCAAAATTTTTTTAGGTCAATACTACAATGTGTTTACAACGATACCTAACAAAAACAAATAATTATGATCTCTCACCTTCATTTGAATCGTAAATAAGGCTCAACATGTTGAATATTTACAAATAATCATGATTCTCTCGAATTTTTTCGACTTTGTTTATTTTTAGATTTGAAACCATGACACGCCAAAGTTTTTCCTATTCAGAAACAAATATTAGGTTATTCATGAAATAAAATGTATTCATTGTCGAATGAACGAACATGCATTTATTCAGTCCGTACTTAATGTTTACTTCCGTTTTAAATTCGCGGCAAGAAATCAAAAACTGAAAAATAGGGGACACTCTTTTTTTCCAAAGGACACACTTTTAAAAAAAAATTGCGTCCTTGGGACTCACAAATTTTCTAACCTAATGCAAGCGCTGTAGTTGTGTTGATAAAAAATATCATAGATCCTAGATATTATTGATATGTTGGCCCAAACATATTTAGCAGTGGTGTTAATCTAAGGACTTGTATAGATGGCAGTGCAGTAATTGTTGCAGTTGATTTACCCTACATACCTGTCCTACTGATTTTGTTTACATCTTTATCTAATTTAGTCTCATGTAAGAAAAACTTAAAGCAACCCAGCTTTCAACAACATATAAATATTAACATACATGTATCAGTGTTTTCAGTAGGTTTGTCCTTGAAAAAATGTTCCCAGGAATTCAAAGTCACGTTTTTACACCGGACGAAATAAAATTGATGTTTTGTATTGCTTTTGCTATCTATCGGTCTAAATCAGCGTTCTAGCAATCTAGTATGTCATTGAATGATACAAAAACCATCACTCGTGAGGTATAACTTATATTCGACCATTAAAACCACATTTTCTTCGCGTATTTCGAAGCAATTTGCTATTGATTTTGATTGCTTGGAAATATCTTGCTTTAGGGGCAATCTGTGCAAGGTTCCATTTATTGATTCGGTCTCTTGCGTATGCACATTCTTAAATAATGATCACATAATCACACTTGACCAATAATAAAAAATGTTTTGTTTATATCATGTCTTCAGCTAGTGGCCAATCGTAGGACTCGTACTGCTTACTGCTTGGAAATCGAATCTAGGATAACTATTTGTCACATGCCTCATACTATTTCCATCAGAAATCAATTTCCGGGAAGGAAACTTCGAAATAAAATTTTATTTCTTTTATTTCCTTCAATTATCTAGTGGATTCTGATGAAATAAAGAGACTGAAGATAAGATCTTTATCAGATCTTTATCAAATCATTCATCCAAAGTTGATTTTGTGCATATGACTTGCACTGCGTCCAAAAAACGCAGTTCATTTTATTTCCGGGTCCAACATTTTTTCTTTGCGTTTTTTCAATGCTTGCACGGCGTAATTGAAAACACAGATGTATAGAAGCCAAACTTACATTTGATTGGAGACTAGATCCATGGCTGTTTTTGTCCTTTTCCTCTTCAGGGCTGTTCCTGCTTTTTTCCTCATCAGCAGCTCTTTGTGTATGAAGAACACCCTTAATGTGTAGGTTATAGCCCTGAAAACAATCACATTATGATATATAGTTCTAGCTTTACTATCAATGATTGTATACACATCAGTTATTAGTCCTATGATTAGAAAATAGTTATTCAAAGAGCACCAAAGTCTAAAGATGAGTTGAGAATAAGTTTCGAAAAAATACAAAAATTGCAATATTTCAATCTTTTCTGAGATTAAAAGTGAAATGTAAATATTGGAATGCTCTTTCGAGATTGCTTTCAACATTTTACACTCTCTAGTTTCAACATTTGAGATAAAAGATTGGATTGAGCGCAAAGGTATAAGTGCTTAAAGGGTAAGGTATATCATTTAGCAAATCGAACACTCGTTTGTGGTGTTGCTCATTTATCTTTCTCAACTGATATCTAACCTTATGGATAAAGTGTCTGTTACTTGATTTGAAACAGTGATTACACTAATACACTTACTGCCTCATCCTTAAAATCGACATTGCATAATCCACATTTATTTTCCCCTCCTTTCACCTCTGTATCCTCTTTCTTAACAGATTGATCTTCTATGCTTGATTCATTAGAGTTTTTAAGTAATTCAGTAGTTTTCGGCTCTGTTTGGGTATTTTGCGATTTTTCAATATTTGGGGTAGTTCCTCTGGGAACATTTGGACCGGATGGCCTTAAAGGACCGGATGGCCTTAAAGGACCGGATGGCCTTAAAGGACCAGATGGTCTTAACTGGGGGGTAGTCTGTCGTATAGTTGGTAGAGGCCCTGATGGTCGGAGTGGGCCAGAAGGCCTTAACCTTGGTGCATCTTGTGTTGGCAATGGACCAGATGGCCTCAAAGGTGATGAATTTTGTGTTGGTAATGGGCCTGATGGTCGAAGTGGACCAGAAGGCCTTAACCTTGGTGCATCTTGTGTTGGCAATGGACCAGATGGCCTTAAAGGTGATGCATTTTGTGTTGGCAATGGCCCAGATGGCCTCAAAGGTGATGAATTTTGTGTTGGTAATGGGCCTGATGGTCGAAGTGGACCAGATGGCCTTAAAGTAGGCCTACTCTGTCTTGGAATATTTGGTCCTCTATTACTATGGTTCCACTGTTGTTGAGGTAGCCTGGGATTATAACTATCTCTTTGATGGTACACGGATCCTGGCTGCTGCTGGTTATATACAGGCTGAAACACATTGTTACCCATGTACAATACTAACTTAGAAATATTTTACATGTATAATATTATTTCAGCTGATTATTTTTTGCTGAAAACAATGATAATTTAAATATTGTTCATATTTAATAAGTGTTATAGAATTCTAAAATTCCCTGGCTAGTTTAGTCATTTTGAGCCAAATCTGGTCTTTCCAGGTTAGAAAAAACTTTCGACTTCCCTGTCTTTTTCCTGTCAATTGCAACCCCCTATTATATTATATTCAAATAAGCCCCGTTTCATTGTTGCTATTCCTTTCAAATTAAAATAAAAGTGTGTCTATGTTAAAAATTTCAACTTTCAATAATTTTGCTCGTTGTTCTCCTGAAACCTTGATTTTACTGAAAGTCTAGTCATGTTTATTTTTCTTTAGATACTATTAAACACCAGTTCATGTTCTTCAACAAAACTAACTCTTTAAAAAATAAATGTCTAAATAACAAAGCATGCTGATTCAAAATGGATACTTATAAAATATGATTTAGTATTCTGGATTTAAAAATTATGCAATTCCATATTAACACAACATAACAGAACTTATAACAAACATGGTAAAGCTAAGTTCACACCAACGGTGTTTGAACATTTTGGGTGCTCTGTCACGAATTGATTAAAGCGCTGAGTGCGTAACAAAGCTCAGCAAAGCTTGACTCAAAGCGTAGAAAAGCTTAAAAGAGCTTGGTTCAAAGCGGGATCCCATTCTTCACAGTCTGTCACCACTTGACACACTTCGTTAAGATGTCTCAAGATTTGCTACGATCTGGCATGAAGATCTGACAAGAGGTCAGACCCTTTAGATCTGCCACACTTTGTTACGTTTTCATGAAGGACTCTATCTTTCCCACGAATCAAGACGCTTTGATCAAGGATTGACACGCTTTGTTAGGCTTTGTTACGCTTGGCAAGCTTCCTCACGTTCTCACATGCTCTTTCACGCTCTCCTACGATACCAACGTAATCGTATCAGATGAGAGCCTGATTTAAAGCGCTATAATCGCATCAAAGCAAAATAAAGCATAATAAAGCTTATCAAAGCGTGATTTCAAGCATAACAAAGCCTGATCAAAGCAGGATCAAAGCATGAGGAACCGTAACAAGTCGGGAAATAATTGATCCCCCAAAGCGGCAACCAATTTGTTGGAGCTTATCAGAGCTTAATATTACATAGGAGATTGTGATATCTTTGGAAAAGTAAACAAAAATGATGGCGCTTTGCTCGCCAATTAAAAGCCTGCCATTCACCGTTGATGTGAACTAGGTAACATTTGAAACACGAACAAAGGTAACATTTGAAACACGAAAACATGAAACAATAATTTCTCACTGTCAGGTGTCACGTGACATTAAAGATATTTCCCTAATGATACCTTATGTTTAAACTTTTAATTGGGAAATAAAGTCTTGCATTTTGATATCCCCCCTTAAGAAAAAAGATGGTAACCATGGTATTCCATGGTACGTCCATGGTAATCCATGGTTTTCCATGGAAATTCATGGTTTTTCATGGTATTTTCCATGGAAATTCATGGACACCTATGGTAATCTTACATGGATATTTATCATGATTTTCCATGGTAATTAGTGGTTTGGTAATTGTTTTTTCATGGACGTGTCATGGTTTTTATCAGGACACACAGAGATCCAAGTTGGACTGAGACTTATCAGTGAGAAAAAAGGGTGGACATTTCATGTTATTTTAGGTTTAGCAGGAACATATTAAACTCAGCTTCCTTACAAATATGTAAAAATTATGTAACTTTTCTAAAAAGAAATATGATAATGCAGTCAATGCAGCACGGAGTAGGCCACAAGATTTCAAAGGGAAATATGTATAGGGCTTTTGTGTAGATCAAGACTAGATACAGAGACAGAGATTCCTTATTTTTTAGGCCAAACACTTGTAGTCTTTTGGAAAGATTAAGTCAAACTAGCCCTACCTCTGTTTTGTTTTCTTATTGTTTCTTTAATATTCAGTTATGAAAATTAAAATTAAATAATTTCAAAAATAAATAACTCTTTTCCTTAAATTACATGTCTTACATTTTAGAATGCAAGAAAAACCATGGTTTCTTTCTTTGAAGTTGAGGAAACTACAATCAAAAGCCATGGAAGTCGGTTGATTGCAATCGAAAGCCATGCTTTTCCATGGATATTTCTTTGATGTTTTGGAAAGTGCAATCAAAAGCCATGGTTTTCCATGGTTATTCTTTTGATCTTTTGGAAAATCCATGGTTTTCCATGACTATTTGTTTGGTCTTTTTGGATGCAGATAAAAGAATAATGTATAATGAACATTGAACTTTTCCAAATAAAGTCTCATTTAACCTTTATGAGCACATCGTCTGAAAAATCCATATACTTTTTAGAATTTTGACTTGAAATTAAGGTGGGGGATTAAACACAAGCCTATGACTGCAAACTGAAATGTAATGCCTAAGTGATCAAAAATCTATTTGTCTATGTACTAAGGTTATTATAATTATGTAATCTATTTAAAAAGAAGTCATAATCATTTGCATAATTGTTAAATATTTGGTTGTCATTGTTCCATGTTAATTAGGTTTCTTAACTCTCAAATTAGTGTTAAAATTTCTCTTTGCAACAGATTATATAGTTCATTTGCATAATTCTAAAATACATGTATTATGATCTTAATTGTTATTATTTATGATGAGTGCTTCCTCTTCAGTAATTATAATTGTCTGTGAGTGTAGACAGTGCAAGTCTAAAACTCATTGTTGATCAAATAAAACCAAATAGGATTAAAAACTCCAAGTAAACATGTCTAGATTATGAAAATATCTTTATCATAGAACTAAACATAGATCTAGATTATGAAAATAAGGTGCATGGTTGTATTCCAGGCCCGAAGCCAGCTTTTGCCAAGGGGGTTGACTTTCTCAAAAAATTGACGGGGACATCATATTCTTCTCTCTATGATTAGTCTCAATCCAGCTTGGATTCATTCATTTAAACATTGATTCAATTTGGAAGATTTTGGTAAATACAAAAACTGCCAAAATTGTTGATTTTACAACTCCAAGTCACTTAGTATCATGGTAAAAACATGGCATTCCATGAAAAACCAATTACCAAAACACTCATTACCATGGAAGATCATGGTAAATATCCATGGAAGATTACCATGGACGTCCATGAAATTACATGGAAAATACCATGAAAAATCATGAATTTCCATGGAAAACCATGGACGCACCATGGAATATCATGGCTACCATGGCTTTTTTCTTAAGGGCCTCATAAATTACATTGAGATACAACGTTACTGAATTAGAAACATGACAGTGAGAAATAAAACAAAATTATTATATTTTGTTCTATTTTCGTTAGATCTTGGTAACTTTTCACAGAGAAGTGAAAGATATTCACAGTGAAACACTATCCCTTACATCAGAACAAAATATAAATTCATATATATTAATCTGCTTTCATGAATCTAACAGTTTATAAAACAGAGCTTTCAATTGCACATGTACATGTAGATTCATAATAGCAAAGGTTTAGCTAATACAAACATAGAAAGTAATCAAAAAGAACTGAATACCACAATGACAGGACAATAGGCTGGAATGATGTGTTGGGGATTACATAAGGGAATCATGTTAGTGACAAGTGTGGTTTTAGTGACACGAGTTACTGTCACACGACCACTAGGCGAGTTATGCTCCCCATCTGGCACTAAGGAACTACTATGGCAGGTAGAAGTAAACTCTTCCTATTAAAGAATAAAATTGAGTCATTAGCGATTAACGGAATCCCAAAACTAGCCCTGATTAAGCTTAGTTGGGAATCATAGCCTGCAACATAAATTCTTATAGGGCTAAAAAAAAGCCTCAGCTGGTATTTCCACCCTAGAATATTTTCTTGAAGGGATAAATATGTTATTTTTTCTTGAGTGCCTTCCCTACCCTGAAGTGTAGTCATGCAGATGTCAGGTTCAGCCCTATTATGTTATTTTTCAAAAGTCAATATTTTTCAGCACTAGCCTAATTCTTACCTCAAACTATTCTAACATGCATTTGTTACATTCTCCCTAGGTGATAAAAGTTTCAGAAATCTTAACTTATCCAACCATTCACTTTAGTTTTTGAAAAAATGTAGTTTCAAAATGTCCACTAACTTCTGATATACATTCCAAATGGCTTACGAATGTTACAAAAGTCATCTTTTTGGTAACATTCCTTAATCCAGTTAATGGCAGACATTCTGAAATTTCTTCATCTCAAAAGTTAGTGTATTGCATCTGCCAGTTGAAATCACTGAAATTTTTGTTTGTACCATAAATTGCTTGCTTGAATCTTTGTTATTTGAATGGAAGATACTAGACTTAAGATGGCATGTAAATTGAAGCTATTCAGAAAACAATAAATAAATAAAAAAATGATCCTTTCACAACCACAGGGCACAAGTACTTGTATTTTGGAATGCAAAATCATGCCTTGGGGAAAATGATCTTTCTCTAGTTTTAAGACATTTTTGAAAACAAGGTAAATCGTCATTTGCACGACTATCACAAACTTTCTTCTGAAAAAAGATTACCATGTAACATATGTAAAAATTTGAAGCAAATCTGTTAAGTGGTTTTCCTGGAATCGCGATGATAAGATTTATCTAAAAACTTCCAAAATGGCAGCCAGAATGCAAGATGGCTACCGAAAAGTTAATCAGATCTTAGAATTTCTTACCATGTAAAATGTGTGAAAATTTCAAGTAAATCAGTTAAATGTTTTCATGGAATCATGATGACAAAATTTATCTAAAAACTTCCTAGATGACCACCAGAATGCAAGATGGCCACCGAAAAGTTAATCAGCTCTAGAACTCCTTACCATGTAACATGTGTGAAAATTTGAAGTGAATCCGTCGAGTGATTTTCCTGAAATCGTGATGACAAGATTTATCTAGAAACTTCCAAGATGGCCACCAGAATGCAAGATGGCCACCGAAAAGTTAATCAGCTCTAGAACTCCTTACCATGAATCATGTGTGAAAATTTGAAAGAAATTCATTTGTGGTTTTCCTGGAATCACGATGACAAGATTTATCTAAAAACTTCCAAGATGGCCTGGCCACCAGAATGCAAGATGGCCGCTGAAAAGCTAATCAGCTCTAGAACTTCTTATCATGTAATATTAATTTGTGAAAATCGTGATGACAAGATTTATCTAGAAACTTCCAAGATGGCCACCAGAATGAAAGATGGCCACCGAAAAGTTGATCAGCTCTAGAACTCCTTACCATGTAACATGTGTGAAAATTTGAAGTGAATCCGTCGAGTGATTTTCCTGAAATCGTGATGACAAGATTTATCTAGAAACTTCCAAGATGGCCACCAGAATGAAAGATGGCCACCGAAAAGTTAATCAGCTCTAGAACTCCTTACCATGAATCATGTGTGAAAATTTGAAAGAAATTCATTTGTGGTTTTCCTGGAATCACGATGACAAGATTTATCTAAAAACTTCCAAGATGGCCTGGCTACATGGCCGCTGAAAAGCTAATCAGCTCTAGAACTTCTTATCATGTAATATTAATTTGTGAAATTTTGAACTAAATCTGTTTGGACAGTGGTTTTGCAATGATAAGATTTATCTAAAAACTTCCAAGATGGCTGTCAGAAAACAAGATGGCTGCCAAAAAGTTTATCAGTTCTAGAACTTCTTACCGTGTAACATATGTAAAAATTTGAAGAAAATCCGTTAAGTGGTTTTCCTGGAATCTTGATGATAAGATTTAACTAAAAACTTCCAAAATGGCGGCCAGAATGCAAGATGGCTGCCGAAAAGTTAATCAGCTCTTAGAATTTCTTACCATGTAACATGTGTGAAAATTTCAAGTAAATCAGTTGAATGGCTTTCATTGAATCGTGATGACAAGATTTATTTAAAAACTTCCAAGATGACCACCAGAATGCAAGATGGCAGCCAAAAAGTTAATCAGCTCTAGAACTTCTTACCATGTAACGTGTGTGAAAATTTGAAGTAAATTCATCAAGTGGTTTTCCCAGAATCGTGATGACAAGAAAGTGAGACGCCGCCCGCCCATCAAGCTGACGACAATATTGTGCCTTTTTTATGTACAATAAAAATATTGAACAACAGTTTGTAGTATCACACTATGTTAAATAAAGAATCAATATAAAGAAAATCATGTTATGTATAGTTGTGTATGTAAAAATTACTACATATTCTTACTTTATTTTGTAGAAGCCATTGCCGTCTTGCTTCAGCTGGATCCATCACACTTTTTAATGCTCTCTATGAAGTAATCACAACCTGGAAGTATAATTAAACACTCAATAGATGGACTTTGCTAAATAATACAGTAAAATCTGTAAGGGAAATAAATGTTTATGATTTCTCAAAAGGAGCTCTTCTTAGGAGACTGTGTTTCAAGCCAATGTGTCAAATTAATGTGAAGTGTTCCACCTATGTGATGATACATTTGACAATTTTTACTAAAATGTACATATGTATGTATTAAATGCTATGCAAATTGTCAGATACACATGGACAGCGGAGATGGGATAATTAATTACTCGCTCACTCACACACAAATTTGGAAAAATAGGAAGTGAGAAATATCAGAATTTCCTTGAGTTCCCATTGAACTCTTACCAGATATTCTAAAAGAAGACAATGTAATGATACTTTCCTGAAAAAAGCAAGGAAATTAACACATGCCTTCATACTTTATTTTGTACCAGAAAATAACATGCGCAGGTATAGCAATTTTTACCAAAATGTTATTTTCCAGCTGTACCTTAAGGTTTTTGCTCAAAATGTCTTAAAGCACTCTAATGTTTAAGAAAAACAAGCTCTCTGGCACAAAATCATTCAACCGTGTCATTATTAGAATATAGTTTGGAGTAGGGATACCAGCGGTTATTTGGTTCCATGTATAAAAAAGCTTTTTCTCATTTTCTTACCCGCCGCAGCGCCATCTAGTGTTTGATAAATAAATCAAGGTTATTCTCGATAGGGTAAGAACTAATCTAGCACGAAACATTTACAAGTTTGATTTGAAACAGAAATTTTAGAGATGGCGGAGTGATTTTCGAGACTTTGTAGAGCAGAACAATTTTCTGAAACAGGTAGCTTTACAGTGGTAGCTCTCTCCAGATTCAGTTATCTGAAAAACGGTGTGGTCACAGTAGTATGTATCCCACAGACCGAATATAATATTCGGTCTGTTATGATTGATACCCTTTGCATGGAAATCTCGGCGATATTTTGTGCACATAAATTTCTCGTTTATTACAAGAATGTTCACCTTGAAAATTGGTGAATATGTTGAAGAGATGTTCATCTTCAACTAGAAGCAAAAATATTTGTAAATAGGCGGGTACAAGTTGATATAAAACTAGACAACAGCAATGCCAAAGCGTAGCATTAATCAGATCGAACAGCCATGGCTGGCATATTTACAAACAAAATATATAGCAAAAATGGCAGCCATTTTTCAAAATGGCCACCTTCTACCAAAAGTGTCATTAGACAGTGTACCATGCTTAAACGTATTCACATACCAAATATGAACAAAATCGCTAGACTACTTTTCGAGTTATAGTAGTTACGTTAAAATGGTGGCCATTTTTCAAAATGGCCGCCTTCTTCCAAAAATGTCATTAGACAGTGTACCATGCTTATAGTATTCACATACCAAATATGACCAAAATACCTCCACTACTTTTCGAGTTACAGCAAAAATCGTAAAATAACGAGTAAAGGCCGCCATTTTTCAAGATGGCTGCCATGTGCTTCTTTAATATCTACATTTCTAGCTTTATTAATGTCCTATATAATTTTTTTACATTTAAAACATATTGCTATTACAGTTTTACATATTGCACCTAAATTACTGTAAAATCGGCACTAAAATGGCCGCCATTTTTAAATGAGCTGCCATTTTGAAAATCGGCTTTTGAGCAGAACTTCTACTCTCAGGGTATATTATGTGTACAAAATATGAACAAAATCGGGCCAACGGTATTTGAGTTATTGCCTGGACGGACGGACGGACGGACGGACGGACGGACGGACGGACGGACGGACAGAGACATTCACTATATTCCTCCGAACTTCATTCGATGGAATAATAATGAAATGTTCAGACTCACCAAAACTTCAGGATATGTTCATAAGTAGATCGCGAAATCAATGCCTTTAACTTCAAATGCATGACCACTTGATTATCTCGGCCTTCTTCATGAATATTCTATTTACTATAAATGACGAAAATCAATCGGGATAAAGGTAATAAATTACTAATAAATTCCCGAACAAATTTATAAATACGCTTCCGTAATGTTGCTCCGTCCGCTCCACGTGTTATTTGTTTACAAATAGACTGATGTCACTGGTTAAATCTCGTTTATCGTGAGAATTGGAATTGCCAAAATGGCTTGACCTAATCAGTGCCTTCGCTACAAGAAGTGTCTGTAAATTTTATGAATATCTTCAGTATACAGAGGACAATATACGAAAAAATAATATTGTAAGTTCTTTATAAGGTAATCATTTTATCAGATTGTACAAACTTATTTCTAACATTTATACAACACCACATTTTACAATAGGTGATTTACAGTCTGAATTTATTCACTGACAGACGAAGGATACAGTCTAGTGGTAACCGTATCAATATCTTGTAACAGCAAACTACATCTACATCAATAATCTGCAACAAGCCCATTTAAAGCAGATATACAGTTTAAGGTGCTGTGTAGTCTTGCCCAAGTCGGTATTTTTTTACTTATCTGATCTTGAATTATTACCGCCTTGTACAATCCAATACATCTCCGCTGATATTATGCTGAGTTATTCAGCGGTTTCGAGTTTACCATAATACTACGCTATCAGGGGTATCGCGAAACCTTATTGATTGACAAGATAGCATGGACACGACGTGTGACTTCAGGCTGATTGACCAATCAAAACATTATCAGGTTGACCTGCATAAACAAAACAAACTTCCTGTCTACCTGATAACTACGACTACGGCATCCACTAAACTCTGATTGATATTTATCTGATAAAATATTTGTATTTTCATGATGAATTTGTGCAAGATTTGTTCGTGAAAAGTCCCAGTGAAAAGTGTACTTGTTTTGGACCGTGCATAATAATGAGCTAACCCTGCAGGGCCGTCGTTGATTGGTCAACTTTTACCAACATAGATATTTGGTTGGTAAAGCACATGGCTTTCTCTTGGGTACTTGGCGGTCATAATAGAAATCAAAATAAGTAAAAGAGACCGACTTGGGCAAAGCTAGGTGCTGTGGTAATGACAAAACAGGAAGTGACAATACCATGCTTGATTTCAAACATTTTTTGAACCGAGATAACAGAGTTCTGCTTTGACCTCCAGTCAATTTAACTAGTTACACATATCATTTACATGACCAGGATCACAATGTACATGGTCAGAATCGCCCCAAACATGATGAAATAACTTTTTCAGCCCTCTGAAAATGTGACCGAAAAATAGCTAAAAGTAGGCATTAGGAAAGGTAGGAACAGAATCTTTTGTATTTTTCAGAAAATGTGCCCAACAAATTGCTCTAAATGATACAATCTTTGATATTTTAGAAAATTGTCTGAAACAAAAATGGCGGTCATAAAAAGGAAAATAGATCGCTTTTCAATTCAGTTTTTTTCATTTTTTCTTTTTCTATGAATGACATCAAATTTTCAAAGATTGTAACATTTAGAGCAATATATTGGGCACATATTCTGAAAAATTCAAAAGATTCTGTTCAGTGTCAGATGTTTCCTAAGCGCCTACTTTGAGCTATTTTTTAGTCACATTTTCAGAGGGCTGAAAAGGGTATTTGAACATCATGTTTGGGGTCATTCTGACCATACATTAATCGAGTCTCTAGCCAATACTTGGCTAGAGGTGATTTCATCTGGAATTAATAGAGCTCTGGTCGAAATAGAATCTGATGTCGACATGTCGAAGCCCAAGGTCGACGACAGTATCGACTGTCGGAATTAAATCTCCACAAAAAATCGGCAAAGAAAAAAATCAAAATTAGTTAACTTAGATTTTACTTCCGGTAAAAAATGAGCATACATTGTCTATCCTGACCCCTCGCATGTACTGTATATTGATATTATAGATTAATATGCATATACTGTACGTATGTATGTTAGAGATCGAGAAGTAAATAAACAAACTTTGAATACGAACCTCCATTGTTATTGTTCTGCTACTTACACTTCCAGTGGATCCGACTCGTCCCGTTGCAGCACTTCGAATAGCCCAGTAGCAATGCAAGCCAAAGCCACACACGAATCTCAATTTTCAATACAACAATACATATGTTTACTAACATATCAATTTATTTAACTACAATCCAGTTAATGTTCAATTGTGGACATTATACAAACGTCTACAAATTGTACGGATTGTAATTCTAGTTAAAACTTTGTAAGAATATCAACGAAATTGAATAAAATGACTTACCGTTCAGATCAGAGGCCCCTACAGACGACTTCTCGAGATCGAAAACGAGATGTGAAACGAGAACATAAAAATAAAATGGGGGAAAAACACAATATTTAAATTCGCTGTAAATTCTGTTAGATAATGCAACCATTATCTCAACAAGAGTGATAAAAGTAGGTCGATAAAAGTATGTTGGGAAATTAAGGTATGTTCTTTGTTTATCATCGTATTATTTCTATGTCGACCTTGGACGCTTATGTCGATGTCGAAGTGACATTTCGATCGCCAATCGACGATTCCGACAAATGATCAGAGCTCTAGGAATTAAAGAATTGGCTAAAAAATATTAAAACCAAAAATCACAACTTCCGGTACAATTTAAAACGTTATTGAGTTCATTTACCTGTGATCTGGGGAACCAAGTGCCTCAACGAAAGAAAGTGTCCTATAACTTGTATATTAATCCATGTTACTGCATAAGTTTTTTTAAAGGAAACATCACAACAATAAAGGGAAAATCGAGTTCAAATTTCTCTGTCTTTAGCACGGCCAAAATGACAATAAACGATTTTAGTCTCGAATCTTTTAGTCTTCGGAATATTCATATCTTTATTTGATACTTTACGTTCCGATGATATAAATATACAAAAAGGTTGATTCATGTTGAATTCATATCCCTACAAAAATATTTATAATATAAAAAAGGAATAATAGTTTACTTGTATAGTTTCTGTCATGATTCAATCAGCTGCTGCTGCCATCTTTATTTGCCATCTTTTTGCATGCGAACTCCCGTGCAGTGATAACGCATACCTGCCAAACTACCGTATTTTTACGGGAATCTACCGTAAATTTTTCGTTTTTCCGTAAAAAAATGACAAACTACCGTAAAAAATACCATTTTTTTCCCGTAAAAACGCCCGTAAAAAAATCTACCGTATTTTTTTCGTAATCTACCGTAAATTTTCTTTTTAAAAAACTCGTTTATTCCATGAGAACGGCCGTAAAATCTACCGTAAATTTTTGAAAATCTACCGTAAATTTTCGAAAATCTACCGTATTTCTGCTAAAATCAACAGTATTTTTGTTCAAACTACCGTAAAATTTCCCGTTATTGTTATTGAGAAATGCTGAAAAATTGAAGTCTTCCTGTACTGTCCCTGTAATATTCCTTCACCAACCCGAATATAAATAGGTATCGGCAGGTCTGTGGTTATCAGGTTATTGCGCATTTATCTAAGTAAGCTTGCGTGTAATCAGTCCAAACACCAACTACCACTTGCTAGAAAGAATTCTTTCTGCCATGATTTTTGTAGTTAACCAAACCCTTTTGTACACAGATCTTTATTCCGAATGCAACAAAAATATGATTTTAGTTGCGCTTCTAAATAAATGAGTGGAAATGCGTATGCATATTTAGCGTATCAATTTGTTTACAGAACGATAAAATGTTGTATTTTTCATCAGAACACATTATCAGTAACAAATACATAATTAAAAAATAAAGCATTGAGTTCTGGTTTATTATAAAAGTATTGTGATATCCGAATCTGAACGATGTCTCAGGGGAAAGGTTTCAGCAAACGCTCATGACAGATTATTTTTGAAAGACAATTGACCTGTACTTATTTTCTATTTGTGCCAGACAAACACATGACATTGATATCATTAGAGACTTGCGAGTGAACAAATCAATATTTAATACCATATGATTCCAATGTTATATGAACATTATGTCTGTCATTTCAATTCGTAAAAGTGATAGATCATCTAAGATGGTGAGTAAAAAAGTTGCTGTCAGTCCATTGTAGGCATGGTAGCTTAAATGAAGAATAAAAAGTGTTTAGTCTCTATTTATTCTTGAAAATAGTATATCTATTATTTCTTGAAAATAATAGTTTCGTATAATTCTCAGGTGGTAGTTCTGCTACATTTTGCTGAAACATTAAAATCAAAAGTTGCTGTCAATCCATTGTAGGCATGGTAAATGAAGAATAAAAAGTGTTTAGTCTCTATTTATTCTTGAAAATAGTATATCTATTATTTCTTGAAAATAATAGTTTCGTATAATTCTCAGGTGGTAGTTCTGCTTTACAAACTGTTATTATCAAAAGCACTCTTGCAGTAAAATATGTAATCACAATAACAACAACAATATGACCACGTAAACATTGTATTAATATAGAAAACCGCATTGTATAAAGGTTTAACTACCGCATTTTTCAAAATCTACCGAAAAATACCGCATTTTGGCAAATCTTCCGCAAAAGTACCAGTTTTTCAAAAAATTACCGTAAAAACTACTGCAATTTTCAAAATCTACCGTAAAACTACCGTATTTTTTCGAAATCTTCCGCAAAAGTATCGGTTCAAAAAAATACCGTAAAAACTACCGCAATTTTCAAAATCTACCGTAAAACTACCGCATTTTTCAAAATTTTCCGCAAAACTACCAGTTTTTCAAAAAGCTTCCGTAAAAACTACCGCATTTTTTCAAAATCTACCGTAAAACTACCGCATTTTTTTCAGAATCTTTCCCAAAACTACCGGTTTTTCAAAAAACTACCGTAAAAACTACCGCATTTTAAAAAATCTACCGTAAAACTACCGCATTTTTTCTAAATCTTCCGCAAAACTACCACTTTTTCAAAATTCTACCGCAAACCTCTGAAACTACAGTATTTTTTTAAAATCTACCGCAAAAACTACCGTATTTTTTAAATCTATCGCAAAAACTACAGTTTTTTTTAAATCTACCGCAAAAACTACCGTTTTTTTCTAAAATCTACCGCAAAAACTACCGCAATCTTGTTGAAAAATACCGCAAAAACTACCGTATTTTGAAAAAATCTACCGCAAAAATACAGCAATTTAAATAAAATCTACCGCAAAATTTTGGTCTTAGGTTGGCAGGTATGTAACGAGACACTGCATTGGAGTTCGAAATGCATGGAGTCAGCTGCACGGCATGACCCGGGGACATGGCTGATCCCGAGGGCTGATCGAGAGTAGGATATTAATAAATCTGATAAATGACGATCTATTTCCAAAAGCAAACATATACTCATTCCATGTACGGCCTACATCGTGGGCCGCAATTGAGTCTTGAAAAAAATTCCCGCATTCGCCAATGCAGATCCATCAAACATACCTGCCTGCCTAACCGTTTCATATATCAACAAGTATTCTTCATTCACATTTTAGAGATATTATTTTTACCCCTGCGCTGCTAGTTTAAATTGGGATAACTTTTAAAATACAGTAGAACCTGTGTAAGTGGAACACCCTCCGTTCTGCCAAAAAGCGTTCCACTTACAGACTTAGGAGGTGTTCCACTTACGGAGGTTTTGGGTTCGCGGGGATTTAAAGAACATACAAGATAAAATCTAGGGTTGATATGTATCACTGAAAATAAGATTCTCCGATCATTGCTAGGCAGCTATATAGCATTAATTATCCATTTGTTTTACTCAAAAAGGTATGTGACATTCTAATCCTCCTCATTCTGCCAAAAATGTTTTCTGACATTCTCAATCCCCCTTATTCTGCCAGTCTCAGACACTAAGATAAGGCAATTAAGTTTTAAAGACTTGTTCTTAATGCTTAATTCTTAAGCTTACTTATTAAGTATGAAACAAACAGCAAGAGGTAAGAGGCAAGAGCATCACATGTCCATCTCTTAATCCAATTTGCTGAATGATAATCTTATGAAATTCTGATTTGCTAATTATCAAATTAATTAGTGGTAGCATCATATGTTGATCTCTACAGGAGGTTAATCCAATTAACTATATGGTAATCCATTAAAATCCTAATTTGCCAATTATCACGTTATAACCTGTTTTTATACCCAGGTATCACTGTAGGAGGTTAATTTTGTTTACATAAGTATCACTATTGAAATTTATGAAAAGTTGACTGTTCCACTTAGCAGGTTAATTTTTCAATAAGGGGTGTTCACTGTTCAAGTTTGGAGGTGTTCCACTTACAGAGGTTCAATTAACATTAAGTCAATGGGTTTTTAAAACGGGACTTTGAAAAAGCGTTCCACTTGCGAGGTGTTCCACTTACAGAGATGTTCCACTTAGCAGGTTCTACTGTACTGTGATCAGAACACCACTAAAGTTTCACATTTTGTTCAATTTACCATTTGCATTCACGACGTCATAATTGCGTAACGATCACAATTCGAATTTTCTTATACGGACGCTTTTAAAATCTTCAAAATTGTGCAACTTGAGGTTTTGAAGGCGAAAGGTGAGCGAGAAGTTTACCCCATTTTGACCTTCTAATTGAGGTGATTTAAAAATAATAATTGCGAAATGTACAAAAACATAACAAATATTATTAAAAAAGAGCTGATTTACGAGACTTATAATATAAAATGTAAAGCATATCCTCTTTTTACCTTGAATCCCATGCATATCAATTTTTACTAATTGACGAGTAGCTTCAAGTAACTAAGTTCCTGACCGTTTTTCAAAAATCATAACATTTTAGAAATATTGTCCTCGGAATCTATTTACTCCGTAAATTTTATCAGGATTGAATAAAGATAAAGCATTTTATTTCAGGTTGACTAAACCTTGACAAAATGTACAACGCTCGTCGTTTTTGACGTAGCCTATATTTGCGCCATATACTGATGTTACGCTTTAAAATTTTCCCAAGGACGTCCTTGATTGTCTTGTCCCCAGTTTCGTGCGACGTGTATTGAAGCCATTTCTTCAAAATGGCTAAAAGTAAACATTGACCTCAGCATATGGGTAATTGATATTTAGATACAAATCAACCTCTTTGTTGGTGACCCGGGCTGTGGTAAAATTATGAAAACAAGTTTTCTCCAACTGAAGACTCATCAAAATAGTTTGAAACATCCAGTGATTGAACTACCCTGCACACTAAGTCGTTGAACTCCGAATGCAAAGGACAGGCCACTTTCGATGACCTTATTGTACAGGCTCAGCCTGCGCTTAAAACTTATATAATTGTATGATCAATTATATAAGTTTTAAGCGCAGCATTGTGCTAAAAGTACATAGTATTAAGTAATTCTACCTTCAATAAGTAATAGTGCATTTCATACGCTCATATCCTGAGCACGTGTTAACATGATCCGCCTAGCCCGTAGAGTACTGAGGGCCTCCCCAAGGGGTATCCGACTTAGGATGTATTTTTTATAACCGCGGAGCAAGTGAATTTGATATGGTTGGATACATATTTTGTTTTAAACAGCGGTATTTCGCAATCTAACACAATCTAGCTAATTTTTAGGATTAAAATCTTGCTCGCGGTCAAAAAATCATGTACCAAATTGCATATTTTTTAATTTCAGGCCAAATTTTGAAGAAAATGGGCCTCAAAATTTCAAATTGGGCACACTTTTTGGTTTTTGGGGCGCGGAAGTTTTTTTTCTCTGACCTGATATTTGCCCCCCCCCCCCCACCCTTGTTGGTTCCCAGATCCGCCCCTGAAGATAGCTATAGAGTTCATTGACTAAGTACAATACATAGCAATAAGTACAGATACATAGTTCATAACCTCTCTGTGACCAGGGGATAGAGATCCAAGGCCATGCTCTGGGTCAATTATATAAATACAATACTTAGCATATGATAATCTTATTTGGACTGGTATAACCTGAGACTAACATAAACAAAATTGAAGTTGTTCATTTATGTTGAAGACAAACGAAGTAATCACAAGCGATATGTCAACACCAAAAGTTTTATTCTCATATATTGAGAGGAACGACACAGCATCGTTGAGACAAGCGATCAAGTTTGGAGGGATAAACCCAAACCACTGGTGCGCCTCGGATCAGAGCCCTCTTTACTATGCGATCAAACTACAGTACCCGGAGATCGTGAAGGTCCTACTAGAGAATGGAGCTAGTCCGAATATGATCGATAATAATCAAATGATTCCAATACAGATTGCTTTATCAATGGCCTCAGCTTGTAAAGATAGGACAATTTGTACTCTTGCGAATTGTCAGCCAGATATTTCCAGAACAATGCATTACACGGCCGATGCTAACGAATATATGAAGGATCAGGAGGAAATTAATTATACAATCAATTTAGAACATTTCCAAGGGAATATATGGAACACCCAAAACACAAAGGATGCTACTTATACCGAAGCAGTTACTATCATTAAACATCTGGTCGAGCACGGCTGCATTGCGAACACTTTATATAGCCCTGTATCTGCATCTGATCCATTTCTGAAAATTTCTGCACTACATGATGCTGCTATGACCTTACAGCCGGAGGTGGTTGAAGTTCTCCTTCAATCTGACAACATAGATGTGGACCTCCTTACATCCGAAGGTCGCACTGCTCTATCCATTGCTTGTAATAGCAGGCAAATAAATGAGGAAGACGATGCTTCACTCAAAATTATCAAAACGCTAATTGGACACAATTGCGATGTTAACAAAGGAGATAAGGTTCTGTCAACCCCATTGAGAATTGCACTTGAGAAAAATGATGAGAAGCTTTGTAAATTGCTGTTCAAAGCTGCAGTTGAAGTAAAAGACGTATTATACTCCCCTCTTTATGTAGCAATTACCCGAGACTGTTCTGTAGCAATCGTAGAAGCGTTGATTAACCTCGGATGCGATATTAATAGAATTATGAACTTCATGGGCGAAACTTACCTAATCTTAGCAACGCATAAAGGAAGGTGTGATCTTGTTGAACTCCTTTTATTGAGAGGTTCTAATATCCCTCGAAGTTGGTACAAAGGAGAGGCGATTCTCAGTGCCGTGGAGCAAGATGATGTAAACATATTAAAGCTATTCATCCATCATGGGGTGGATATAGAATGTAACAATAACTCAAAGACTAGCATAGTTCACGAGACAGTCAAGCACAACAGCCAGCAGGTTTTAAACTATCTTATTCGTGATACTACAATTGATCTAGATCAAGTTGATCACCAAGGCAAAACACCCCTGTATATTGCATCAGCACATGGCCATCTGAAATGTCTGAAGCTTCTGGTTGAAAATGGTTGTGATATATATACAAGATGTAACAAACTATTCTCAATATTTGAAGTGGCTGTATTCTCTGAGAATTTCCAATGTGTTGAATTCTTGCTTTCTATCTGGTCTCATCCACAGCCAATTATTGCTAAAATTCTTAACAACTGCAAAGAATCTCATGAAAGTGTTAGACACTGGGCTAGAATTAAGAGTTTCATAGAAATGAAAATGGGAGAATTCCCTTCTCTGCAACAAGTTACTCGGGACAACATTCGTAAATTAGTTGGTCAAAGAAACCTCGAGGCAAAAATGAGAGAAGTTGGACTCCCGAAACTTATGACCTCTTATATTATGTCAGAGACATGAAAAACATAAATAACAGCTAATGACCTGGCTGTGAGGTTACTATATTTACAAGTTATAAATGCTTTGGACTTTTACCCACGGACTATGTAATTAATTTACCTTATTTATTAGAATGTGTGGCGTACAAACTATTTACTAAGGTGTGTTGCGATATGCAATCTAAACACATGTAAATGTAAGGTCGCGTGCACGTAATCTCCCGATAAAGTAAACAGAATCTTAATGCCTTGGTCACATTTGCTCTGATTTCCACTACGGCGCCCGGCCGATTGAGTATTTTGTTCAAAATTGAATACAATATTGAACAAAACACTCAATCGACCGGGCGCCGGCCGATGGATCGGAGCATATGTGACCAAGGCATGAGGTGGACTAAAGTGCTGCTTTTTTTTCGTGAAGCCTCAAGCCACTCAGTAAAATTACGATTTCTCGGCACCCTGATGTCCAATCAACATCATTCGAGTATCTATGTGTTTCTGACACGTTTGGGCATCCTGTAATGACAACGTCTACCCAATGTTTGCACGCAAAATTGACGTAATTCATGACTGAAATCGGGAAGACAAAAATATGTGATATTCTTACAGAATTGTTTATAATACATGTAACTATTTACAAAAATGTTCCCGAGACACAAATCCATTTAGGTAAGGTTTGTTTTAAAGTCGAAAAGCCCCAATAAGACAATACAAACCCAGATAAAACCCGGAAGACTGCAGATTTCATGTAATGAAATTTGTTTGTGAATCTCAAATTTTGTCTTCCCGATGGTCTAGCTTGCCGTTACCACCAAGAGTGATATTCAACGTTTTCTATTTTCAGATCTGTATCCGATCTGCATCCAAATATATATCAAGAAAGCTTATACCACCCTAGAATGTATAGTCTGTCACGTAACTTTATGGATGATGTGTGGGCGAACGGTTCGCGAGTCTTTCCACTTCAGCTTTAATGATACTTTTAACATGATTTTGGAGATTGTATCTCTGTGCTACTTGTCCCGTTCCATCAATGTCTAAAGACGATTTAATTCTCCAAATATCAGATGCATGCGATTCCCGATAGAGAAATTGGCACTTTTGTGTCTCGGGGAAGGATGTGTGGGTGATTGAATCGAATTTCACGGAGGATGGTGGTCATAGTGGTTACAAGATAATGTTATGGTGACCACACCGTTGAATGAACACCACCGCAAATAGTCCAATTAGTCCACATTCATGGCAGTCTTTATAGTTCTATAAAATAAATGCCATACACATGAATAGATGTCTCCGCATACAATGTCTTTGGGTTTTGATGGGCCTGGTGGGTTATTTAGTACAGTAAGTTGATGGAACAAGTTGACATGGGCAGCTTGAAGTTCATTTCGTTTTCACTGCAGAAAAACAGCGCATTTAAATACACTGCTTAACTTTCACTGGTGATCCGCGTTCGTTTCGGTAACAAAATGTCGGAACGTCGAAGGTACACTTTTCCCTTTTTGCTTATTTCACTCGTTGTAGGCAGACTCTCCACGTCATTTTTTCACACAAACGTATCAGTATCATAGTAGCCCGGACAGAATTGTTCAATGGTCACTTTTTCTTTAATAACTTTTTTAGTATTCAGTATTATAAAAATCGTGATTACATATTTGGAACCTTAAGTAAAATTCTGACATACAAAAAACATATTTAAGGTACATCTCTTAATTTATTGATATTATAGGCGTTCATAGTATGACTGACGCAAATACATAATTCATCATTTTGCTTCATATTTGTTCAAAATGGTGGCATATTTTGTGAATTTGAATGTTCAGTTGAAAGGTAATATTTAAAGATTGTCACAGGACTATAGGGCCATGCTGCCACCATTACAATCCTGATGTAATGCAGCAACTGACCAATCATCAAATACAAGAAGTCAACTCCCTTCAAAGGTATATGAAATTAACTCTATTGAAATGTTCGGGTTTGTGTTCAAGAGGATGTGAAAACGTGGCGCCCCAATGTGCGGGGTGTGACGAGAGTAGGTCCTCAATCTTTTCAAGAACTCCAAACAGCCATCTCAGAGGCCATTGAAAAGCTCAAGAACAATTCACATGCATGCCAAGGATGGGTTAAGAGGCGTGTGACTGGGAAAGACATTACAAACTGTGGCAGTATGACCCTATAGTTGCACAGGTTAAAAGAACTAGGGTTGCTAATCCACTACGAGTAACAATGGAAAAACTTTAAGTCCTGTGACCTTACGAATATACTGTACATACAATGTACAAACCTTTTTACTGAAGTACTGCTATTCATACAAGTCAATTTAAAACAAAGGGGTTATAAATGCAGTCATTGCATGATATCAAAGCAGCAGTCTACATGATTTTGTAGGCCTATGTCATTTCTTAAATACTAGTGTTAACTTTAAACTGAACATTCAAACCACAAAATATGCCGCCATTTTTGAACAAATATGAGACAAAATGGTGAATTATGTATTTGCGTCACTCATACTATGAACGCCTATAATATCAATATATTAAGATATGTTCCTTGAATAATTTTTTTGTATATCAGAATTTTACTCTAGTTTTCAAATATGTAATCAGATTTTGATAATACTGAAAATTAAAAAAGTTATTAAAGAAAAAGTGACCATTGAACAATTCTGTCCGGGCTACTATGTTTTATAAAAGGTACATGTTTATGAAAAATAGCTCAGAAGACAACAGAATCGTCGATTTAATTCCTCACTTAAGTTACATAAACGGTAAGGGTTAAAAGTGCATATCTTAACTGTTTTACGAAATATCGTTTCGGTTTATGTGAGGGATTATAAATCGACGAATGTGTACATTTTCTTAATCATATGATACTGATACACATTTGTGATAAAAATGTCGTGGAAATTCTACCTGCAATGTGTAAAATAAGGAAAAAAGAAAAATCGTGCCTTCGACGTTCTGACATTTTGTTACCGAAACGGTTCCAGCGTAATCGAGTGGATCACCAGTGATTTTGAGTGATTTGGCCACTAACTATGGATGGAGTTCTTCATGGTAGAGGAGATACACCATGACAAGAAAAAATTCAATGTACCAATTTTAATTATTACTGTAAAGCTACCTGTTTCAGAAAATTATTCTGCTCTACAGTCTACATTCAGTTTCCAACCAAACTTGTAAATGTTTCTTGATAGATTAGAACTTACCCTATCGAGAATAAACCTCGATTCATTTATCAAACACTAGATGACACTTATCCCGTTCCCGGACTATGGTCCTGTGAACATCTCAATCTTTTGCCTATGCGATTACAACATGGGAGAATTTTTTACTCATCTTACACTTCAGATACCTACTTCAATAGATTCCTTGGTAATTTAGCAATCTTTTTGTGTAGTTGAATCCACAATTGTCTGGGTTTATCGGCAGAACGAAGACATTTTCGTTTTTGATCGCAATATTTGCGTGTAACATTTAACTAATTTCAACCGTCAAATTCCTCCATATTGGTACTTCCGGGCTACATCCGGGACAGCCAAACGGGGGATTCCCCTTTTAAATCCAACCGCCATTTTGGAAAGTGATGGAATCTCTCTCGATGAAAAAGAGAAATGTCCCCGTTCTGCCGGTATACCCAGACAATCGGCGGTTCCTATATATTAGAAGTTACATCTTGAGTTCTATAATGCATTGAGGTAGGTATCTTAAGTGTAAGGGGCGTAGATAATTCTCCCAAGTTGTAATCGTACAGGCAAATGAATGCGTTCAGTGCAGGCCTATAGTCCGGGAACGGGATAAGATGACACGAGATGATTTTGTGCCAGAAAGCATATTTTTCTTAAACGTTAGTCATTTATTTTAGGGCTATGTAATTTTATACTTACTGATCACTTTTGCAATAGAAATACTGCTACTCGCAATGGCTTGTGCCTGGGTCACATTTGCACCGATTCACCGGCCAGCGCCCGCCCGATTGAGTATTTTGTTCAAATTATTTCAGTTTTGAACAAAATGCTCAATCAGCGGGGACGTTTATTCGTACTGTCCATAATGTTTATTGCCAAAATCACTGAACCATGAAACAAAAAATGGTCAAATTTGGTCATTTTCGATTAAAAATTACAGTGCTGGTATATATTAATTGATCAGTCGTTTAATTGGCATATTTTCTTGAATTTTAACATTTAATGTTCCAAACTCCCACAAACTGCAGAAAAGTATACCCCATAAATCATATTTACCAAAATGAGTGTCTCCAAGGCTTCACACCAGCGTATGTATAATGCATTTGTCACGAGTTTGAGCTGAAATTTCGCCAAAATGGAGTAGGCTAAGGGTAGTCTCTGCCAGGTTTGTTTATTGTGGTAAGCTTGTAAGTGCTCAGAAGCAAATAATTCATGTGCGCAAAATAATCAAATAATCTGATTGGTCTAAACTTTGCTGCACATGCGCACAATGAGTGTCATGTTTTTTCTAGTGATTTCGTTTCGTTTCATCGAGTTTGCGTTTCAGTGTAACTTCCGCAAAAATGGCGGACCATGGACAGAATTAACAGGTAAAATCACTCCGAAATTTCAAGAGAACTTTTTACCTATAATAGCAAAACTTTTGTTTTATTTGTGCATTCTATCTATCAGATAAGAGTCTCAGGGGTATGTAGGCAAATTCATTTTGATAGGAGCACTCTGTTTAGTTTGAAAACGCACCCTTAATTATTATATATCAGCACTGTACCTCAAATTATCCATTATTTAGTGATTAATTTTCAGTAGATGAGCTTCTATATTTAAGAAATATAGACCGAAGAGCAGGGGTAATATTGTCGCATACAACCCGCAGGGCTAGGCACAAACGTTTTTTGTACCCCGAACGACCAAAGGGAGTGGAGGGGGTCGAATTCGAAAACTTTTGTGCCTAGCCCAGGTATTCTTCGCGAATATACGCCGGGTAAAATGTTGACTTTGTTTACAGTTTATAGAAGGCGTGAAAACAGTCATGTTCGAATTAACAAATATAGACCGAACAGCAGGGGTAATATTGTCGAATACACCCCGCAGGGCTAGGCACAAACGTTTTCTGTACCCCAAACGACCGAAAGCTTTTGTGCCTAGCCCTCAGGGGTGTTTTAGTTTTACTTAAAGATGTCTCTGCTCTGGTGAGCTATTATACCAAATTGCGAGTCAAGCCTCAGTCACATTTTCTCTACAGCCACCATATGGCGGCCGTAGCCTCACAAAATCGATATAGAAAATCTACATTGCACTGTACCTCCCTATACTTTACGCTGCTTATTTTTCGCGATTTTTGGAATCTACGGCCTCCGTACGGTTGCCGTAAATCAAATGTGACTGATTAAGGTATTTCCGCATTTGTGTAAGTTTTAATGGCATTCTCATCAGAGTATGCATGGTATACTTAGGTTATTTTTCAAAATCATCAGATACAAGTTCTCAGAAGTTCAAATCTGACTAGATTTAAGATTTGACCTTCAATGACCTTCTCAAGGTCAAAGAAAGGTCAAAAAAGTTTTTTCAGCTTCAAAATGACATTTTTATTTCAAAGACATCTACAAGTTCCCAGAAATTCAAATCTGACTTAGATTTTTTTTGAGCTTCAATGACCTCCTCACGGGTAAAAAGGTCAAAAAGGTATTTTTCAGCTTGCTTCAAATTCACGAACTTTGTATTTCAAAATCATATATACTATTTCTCAGAAATTCGATTCTGATCTTTATATTTAAGACTTAACCTTCAATGACCTTCTTAAGGAAAAAAGGTCCTTTTCAACTTGCCTAAAATTGACCAATTTAAAAAAAATCATCTACAAGTTCTCATAAGGTCTAAGATTGAACTCAAAATATTGTGAGCAACTACATGTAGGTGGTAGCATTTTGTCATGTTAACAGGATAATGCCTTGATTTAATTTGTCATCATTCGGAGATACCATAAATAGCTATAGGTGGCCTCAATTTCTATCATTTCGTGGCCTAATTTCAAGAATGGACAAAGTAGGCCTTCTGGGTCCCATTTGCGGGCAAGATTTCTAAAGACACGTTTTACCTATCAGTTCCCATCGCGCCTTGTTATTTTCTAGATTCGTTCCTTGCTTGTTTGCTTTAGATATACTCCAGAGTAGGGATACAATCGGTTAGTAATGCGGTTTTTGCGCAAATAAAACACTTAAATCTCCTGGAGCCCAGCACAAGACCAATTATGGGATGAATTGAAATGATCAGACATTGATCTTTATAAGATCATTTCCAAGAGTAAATTATATCTTTTCTGATGACCTTAATGACCTTAAGGCCTATTTTTGCCCAAAGTTTCCCAATTTTCTTTTTTTCTGGGGCCGACCCCCCTGCCCCTCCCCTCAGATCCGCCAGTGTACACGAGAATCTCTTCTCCAATCTGTAACCGTTGTATGTTGAATAACATGCAAGCCAGACACAGAATTTCTCAAATAAAACTTAAAATAACCGATATGATCAGCCCAAATCAGCCCATATCTGTGTCCTATTTGGATGTCTAGGTTTTCATGGTCAGAAAGAGGGATATTTAGTTCCTTTTAATTTGGGGAGAGCATCTTTTCCATTCAATCGAGGTAGGGCCATGCAGCCGAAGGTAAGGCCATACAACCGAATTTGCCGATTCAATCTGACAGAGAATGCCGAGCCTCTCTTTTTGACCAATTAGAGACGTCCTCTTCACATTCATTGTACCCTCGGCCAACTTCGTTTGCAAAGAAAATCTTCGGCAGTCTCCGGCCTTCTTGAGGTATCTTCGGTTGCAAGCCAAAAGTCGACACCCTTTCAATTTGCCAGCTCTGTCTGCTGAGTAATGTCTTTTGACTGTACTGGGCAGATTTTAAGATGGTTGACTCGTTTTGACTTTCTCACTGGTGATCCACTCGATTACGCTGGTTACCGAAACGGTTCGTTTTGGTGACAAAATGTCGGTACATCGAAGGTACGATTTTTCTCTTTTCCTTATTTCACACGTTGTAGGCAGAATTTCCACGACATTTTTTAACAGTATCATATGTTTAAGAAAATGTACATATGTACGAACAAATAGTTCAGAAGACAACAGAATCGTCGATTTGATTCTTCACTTAGTTACATAAACGGTTTTTCGAAAACAGTTAAGCAACAAGCCTGCACTACTGGTAAAGAGGGGTGATGTCAACGCGGTAGCCTGACAGTCGCCCCAGGGTATTTCAACATAAAGGGACTCCCTAGGGGGGTACAGGGGCCAACCAGGAAGCTTCCTTTCAATTTTAAAATGAGTTGTAAACCATAGATCTATTTTTAAATGTTAAGGTTTTAAATTACATTCTATTCAAATTCTATCACTGTTAAATCATATATCTGCTTTATATGGGCTCATTAGCCTTTTGCAGATTATATAGACATAGATGCACTTTTAACCCAAACCGTTTATGTAACTAAGTGAGGAATTAAATCGACGATTCTGTTGTCTTCTGAGCTATTTTTTCGCAACCATGAACATTTTCTAAAACATATGATACTGATATACGTTTGTGAGAAAAAACGTCGTGGGGATTCAGCCTACAACGCGTGAAATAAGGAAAAAAGAAAAATCGTACCTTTGACGTTCCGACATTTTGTTACCAAAACGAACCGTTTCGGTAACCAGCGTAATCGAGTGGATCACCAGTGTTTCTCTTGTTTTGTTTGTCTGTTTATTCAATATATCAATAGTAATAGTTGCTATAGATGACGTCACACTCTAAACCTTTTATCCAGCCATGTTGTATGGCATCAATGAGATATGTTACCACACAACTGCCTGTATGGCGTCATCGTTACGGTCTGTTGTCATAGTTTTTAATACAATGAAATTATTTGTTTGGGGTTGTTGTAGTTTGCATATATGATTGGCTTTTTCAAAGCAGTTGGAATAATCTAAGCCAACAGTGTAGGTAATCATGTCAAGAAAACTAAACTCGCAGCTTTTTGAAAATGAGACTTTGAAATCATGTTCAAATGGATTAATTGTGCAAAGATTAACGACGTTACAAGCAGTAAAACGGAAACGCTTCCAAATTACTAGACCTATGTCTCCAGAGGCAAAAACTGCGATGGCGCAACTCATGAATGAAAAAATGCTACATGAAAGTCATTGCACAAAAACAGAAGCGGTTGATGAAGTAAAAAATGTTCCAAAACTCGATAGGGATGATTTATTGAACAACGTCAATGACATTAAAACAAAGGATATGGGCCTACATCGTGCGACTATCAGCGGAACTGAGAAATTACTAATTCACAGGAATCCGAAAAGAAACCCCGAACACGATCGATCGCGATCGAAATCATGTGGTGCTGTTCGGACTCCAAAACGTATGGATCACAACCTCTGTAAATGGAATGATACTGCTTCGTATAAAAGAATCACACCGTGCAAATCAGCTACATGTGTTGTGAAAGCTTCCCGACCCACAGCTCCATCAAATGTTGTCAAAGTAACCTATCAGAACAGAAATGAGTTGACCATCTTAAACAATAAAGGTCGAGTGGAACGGTTGTCTGAAACAGGCAACGCATGGATGAAGAAATCCATAACTTCAACAACAAAGCAGTTCCAAAATTCAAATGGAAATTGTTTACGAAACATCGAACGTGTCCCACACGGGGGTGACCAGGATAGGGTTAGGATTAAAGCTCTAATACAAAGCAATACTAAACGCCCAAAACGGGTTTTTGATGATTCTGAAAGAGATTTTAGGATCACTCCCCAGGTTTATGATGAACGTTTTTTCACTCCACAATGGCCAGTTCTGGTCGTGAACGACAGAATGACGGAACGTAAATCCGAATATGTCGTTCGACAGGAAGTGCTGAAAAAATGTAGAGATTGGTTAAACAAAAACTTTTGACCAGGTTCGAAGGCTTTTTCAAAGTATTATTTTGATACTTAAATAATTCATATTAAAACAAAATATATTTGTACTTTATTCAAATTGATAAACAACGACCGTTTATCATTTTTGAATTATTATGTTTTTAATTGGCAAATACTTGGATTTATTGAGTTATTGGTTCGCCAAGTTGCCTTCAAAAGAGTCATTTGGCCAAACATACAAAACTTAAGTAGACTCTTTCCGACCAAATGGAAACTAATTATCATGTCAATTTTCAGGCCTATCCCACCTATCGGTGCTCATGTTGCGCCCTTCGATGATCCCGGTAAACACCAACGTATTACAGGCAATATTCTAATAAAAAATACGTGACCTGTCCAAATGTTATACTCGTATAATGTTTTTCATGTCTTTGTATTAAATATTTTATTTTTCATTACTGAAGTTTATAATTTAATTCAATTTTAAAAGTCGTTTTACATAAAGAATGGAAAATGCAATGTGAAAATGCACAATAGGATTATATGAATACAGTCCGTTTAAACGTTGTCAATAATAGCGTCGACCCCAGTTTCTCCAATGGCACTATTTTATCTAATTCAAATGTACCACTGACTGTTTCAGTAAGCTTCAAGTGTACTGACCGGTGCAATTTTAACTGAGGCCAATGCGTTTTTCTTCACAAGAATAAAATATCACTGCTTGTTCCATGTCTATGATTCCATGTATTTGAAAAAGGTCCCTTTAGCAGTCAAATGGGGCAGAAAGGTAACTATTTTAAGAGTTCTAGACCGGGTCGCGACATGGTTTAAATGCATGATGACTTTTACCCAGCATTCCATTGTCCAGTACTCCAGGCCATCAACACTTAATGTTAGGTTCAAATTCTTGTTTCATCCCAATGTCAAGGTCAGGTGCCAAGTCTGAATATGTTCTGCATTGATAGATCATCGGGTCGAATGTCCTTATACATACAGCTTTCAGGACGCATCTGGAAGCACAAAGTTAGCATATAACCCTCCGGGATATAACCCAAAAGGGTTGGGGAAAACGGTTATAAATCGAGGCCCGGGAATGCAAGAATAAAATGTATCAAAATATGATAACTCAGATTAGTATGAGAGTATACAATAGAACACTTTTAAACATTTTATAAAGTATTCCTGGGCCCAGGTTATAATGTTATGATGACTATAATATTTTTAAATGTGAATGTTACAGAAATAAATTGTTAATATTAGTTTTTTTAAGTCACTCTTTATATCTATAAATATGTATCCTCTACATGTCCATTAGGTATGACAGATATAACTAAGGGGCCTGGAAATCTCTTCCAAAATTATGAAACAGACTTTTCAATTTTCTTTCAAAATTCTTTGAATTACATCTGATAACTGTAAATGGCGTGCGTCATTGAATACGGTAACTTATAGAAAACCTAAGTGCCGTTTTGCTCCGATCTTCCATACTATACGTGTATTCAATGTCATTATTCCAGTATTTAGCCTCCAATTTATCAAGTTACCGTTTTCTGGAACTGCCATTTTCTCTTATCTTTATTGGTCTCAAGTAAAAATAAGTGCGATATAATTAGATACGTAAACGATCAACTTGAGATTTCTGTAATTAGTGTAGCTTGGGATTGAAGGAAGCAATATGAGATTTTTTTTATAAATATTGCATCAACATCTGTTTCTCGAAATTCTGGAATTTTGAATGAAGCTTTTTGAAACATAAAAGGAACAGCATCATGGATTTATCCGCCATTGTTTCCATGTAAATTGAAACCAAAATTATATGAAAATATTTTATCACTAAACTCAAAAATTCGATCGGAATATTTGCATTAAAAACGTTGTTTATCGCAGGATTTTATTCTTGACTGTAATTAAAAGTAATTTAGAGGGACCTGTAAACGAAACGAAACGAAACAACAATACTTAAAGGAATATCAAGTTTAGCAAGCTGGCAAGAAGTTGTCAGACAAAAATTGCCTCAATTTTAGAATACTTATTTCATTCCTTGTCGTGTTTTCTAAAAAAGCAAAATGTATACTATGTATACAGAAATACAGAAGAGGTTTAAAATAATGCATTCATTTTTTAAAATATATAAACATACAAGTATTTATCATTTAGGAAAATTAAAATTTTTAAATTTTGCACTTTCAAACTTAAACAACTTCACAACATGTCATGTATCCTTTGGGAGATATTATATTCAGGATGGTAAGGAATACATTGGTATGTGAACTATGTTCCTTCCTTACAAAGTGATTCCATATAGATCTGGTTCTGCATTTAGTACTGTACTGTATAATTGGTCTTCCTAATTTGAATAAGTTGCCGAATATATTTCATATTTGGCCCATCTAAATTCAGCTTTGAAGCAGTACATTCTTTGAATTTCATATTAAAATATTGCCTAGCTACAAGCCTCTGTGATCCCTCTCCTACTGTCCTACTCGACTAAACACCTCACACCGAGGTTGCTAAGGGCTTGGAACTAGACTAATTAAAATAGTTCTTTACATAATGTTGAAAACACAAAATACATGTAAGTTCAAACAGGTATGTATGTATGGCCCCAATCTTCTAAATAAAAAAACAAAATTTCCAATTTCGGTGTTTACAAAACAAAATTATATAACTTAGTAATTTACTATAAACAATAAGGAAGTGATTTGTTTTCACTAAATTATCTACAGCACTAAATTATTAACACCATGTGTTCAGGATATGTTGATATTTAGAGAAGCATTTTCCTGTCATGAAAACATTTCTACGAGATGGCCAGTAACAGCTGAGCGTAGCGATAACATTGATAAAGGGAACGTTGCTTTCCCAACGTTGCAACTTAATGCATAATTGTACCTCATGGGTACACGCATGATGTATCTTGTTACGTTTTAATATGTTAATTATTGATAAGATTATATATGCGGAAGCCAATGTGTGTGAACATGTGTTCGTTCATTTTGATTATACCAAATTGTCTATCATCTGTCTCTCACCATATGGGTAAGAGCAGGGGTGTGGCTTACGGTGATACTTTGATACAATGTGGTTCATTCAAAATTACGCTACCCTCAAATAATGTCACAAAATAGTATCATTGACACGTAGGCAGAATCATTTCATTATTCATTCATTAAAGTATCACCAAGAAGACAACCTCCTCGCCTAACCTCCCTATCACACCAAACTAGTTCCTAAACGTTCTTGCCCTACGAAAATGTCGTAAAACGGGCTCAATCTGGCTGCGGTCGGGATATATGTCTAAAATAATTAGCTACTTCGTTCATAAACAGTCTTCAATACGTCCATCTCATTCGCAGTTCGTTCAGGTCGCACCACGTCGGTGTGCAACGTAGTAAAAACTGTCCCTTAGTCTAGAAGGTCATCATGACCTGATTACAGAACGGTATGGTCGCCATCGAATTTTGAATCGATTCAAAATTCTAAATCACATAACCCGTCCGGGAAAGTCCATGAAGTTCGTAAACAGACCGTAGAACGTTGTAGCTACGTTCATTCAGTTCGCACACAGTTTAAAACCGATTCGGCAACGTTTTGACGATCACCAGAAAACTTTGAGCATGCTCTAAGTGCTGGAGGACCTACTCGTTCTAGTAGTTTCATGAAGTTTGTAAACAGATCCCAAACGGTTTTTAGTGGGTTCTTAGTACGTCAAATCCGTTCGTGCACAGTTTAAGCCCGTTTTCGAGAACGTAGTAAGAACTAGTTTGGTGTGATAGTAGGGTTACGTTCGAACATCTTATGATGTCGGTGCTACCACCTTTATTTATACATTACTGCATGCACGGTTTGCAAATCCAACGAATTAATTAAATTCCATAAATTAAAAACATGTATTGGTGATTTATAGAACTGAAATGCAATGATTTGTGTAAAATTTGAGATGCTATGGCGAACACTGATCCAAGACCTTCAGCAACTTTATCCTATCAAAATAGACAACGTACCATTGTATTTTCAGATGACTTACAAAACTACTTGTAATTTTGTTTCGACAAAGAAATCCCGATGATCGAAAAATATGTGAGCAAATATTCGAAGAACGTTAAATCATTCATACAGTTGGTTCTAAAACACGTGAATTTTATTTTTTTGGAATGTTCTTTAATAACAGAACTTTGTCATCGTTCTTGAAGATCGGGCATTCACTGTGCCATTTCAATGAATTGGAATACCCTTGGACCAAGGATTGAACTATTACCGTCGTAAGTGTAGACTTGAATGACGGCGCGAAATGACGACTTTTTAAATGACAAAATTTAAAATATGATGTTAGGTATCCTAGCAGACTTTTACAAACAGTATTACTAGGGTTTACATGAATGTACACACAATAAATCAGTTTAAGTGTATTTGGCATCTTGGAATGATGTGTGGTGAGTTACTACGATAAGTCAAATACTAAAATAATTGTTTTTTCTCAGCTGCCCGTTGACCTACACAGCGCTGAAACATTCGCCCTATATGTCAACGACTCTGTTATTAAGATTAATTGACCTTCTTGGTTTGCCATAAATAGTGAAAACCAAGAAATTGATTCTGGTTTTCTGTAATATGAGAGTGATAGCCCACAGGTGGACGTTATGAGTCGAAAATTGTCACGATAAAAATGGTAAAATATATGCATTGGTGGCCTGAAGGAGATAACTGAGTTATAAAAATATCGGTAAATCCACCTAAGATTCTTAATTTTCGTTTCCTTACTGGTAGATTTATGCTTAATTAAAATAGGTATGTTGTGCAAATGCGTAAATATATCATATTTTAAGAAGAATCAACGCACCAGTTCATATTTTACAAACCTGTTTTGTTTTCGAAGCAGCCATACAAAATGTGCACACTGTTTTTGGTTGAGTGGTGCCGTCCCTCCTTAACATCAACTGATGTTTTAAACATGGCTGGTCAAACGCATTGCCCCCCATCATCAACACAGTATTCAGATGTGAAATGTAACTGGTTGCTAAGCGAAGTGTTTCAATTTTTGATAATTTTCTATCGGCGGGTTCTGTAGGTATTAATGTACGTAAAGTAACAAAGGCAGAGTTTACACTATGGGTTCTGTCCCTCTCCCGGGCATTAGCGCTGCCTCGTATCACCTTCCCATTCGAGTCTAATGTAACATTACCAGTATTAGAACTATTATTCTGTCGTTGTCTTTGCTTTCTACCACCCCTATTCACTCTATCGTTACTCCCATCTGAATCACTGTCTCTATTATCATACGAATTCATCTCCATTCGAATATATTTCGACTTCGTTGCCATAGCAACCGCAAATTTAAAAAAGTATATTCAAGTGCAAAATGTTTGTGTCACTTGGTCTAGGACACGTACTGTTATTTAAGTGTTTCCCAACCTAAAGCTTGCTTTTCTCCTTCCTAGGTGTTGTACATATGGCTTATGAAGTTGATATCAGTGTTCGATACTTCATAGAATTCAGATCATGTAGTCACTAATTGTATATTTGGTTATTTTCACCTAATGAAAATAGACAAACTTGGTAGTTGTTGGTTCAACTGTATCCACTTGCACTGACTACTGAGAAGCTCACTGTGGAGATTTCTTAGACTTTCAGGATTTATTACACTGCATGGCAACCAGCTGTTGTTAGCAAAGGTAACCAGGGAAACGCATGTTAGAATTTGTGGTTCACATCATTTAACCACTGTAACTTTTGGAATTGTATAAAAAGCAATAGTTTCTCTTAAGTGTTATTACTTTTGTATTTTAGAACTACATTGCTTGTAGATCGCTAAATAAATTGATTTTTAATCTGCTTGTTTGTTTGTTTCTCTGCCAGTTTATTGATATCATGTATTTCAACCAAACAGCTGCATTAATTGCTATCTAATTATCATCTTCCAATACAGCATCAAAGCCAAATGAAACATTTGACACCAAATTCAAATTTGATTATCGTGGCCTTTCGAAACCGACTTTTGAATGTTATCTTTTGCTTAATAAAGCAGAGCTAGCGTTTCATGTTGTTCTAGTACGTATTTCAATTAATGAGATCTTTGGGGAGTTTCCTGGACCCAATGTTTAACATATGACTTTTAACCAGGGTGCTGACACTAAGTAATGACGGTCGATGACAAGCAAGAAAGCACCATCGTTTCAATTGGTTCCTTCCCAACATTTTCTTGTGTTTTAGCGCCGATATGCGATCTCACATCAACGATGTATTATTCCCGTATGATGTATATTTCATCAGTGGTTTTCTCACACCTTCACTTGTGAACAAAATATTCCAAGTTTTTGAATCTCAAAGGACAACTTGCTAAGGATTGGGCCTAGATTGTTTCTACAGACGCTGATAAAGATAACAAATAACAGTGGTGCGCTGATAATAAAGCTATAAGTTTATCTTCTCAGTTTAACAACTTGAAGAAATGAGCCATTTAATTTATGGTGCTCATGATTCTCTTGATTTATGGTGAACGAAGGAGCTCATATGTGTTTTAGCAAGTGAAAACATTGGAGAATTTAGATGTGTATTTTAGGTGTTCTAAAATGCGTTATTTTGCTACTACTCGTAGACTTGGGAAAATCGTAACAACCTTATTTCAAAAAACGTTTATGAGTACGCTACCTTTGAATATCCTACTGTCTAGGATAATTCGACTTAAATCTTCAACTCATATGCTAATCCATTTTTCATTTTTTCTAATGGGTAAAAGTCAGGAAGGTACAGGAAACCCGACAAAGGAAATACAAAAATTGATACCGAATCTAAAATCTCAAATTCGAAACATACCCAAGTGTTTCCACAATTTTACTCGATACATTTTTAATTGAATTATATTGTCAAAACAAACAAACTTGATATGAGGATAGACTGTGTAAATAAATATTAATTACCCCTGAACATGTGCTGCCAACTTTTGAACTAGAGCTAAAATTGCAGGTTCATTACTTCTGTATGGTTTACACGTGTTTCCGACAAGCACCTTGGTTTGATGTTACTCAAATACATCTATTGATTCCAAACTTTCACGCTGGATTCAATTCATGAACGTAAACTTCACATCGTTCAATCTCTAATCGACTTTCCAGCCAAATATCCGAATTTCATCACACCTTTGTAGGGAGAAGTCATGCTCATAAGCATTTGCTTGATAGAATAAAATGGAAATCGTGGAGGAAGCTAGATACACATCATTGGTCCAAGGACCTAGGGTATTTCACTTCTTTCCATAATGAATTTAAGCATAAATGAAGTCATTTGAAGAAGGATGCTCGATACAAGGCCAGGCGAGCGACGCATCTTCCTCGCCAAAACATTTTAAACATTTTTAGAACAGAAGTATAATATCATCTTTGCCATAAATTATGCCCCATCTACTATTAATTTGTCCAATTTGTTTCGCCTATTTTTGAATTGTGGCTAAGCCACCGTTTTATAGTTTACCATACTTAATCATATAACTTTCCGGAAATGATTAAAATTCATTGTGAATTGCGATACTTTATTCAATTCTCATCTGGTATTCACTGTTACGCTTTTCTTTCATGCAGTTCTTCCCCATTTTTCCTTAACAACTACTTCACGTGTTGATTTTGGGGGGAAAGTGTTCAGGAATGAAGAGAATGAATCGGTGAAACTCAGCAGATGTTAGTTGAACAAATTTTTTAAAATTATTATGAAATTCTGTAAGTTTTTTAGAGAAGAACTCGAAATGTGAAATAGAAGAATTGTCGAAAAATGAACGAGAAGAAACCTGCATGATGATTGCCGGACAAATCGGGAGGAAGGTAGGCTATTCCAGAAAAAAGGATAAATGAGTGAAATTTTGATATATGATATTACAGTTTGAGAATAGCGCTACAAGTACTCATTTTGGAGAGAAATATATTCATTATTCATTATGGGACATCGAGAAGTACACTCTCTCTTTTTTGACTTGATTAACTTCAAGGAACCACTAACCACTTCTCAATCAGTCAAATTGATAGCAGATTGTACAGGGTGTCCCGAAAGTATCCCCCACCTAGGCAGACATATACCAATGTCTCCATAGTATATGTCATACATTATTTCAAAGCTTATCCAAAGTTACATTCAGTTGCCAAATATCATGGTTGAACTCACAAATCTGGAAAAGCATTTCAAAACTTAGTGTTAGGCCAAATTTAAGTTCAGTTTAGTCTCCTTGAAACAGTTCTGACCTGAATGTGACTGAAAATATGGGTGTTATCGTCAAAGGTAGGATGGATATTTAGTTGGAAAAAATGATCATGAGAGCAACTACTCCAACGAAACTCTTCTAAAATGCTTTGAAAATGTTTTATGAGGATTACAAAATACACGCGCCACACACATATATTTGAGGCACTTTTAACGGCATATCCAAAGAATTGCTGCTGTCAACATGGCCTTGGGAGACACACCGACTATTACTCTGTTGTAAAACTGAACTTTTATTTTGGCCAAACACTGAAATGCCTGTAACTTTTTTTCCGTTTTTGAGTTGAACCATGATACTTAGCAAATAAATGTAACTTTGGATCAGCTTCAAAATGATATATGACACATACTATGGAGACATTGGTATATGTCTACCTTGGGGGGGGGCATACAGTACACCATGTAGTATTTCCTTTCAGTAAATACTCAGTGAAATTGCTATATCGTATGCTTGAAGGAAAATGAAACATTTATAACTTTTGCGAGAGGTCTCATGACATATTGGTTTCTGAAGTTTTCTTTATACTACGTTTTCTTTTTAAAACTATTAAAAAAACGGAATAAGAAATAGAAAAGCTGCAAAGATGTCACCCTTTTCCAGATTAACTTTCTAAACGCACAAATAGATGGCAGTTGTGTGTACAGGGCTAAATAATACACTTCCCTTCAAAAGTTTGACAGCCGTAGCTCTCCCATCGGACTACGTGTTTGAATTTTTATTTACATAACCTACAATGAAAATACTTAAATAAAGGTGAAGATATAACTTGACTTCATTCCCCACCTTCAAATTTTCCTAACTTTTTCATGAATAACAACAGGTTGAACGTTGATGACTTAATGAATTTTTGAAAATCGTCAGTCCAATGTAAACCACCACGAAATGGCAAATTAGATTTTTGGATATCTGTTCAGGAGTAGATTCAACAAAAAAGTACGTTTATGTAGAAAATCGATTTTAAAGAATTCATTAGATTTGTCAATAATTTCTGACCTTTTTTAACTGTTGCAGAAATTGAGAAAAAATGGAGGTATTGGAAATAATGTCAATTTAACATTTCTCCCTACAAGTAGTTTTTTCTTTACAGTTAATGCAAATAAAAAGATGCTCAACGTGTGTACACATTAAAGAGGCGCTATTGGCGCTTAAGTAGCGGTCACACTAGCCGTGTAGGCTCACCGTTCGCCACCGTTTGGCCAGACGGCGACGGCCGCATTGTTTTTATACATTTTTGACCGGGACTATACCGTTCTATTCCGGGTCTGTACCGGCTTCTCATCGGCCTTGTACCGGACTTACCGTGTTTCAGAATTCTTGCTTACCGTTCTCGCCGTGTTCTCAACTGGTGCATACCATCCCCTCACCAGGTTGACACCGGCCGGAACGCCTGGATATCGGCCGAACCGCCTTGATGGCGTCATGCAAACGCTCACAATATTTAACTCACTTTTTGGAATGTATGCTCAACCATCCACGTGTTCAAAGCTAAATGATTTATATAATTAATTTGCTTATACATCTTAATTATGTTCAATAACATTACAAGTTTGTCTATATTTAAATGTACAGTGTGGCCACATAGCTTGTCCATCCTGTAAGCAGCTAGTTGGGTCAACCGAGTTAAGTCTTTCTCTGTAATAGTTAGTATGTTTATTCCATGAAAATACGTTGAAAATGAATAGGTCTCGAGAACTTGACCAATTTTGGTAGACAAACATGCAATATCTATATTTCATCCGACCATATCACGTTTTACGTTTTTACTATACGTTTTGAAACTAATTGCTCTGAGGGGTAACTATTTGTTTTGACATTACATTTTACGCAAAGCGTTATTGGAAGGTACAGATTGAACCTTTACTCCCCTCCAACGTTTAGAAATATTTTTCCTCGTTAAAATGGAGGGATTCGAAGTGAACTGTACTCGAATTGGAATTGAAGTCAGTTTATTGAATCACTAATAAAAAATATGCCAAATCTTATTTGATTTCGAAAAAAGACGGCGGTGTTTTATATTATTTTTATAACGTTTTGTAAAACGGCAACTACATATATTTTGTGATAATTGCGTCAACGTATATATTACAGGTCTTAGACCTGCGTCGTTTGAGTTATATACCAAAAAATATTGACTTTTTGCACGCTGGTGACGTCGCGCCTTTTTAAATTAATCGAATAACTCAGAAGGGTATCACTCGAAAATTCACGGAAGACTTCACATCTTTGTTATACCGTAGCTTAATCATTAAGGGATTAATGGGTGAACGTTAAGTTGTCATGAACATGAATATTGCAGTTTTATTGAATTTTCTGACAGAAATCGGCTCTTCCTCCACCCTATTAATTTTTTCTTATATAATTGGTCGTGTAAATGAGAAATAAAGCTTTCACAACTTTTTGATGGACGGTAACGTGAACAGAAAGATCACGTAAAATGCATAAAACAGTTGATAGTTCGAAGTTTGGCTTATAATGCTAACTGGACATTTATTTTCACTTTTATTTGAGCTTTAATCATTTTTGCAATTTATTTATTTTCTTCGTGTATGATAAAAGAAATATATTTGTAACTTGTTTTTCTCAGTGTCTTCAAAAGAATCTCTGTCAAAGTGGTTTGAGTGGATTTGTGGCTTCAAAGTACAAATGAGAAAGTCGAAGAATTGATCTGATGTCTCGAGTTACGGGACAAAACCTTGGACAATACCTGAATATTTAAATAAACTGAAGGCAAAACTGTTGAAACGGCAGAACACGGTGACAACACTGCGTCACGAGGCGGTACAATTGCGAGTTCACGGTAATAGGATGTTTAGAGGATGTTATGGAGCAGTTATAAGGCCGTTAACACGTTAATGGACTGTTACCTAAGCGTTAAGCGGCTGGTACCGTGAAAACCCTTTTTATGTGACCTTTCAAACCCCGTTTGAACCTCGTTTATCGGACGGTACCCAAGCGGTACACTCTCGTTCGCAGCCCGTCACTGATAGAGTCAACGTCCACCATCGTCCCATTACCGCTCTGCGAACGTGTTCTTAACGGCCGCACCGTCCTTATACCATTCCCGTACCGCTATCACCGTTCGCAACCGAACGTTACTCAAACGGGAAAAGTTTTGAGCATGCTCAAAAAATTCGCCGGGTGTGGATGGACGGCAACGTTCCCTGAACGTTTCTCAACGGGCGGGAAACGACCCACCGTGTGGCCATACCGTGCACCGCCGTCTGGCCATAATTAGCCACACGGTGGCGAACGGTGAGCCTACACGGCTAGTGTGACCGCTACTTTAGTAGGGGATGGTAGAATTCAGTAACTCACAAAGTTAGATTTTAGATTATTTATTTGAAAATTTAATTATGTTAAATTATATTTTTAATGATACTTTTTCAACCACTCATTGCATTTTTTATGTGCAATTTTAGTCATCCCTGCATCGAACTCAGTAGCGCTGTTCTCCCTCTGCTTCAACTCTTGTAACTGTGTTTCTGCATAGCGGGAATCATACCCAATAGGCGTGATTTGAAAGCTGTTCTCGCGAGAACCAATAGCCATCATGAACTGTCCAACTCCTGGAATGTTACGCTGAGACATGCCGCCCACATCTCTTAATTCCTCCATTGAATTGTAGCGGGACCCGGATCCGATACTCGGTAGGAGAGTCTTTCTTGTCCAAGTCCGAGCCGATGGATAACTCTCGCGGAGGACATCACGTGACTGAGATATTGCACGAGATCTTACAGGTTCATTGTCTTTGAGTTCTAATGTTGAAGCGGGGGTATTTCTACGCATAATTATGCTCATTGGCTTACTTGTACTATGATTGTCGTCAGCAAAATTATTACCCGTATCATCTTTATTTTCTACGATTTGTTGCCCTTCTGTGTTTCCAACACTGTCCAGATCATTTAAGTCTCTACGACAGTTATCTTGATTTTTCTTTGCCGTGGCTATTGCATATTTGGCTTCCAATGACATCCTTGAAAATAGTGCTACATGTGGTTCACATTCTCTTCGTCTGGAATGTTTCCGGTGTGATCGACTCCGCGAAGATGATGCCGATGGGACACAACGAGAAGGGACAGTAGGAAATTTTATGGCATTCGTTGCATTCTCTACATCAGGGGGACAAGACTTGATACTATTATGCAATGAATTGTGCCCTTGACTACTATTGTTTGAACCTTTAGATGTCTCGGCAGATCGAACACCCTCTGTTTGATCATCAAGTAATGTGTTTACCTTTTCAATGGCCTCCATTGTCCCACCCGATTTAAGATTATTGGTGTTAATTGTTACATCCTGTGTACGCTTGTTATTTGATAGTCCATGAATCGTATGTATGAAATTGCCCAAATAAGGGTTATTTACCCTCTTTTCAATGTAAAGCGATGCTTCACTTCCAAGTTCGATATCATGAGGTTCATATTTCACAACATCTTGTACATTCCGTTGACCTTCTAAATTATTGTCCAAATATGGGAGGGCATATTCATGGCTCCCAGGACTCGGCGTTGGTACCTCAGTTCCCTCGTTCAACTTTTGTTTCCCAGAAGTTTTTGAATAGCTATATTTTTCAAAAAGTAATTTTTGCGGGTAGGGTCTACGTTTCGGGTAGCTTTTTAAGGCTGTGCTAAAAACTGGCTTCTTTGGACTTTTGTCTGAAATTACCTTCCCCAGAAATGGAGAATATGTTCTGGTTGATTTCCAAATTGGAGGCCTGGACGCTAGTTTGTAGTCCATCAGTGGTTTCCGCGATAGTTTATTCACGAGGGACTTTACTGGGTTTTGACGGTCGTCGCCCTCAATGTGTTCCTTCTGCGGAAGAAGTTTATTCGTAGCATTATCTTTGTCTACGTCTTCTTCCATTTCTGTAGTATTATTAATTTGTCTTATTCACGCACATAATCTTTTAGTTAAGGGTTGGTGTGTAGAGTTTTAACATTCTTCTGATTCAGGTTAAAGTTTTCATATGACCGCATCTATTTCAGGGTCATTACATTCATCTTGCCCATTGAGGTTAACATTCATAGACCTTTACATAATCCTTAGAGTGGCAAGTCTTCAAGTTCAATCTTAGAGTTTCTAACAATGCCCACTCAAATACTTTAGATACTTACTTAAAATATATAAATGTGTAATCTGTCGTAGTAATAGTTCATTCAAATCCGAACTGAGATTTTGGTTTGTTTTTGTTTACGATTACTGTGCTGCGTAACAACTTATAGAGGTCCTGTGCATTTCGGGCATGTTATGATCAAATTTATCGAGTCTTTGATGATTTGATTTGATAATATTTTACTTATTCCTTGGAATGCTAGAAGATTGGGTCAATCATTTGGAGTCACATAATCCATTAGAACATTTTTCCTGTTATGATCTTACGTAATGTTTTTATCGATACTAGTAGTAATGTTAAATGATATAAGATATCAGTGTTCGCTTCACTTTTCTTATTGTTATATCCGTCTTAAACATATAACCTAATGGGCCTAGTGACCATCCTAGTGTAAGTTGCTGAGTCTCGTATCCCTCTAGATATGTACTATAACTGCTTCACGGACGGTTTGACATAATGCATTCACGCCATTGGTGTCTTCGGCATCAGAATTATGCATTGTTGTGTTATTTCACCGTTGTCACCGTTGCCATAGTTGCCTAGTTCATCCGTTTATAGTCAACACTCTCTGAAAATATAAGTTAAAATATCAACATCGATTCTTGCAAACATATTTAGATAGAGCCCTAATGTGTTTTGATTTGAGTCCAATACTGAGTACCAATTCAAGTTGTCTTCAAGAAAATACATTGTGCGATTTCAATAAGGTTACTTCAATTCATTGTACTTAGTTGATATTTAAACAAAATCTGTGTACTCTCAGGAAATCTTAACATGCTTTTTGTTGGTTAGATCAATATTAGACTCCAACATGTTGAATGTATTTTAACAGACCGATCCGCTTGGCGTCTATGCGACTTGAAGAACTATTGGTTATACCAGAAGGACAATGATTTTGTTAAAGATATTGAATTTCCTGCAAATATAGACTATCCACTCTATTCGCCCAAACATCCTCAATGGAATTTATCACTTATTGCGTCATGTCAATGAATGGTAGCTCCGCATTCTCAGCTTTCTTGGCCTCGAGTGCCTTATCAGGTAATATTATGAGAGTCCATTCTCTTCTAAATTATTGTCTCAAGCGTTGGTAAGCATATGATAAATCCATATATTACAGTTTACAACACGACTTAAAATAACACACAGATGTAACGACTCTTATAGTGTCAACGTGTTATTGGTTCAGTTTTTCAGAAGTGTAAACATATCTTTTAAATATTTAGACCTTTTCATACATTTTTGATATCTGTCATATCAGATATTAATATAGATAGTATCTATCATATAAGGCATTGCAGGCAATAGCAGGCTAATACCCTTACTTTGGAATGTTTTTAAAAGGACTGTTGGCTGGGATCAATGAACAGGAACAAACCTAATTGCGGAGAGATTGATCTCATTGTTGTCAACATTTAAAAGCATCTTTTGTTATTCTCAGGGGTTTATTGTAGGTTTATTATCGCGCTGCTCATATGGCTGTCGGATGTCCATAGTATCTAAAATGATGGATTGCACATTTTACTGATTTTTCTTCATTATAAACAAGGTAATCACTAACTTGCATGAAGAAATTGAAAGAAGGATCAGTTTGATCACTTGTAATGAAAATCAATAGAATGTAAGTTGAAATATGCCTTAGCACCTTGTTATGACGGTTTCTGTCATCATTCTGAACATGGTCGTGTATTTTCAGTTATAGTGTTCCTTGACCTTCCATCGGCTTAATTGCTCCGGATGCGCCTGGTAGAACAAATGCAATTATCAATTCGATCATTAATCCCGTAACAGCCATTCATCATCCAAACCTCAACAGCCATGTACTAGTCCCTGATACAGGTATGTTCTCGGGAAGAAGATACCCGTTTTGGGGATGGAGGCAATCCGGTGGCTAAGGTTTACAATGTACTTACTTATGCATCATGGACTTTTTGCTATAAATACTAGCTAGTATACACTTACCCTGGCGTATATCCGAATATTAGGAGAAAACATTATTTCTATTTTTCTGCATTAATTATAGCTGAGAGTTCTTAGTGGTAATAGAACATAACAATGGTATCCTATGCAATCGTACGCTCATTATCTATAATCATTAGTTACGAGTGTCAGATTTATGTTCGTGACAGAATTACTTAAAATTACGGTTTGGTTATCTTGAAATTTCTGAACATGGAACATGCTATTATTAGAGCTTTAAAGTTATTTCTGCAATCTGTATGTGCATTTCATAAGCAAGAGTTTGTTCGATATGTGTAAGCCGTTTAGCATGTGTATCTACATTGTTTGCGTTTAAAATCAAAACAACCAACAGACAATTAATGACACATTTATAAAGACAATTGTGATATCTTAAAATCAACACCAAATAGATGTTGTCATTCCCATGAATCAATTTTTAACAGCGACGCATTCATTTATATAAGAGCTATAACACATCTTGATTCACATGGTTTCACTTTTAAAAATGAGAAGGGACATCTAAACTTACCCAATTACGTCTTACATGCACTGGCGATGGTTTAAAGTCTCGGTCTTTGAATATGCCCATATCCTCCTTGTAAATATATATGGAATTCCTCTGTATTGTTCTTTTCTTTCTTGTTTCGTGTTGACGGATATGGATTAACAAAGCATACCCATTTGAACTTCTTAGGAAGTTTTCTGACCGCTGGATTCAACAAGATCTGCCATCGTCGTCTTGGAGTTTCGGTTCTGCCAATTCATATGGGTATTCTGTCAAAGTCGGGTAAGCCGATAATTCACAATAAAATCACTGATCGGATTTAAGTATTAAGTAGTAGTAAACACGTGTTATGTAATCTTTATTTCTAAATATATTCATTTTATGTCGACATACAGTATTTAAATCGTAGATAATCTGTTGTTTTATTGTAGCCCGCCTCAAAGTTATATTAGTTATTTCCTTTAATTAATCTTATGATTGAGATCGATCTTTTTGGGAATTTACTAATTTTTGTGTGACATCATCTTATTTTTCAAGCTTTCTTTTTTCAACTTAATACAACCGTGCAAGTCGAAATGCCATCTCAAATAGAACTCACGCTGTTATAAACATTGTGATGAAGGTAAATCTTAGTAGAAAATGCATGACTCAGATTTAAGTCAATTTTATTCAATAAGCATAGTTGATCGGATTTTATTCATGATAAAGAGATCCAAGTTACAATGTTATTTTTCTCAAATGTGTTCATTTGCATCCAATACGATTATCTTTAATCAAATTCCAATTGAAACAAATTGATCAAATTGAAATAACAATTAGCTCACGTTACTTGTAGGTTTATTAGATTCGGATTTACTTCTTAGCTGGTCTTTCAGGTCTACCATTCTTTCAAATGCCACTAATACAGTGGTTTACCGTAATAGTATGGACAGAGGTCCATTGTGACAGCCAGCGTTTTTCGAATTGTGTATTATTTATCGTATCTTATTTTCTATAGAGGTCCATGCTATAAATTAGATATTTCTCATCAAAATATAAATATATATTTCCTCCAAGTAAAGTACCCAAGTATCAATCCGACTTTCTGAAGAACTATTGAACCAATGCAACTTCAGAAATATTAGTCCTATCTTCTGAAATGAGGATCTTGTTTTCCTATTGTTTATTGCATACATGTACGTAGATTACATGACAGGAGGAGAAATATTGCAACTTTGGAAGGATCGAAGATGATCGAACATCATCAAACAAAGTGCTTATCCCGTTTTCCCAGATTCAACATTTCTTGTATCGTGTGATATAAGAATCAATACTCGGATATCAATACTCGATGTTGACATGTTCAAAGTTTAGTCCAACGCAAAGTATCAAGAAAATAGAATTCATAAGAAAATTGGTTCGTGTAAAATAAGCGAGAGACACATAGAGATTTGGCATTATTTTGGCTAATGCGACAGCCTGTCGTTGCCATTACACATCAATATCATGCAACAACCTCCGGTCTATGGCGAATCGTTACTGGCACGTAGAGTAATATCATGTTCAGTCGAACTGACTGAAGTAACAAGACACATGTCATGTACAATGAGAGACGCAGCTACATGTAAATTGGTAGAGATCATGTTAGACTTACATCAATCATTAGCACCCATCCTTAGAGGAGACACACGAACGAAAAATCAGTGTCAGTTCAAAATATTTCCCAGTGGACATTTAACGCCCTCGCACTTTTGTATACAGGTACTAGGATCATTCTGATACTCATAGCATCTTTCTGTTTCACCTGAGACTTCTCAGGGCTTGGAAGAAATGAGCCATGGTCATGGTTTATCATAAAGGATGGTTATTCTGTGGACAGGCACGAACATTATAACATATGATCGTGCTTATGTATTTTGTTCATTTATGTTTGTACTCAAAGTTAAATGGGAAATAAAGAAAATGATATAATATATATGGGTCAGCAAGACGCGTGCATCTTCCTCTGTATGATATAATGTACTGGGATTAAGAAAGACGATCGATAACACCCCATTATGACATCATGATTGTTTTAAAAGAGTTCTTGCTTCAGTATATAAAGCGCCCAAGGGGGCAATTATTGAGACATTTATATATGTCGTTCACATTGTTGTTTTGCCCGTTGTTGAAATCCTCTACCACTGATTATGTCAACAACCCGAGCAGAGCACATTGAATGTCGCAATTTAGGCAATTACTAAGAAAATACTAATTATCAAAGATAAATAGGGTAAAGTTAAACACTGCAAATTAATCATCTTCAAACTTGTTAAAAACAACTGGAAGGCACGATGGCCAGTAATAACTGCCAATCTTTAGAGTAATTAATCTTAATGACCTTTGCATTCACTTCAACTTGTCATCCGATATAGTGAATTCTTCTAAACTTGACGTGATCCACCATATGGCAGCGATGGGACGTTTGATTCACAAAATCATTGCTAAACTTTGGCACGGAGAGCGTCGGCATTCCCAGTCGGACGCCGATGAGTATTATATGAGGCAGTGTATGAGTGATGACGATCTGAATAAAATGTATAGGGAATACGGGGACGACGACATCAATCATCCTACACCAGCCACTTGGAGCTATCACCATTTTAATCAATATTCCTACGATGCTGAGTTTCATCCGTTCGATGCGGACGATATGGAAAGAGATATCTTAAATGATTACCACAACCGCAGATCACCAAGGCGATATGAAGATGACGAGTCAGAAACGAGCAGTGATGAACCCGATGAGAGTTCGGCAAATGCTGTGTACAGCGGGAACACACCTTCGGATGATAGCAGTAGTCCCGGTGATATTCCCCATGCTAAAGGAATTAAACGTTCCACCAGCGATCCCAATTTGATTGTTCCTCATGTTAACATACCACGGCCAATACTGAAAGCGACCCCTGCCAAGGACGATATTAAACGGTTCCTTCTGAAGGACAAACTGCTGGCGTCAAGGAAGCGTGAACGCTCTGGAGGAAAAAAGAACAGGGTAGAATCAAAAGAACGCGATATAGGAACAAAAGATAAAAACACTGGAAAGAAAGAGAAAAAAGATAAGTCCAAAAAGTCTCGAGATTTATGGCAGCATAAGCCCAGTAAAGATGAAAGGCAGCAATCACGTTCTAGGAAACACCGCGAAAAAACAAAAACACGAGATAACAAAACAGGAATTACCCACCCTGGGGAGATCCCATCTATCAACTTTCGTAGTGACAAGTTCGATGACATATGTAAATGGCTGAGAAATACACAAGAGGCCTTGGCCCAAACGGTGGCGGACCAAGCAAGGTCGGATAACAGCGCGAGCACTAGCTCCACCAGTGGCTCCGGTACCACTTCAGCATCAGGAAAGTCCAGTGATAGTTGCTTTGTAGATGGACCAGCAGAGAAACGAAAGCCCAAAGCTAAAGCTAGTAGACCGAGCAGGCTTGAGTCTATAGATAGCTGTTTCGAGGAAATCGTTTTGTCACCTGAAGATAAAAAGATCTCAATCGCCCGGTGTTGCACTGCTGTAAAGAGGGATGATATACGCACAGTTATGTTTCAAATTCTGGGAGGATGTAATATAAATGGGACATCTAAGAACGGAGAAAGGCCGTTGCTGCTGGCAGCGAGATATGGGAGGTAACTCAAAAATCTCTCTAGTCTTTCTCCAATCATGAAGTTTCTAGACCGTTATCTCTTATTTGCCAGATCATGGGTTCAATATCAATATTTGTATTGTAGTTACGTCTTTTTCATGCTCATTGTCCCTTTGGACATGATTCGCTTCTCATTTTCCCAATTTCCCTTTAAGCTTGCTCCATTACATGCACTCTGTCATGTCCAAAAGACCTAGTATGTTCTTATGAGTCATTCTCTCAATTGGTCAAGATCGTTCTTTTAATTTACCTTCATCTGTTCATTACAACATTTTCAACGTGTTTCGAGATTTTTTGAGCTTGACGTAATTTACTTGATCTTTACTTGGTTTAACTGGATGAACATTGTTTATTTAAAATAACAATATAAAGTTTAAAAATGTGATTCGGGAAACCTTCTTGAGAAAGCTTTTGTTTTATTGTCACACGCATCTATTAATATGCAGTAATTCGCACCAATGGATAGCAGACAGAAAAGTGAGAAAAATACATTCTTTTCAACTAATATAGGCCTTTAATTAATATTGTTTCATTGTGAAGGTTAAGCATATTTAGACAAGATTTAGAGGAAAATTTGAAAACCTAATTGTGGAGTAAATGTCTATAATGGGTCGGTCATTGACCCTTGTTATTTTTTCAGGAGTCGATAAGAAGCACTTTTATTAAGGAAGTTGTTTACAGTTGTTTATCATGTTATATCCGACTTGACCAGGGCATTTATCCATAGGGGACGATTACATCTGACAGTTAATGGACTCAATTTATTTATGACCAAATATCCTAAGCATTGTTGTATCTATGTAGTAGATATTATTTGTACCTTAGAGTTACTGTCCCCTCTCAATGGCTTTATACGTTATGACTTCTGTTTTAGTAATCTGAAATTTGCAATGTCGTGCCAAGCATTGAATATTATATTTAATACATACGTTTCAAATAGAAAATGTATTTCGCGATAACAAAAGCTGTCTTACTTTTAGGGATGAAATTGCCCGGATTCTTTTGGACCATGACTGTGATCAGAATGCCCGGGATGCTGATGGTAATAACGCCCTTCACGAAGCAGTGGAGAAAGCTGACACCACAATGGTGCAATTGCTTTTAGAAGGTACAATCTTAGTCCATATATATTTCAATAAATCAATCTCAGTAAGATAGTTTTAATGTTCGTACCAAGTTAACGAAACTCAAACACTTAATTAAAAACTAAAAACTATTAAATAACAATGTAATTCGCAGTCGCCTGACGAAAACAAATTAAGGAATAAACGGAGGATAATTTCCAAGTGACTGCGCTGTACAATAAGATGACCGATGATCGTTTACTTTGCAGGTAACATTAGTGTTAACATGCCCAATATCAGAGGTGAGACGCCACTCTGTATAGCTACGAAATATGACTATGAGCTAATCACTCGGATGATCATTGAAGCAGGTGAGTGGGAACGTGGTGGAGAAACTGATACATTATAGTATTTGTAGTTTAATCGACTTATTTGATTAAATTACACATACAAGGTGTCCATAACGTCTCTACAAATACAATTCAAAATCTGTGAAACGTGTAAAGCAACTTCATGGACACCTAGTATAGTCCAGCGTACCTAGTATTAAAAAGTGTTTTTTGGATTTCGCAAATATATTGATTTGTTGTATTGAATGTATTGAAATGTTATATTGAATGTAGTAAATGTATCGAATAATTGTATTAGATAAATAAATCAAAAAAAAGTTAAAAGCGTATATGCGTTTTACTTGTACTATTCACTGACTGATCTGTTTTATAAAAGGTGCCCATATCGACAGCAACGATAACCACGTACAAGATCCTTTCATGGTCGCAGTGCAAAACGGAAGTGATGACGTGGCACGTTTACTGATGACGTTACATTGCAACGTGAACAAGACGTCGTCTGATGGCAAAACGGCACTATATCACATACTACATGGGCCAACCAGAGCTAAACCTGAACTGATTCAAATGATGCTTCATGAAGGTAAGAAAATGGTCACATTTTGAAAAAAAAAATTTACATTACTGTCTTGAATTTTCAAGTATAAGAACATAATTCACATTTACTAATTAGTAAACTAATTACTAATTAGTAAACTAAATAATATTATTTTATAGGGTATGATGCTACGAAAGACAAAGAGTTACTATCACACAAAGACTCAAAACTATTCGAGACAATAGGTGGTACACTGCATCGAAAACTTTTGAAATCTTGCAGATGAACACTCAAGAAAGTAGTAGCCAAATAGACAGGTTGTACTGTCCCGACTAGCTTCACCAAGGGACAAGTTGTTTGTTACCGTCTGTGATTGGTCGAACCGGCAAGAAGAATTCCAGAAGTATGGGTAACCTAGTAGAATAACAGCATGACCCTTCTTGGAACTCTCTAAAAAAGTCTATATTGTGCTTAATGATTAGTGACTTTAAAATGATTCCAATGTTATGAACTATTATAATCAACGTGTTGCACAGAGAGTCAGTAAGCACCACTTCCTCATCCTTCCCAAGCAAATTCGATTATGAATGAAAGCAGAAAGATGAAAAACAATTGGAAAATCGAAAACAATTGCTGGCGTTCTTTGATAGAAAATGGTTAATTTAGCCTCTGTATTGTACTACCTTATGTAATCAATTATAACAATAGTGTTCAATTTTTGATAATTTGAAAATCTGTATCATCAAAACAAATCTGAATCAAAATGATAAAACGACTTCCCCATTCTTTCATTTTATGCCTTAACAGAGCCTCAGCTTTTGATCAGTTTGATCAAACGAGCGATTGGAAAAAATGAATTTTCAAAAAATATTTTAGAGAATAAGGGATGAGAAAAATTAATTTTCAAAAATACGTAAGACAACAAATGATTAGAAAAATTAATTTTCAAAAATATATAAGATAACAAGTGATTAGAAAAATGAGTTTTCAAAATTATTTAAGACAAGTAATTCCAAAGAGTGTCAGTAAGCACCACCTCCTCGACCTTCCCAAGCAAATTCGAGTATGAATGGCAGCAGAAAGATATATACCCACAGGTCAACACTCACCCTGGGTATAGTCTGTCACGTGACTTCATGGATGACGTGTGCGCGAGTGATTCGCATTTTCTTTCGCTTGAGGTTTGTAATCACACTTTTTACATGTTTTAAGATTTTGTATCTCTGTGAAACTTGTCCCGTACCATCAATGTCTGAAGACGATCTAATTCACCAAATATCTCATCCAAGCGTGTCCCGGTTAAAGAGAAATTCGCACTTTTGTGTCTCGCAAAATGACGTGTGCGCGAGTAAATCGAATTTTACGAAGGATGGGTGCGCGAGTCTAAAATATTTTTATTCACTTGAGACAATTCTGCAAGCTAAGGCAGAATACAACTCACGTGACATTTGTTTTTGTCATCTTAAAGTAGTATGTTAAAGAATAGTTTGCTATTTTGTAGATGTTTCATGTATGGCACATACATGTCTACGTTTAATGACAATAAATGTTTTGAAATAGCTTGTAGGGCTGTCCGGCATTGCAGGTGAATTAAAATTTGAACCAAAAATTGAATCTAAAAGATTCAGCTGCTGGGGCAGATGACTTAAAACCTAATATTATTAAACAATGCAGCAATAATTTTCTAAAACCTCTCCTACACATATTCAATAGCTCACTCTTACAGGGTGTTTTCCCAGATAAACTAAAAACTGCTATAGTTACCCCTATTCATAAAAAAGATGAACTTAATCTATTTACCAATTATCGTCCTATATCAGTTCTACCTGTCTTTTCAAAGATCCTTGAGAAACTTATGTATGTAAGGATGAGTAATTTTATTATTAGATTTGGAATTTTGTATTTGAATCAGTTTGGATTTAGAGAGAAAAGATCTACTTACATGGCAATTTTACAATTTGTAGAAAAAATTAAGAAATCTGTTGACAGCAATGAATTCAGCATTGGGCTTTTTCTAGATTTTTCAAAAGCATTTGATACCATTGATCATAGCATACTGTTACAGAAATTGGAATTTTACGGTTTTAGGGGACCTGCTCTAAGGTGGGTCTCTAGTTATTTAACAAATCGCAACCAGTGTACTAAATATAATGATAACATTTCATCTTTCAAAACTATCAAATGTGGTGTTCCACAGGGATCTGTCTTAGGGCCCTTATTTTTTATACTCTATATCAATGATATCTACTTGACCTCTCCAGCACTTCTCTTTGTTCTGTTTGCTGATGATACAAATATTTTAATCAGTGGGAAAAACCTTAATGAAATTAAAGATACTTTGAATACTGAATTAAATAGTATCAGAGATTGGCTTATAGCCAATAAACTGTCACTCAATATTAATAAAACTAAGTACATATTATTTACTTCAAAGCAGAAAAGGGTAAATACCAGGAACTTAGAGATATTTATTGATGGTAAAATTATTGAACAAGTAACACACACTAATTTTCTTGGTTTGGTTATTGACCAACATCCTTCATGGAATGAACATATTAGTAAAGTCAAAATGAAAATATCAAGGATAGTTGGCATTCTGTACAAGATTAACCATTTACTAGATAGGAAAACCTTTATGACTATATATCATTCTCTAATCCATTCTTATTTAACTTACAGCAATATCATTTGGGGAAATGCTAATATCACTTCAATTAATTCGCTTCACTTAATACAAAAGAAATTTGCAAGATTAGCTACTCAGAGTGGATTTAGAGATCACACTCCACCATTATTTAAAGAATTAGGAATTCTCACCATTTCTGATATATTTAAAGTCAATGTGGCAGAATTCTTCTTTAAGTGGCAAAACAATGAAAATAACCTACATGATATATTTCCCAACTTATTTACAAGACATAATGAACTACATAAGTATGATACAAGAGGTAAATATAACTATGCCTTGCCTAAATTTAAAACAGAAACCTTTGGCAGAAAGATGCTTTCATTTTCTGGACCATCTATTTGGAATAGCCTCCCATCAGAAATAAAAACATCAAGGTCAAGTAAATGTCTTAAGTCTAAATATAAGAAACATATTCTGGCGTTGTATGCATGATCTTCTTCTTTTATATTTATGTACTGCAGCCTCCTTATTCATGCTCTATCTCCTTTATAGAAATATATACAGATATAACTCCAAGCCTGGGTACTGGACACTAAACTTGATAGCTTTTTATCTATGATGCACCTCCCCCTCCCTCTTCGATTTTCCCTTAGACAAAACACAACCTTGATATGTTTGATTCCTTGACCTTACTTTTACTCTTAATATCTCTAATATTATGCTTTTACATGTACGGGTATAAACATCAGAAATGATGTCACCTGTTAATTCTTTTATATGTACCATGTATTATTGTATTATTAAGGAATAAATTGAATTGAATTGAATTGAATTGTGTCTAGCTTGCAGAATTGTTTAAAATGAATATAAATATGTTAGACTCGCGCACCCATCCTTCGTAAAATTCGATTTACTCGCGCACACGTCATTTTGCGAGACACAAAAGTGCGAATTTCTCTTTAACCGGGACACGCTTGGATGAGATATTTGGTGAATTAGATCGTCTTCAGACATTGATGGTACGGGACAAGTTTCACAGAGATACAAAATCTTAAAACATGTAAAAAGTGTGATTACAAACCTCAAGCGAAAGAAAATGCGAATCACTCGCGCACACGTCATCCATGAAGTCACGTGACAGACTATACCCAGGGTGACACTGGAGAGAGTAAATAACTAGGATGTGAAAAGAACGCAATAAACGGGTAATATTCAAATGGTGAGGGGAAAAATGTGAATTAATCAAAATCGACTGTGAAGGGTTTGGGTAAAAAATCAAAGTTGCGCCTCAGTATATATAACTGATCCTAAATTACCCTGAAATGTCTTTAATTCATTATTAACTGTAACTTCTTTTTCTGTAAATATCAAATCTCGAGAATTACTTATGTTAGTCGATCGAAGGAGAAAGTAACATTTCATCATTTTTGGATACTTTAAGATAAGAATATTGCAGACATTGCTTATTCAGATACCTGTATTCATTTATTTTTATCAGTTGCATTAAGAAGGTATTTGCACTGTGCGATACACGCCTACCTCCGAAGTTGTGTTTCTAGTCTTTTTCAGTAAAGCATTGGCGCCATCTGTTATATTATGGATTTGATTACACTGCCATGGTTACCGTATTATCCACATCATATAAATATCATGTAGGTTATTGTAAATAAGAGTTGAGAAATAAATATTTATTTTCATCATAAATTGTATTTATTTGTGATTCGTATTTCCCAGGCTGTTCCAAAAATGGAATTAAGTTAAAAGGGTCAACCCCATATAAGATAAAATAATTCCAGTCTATTGAATTTTCAAGTGACCATGACCTAGAAATTACCGCCACATACCTATTTTAAAGGCTGACTGATCTGTTCTATCGGATCAGTCAACCTTTGAAAGAGCTAAACTGCCACGAACTCAATAAAACATGTAATGTTGACTCTAGTGTCCCCAGTGTCAACATTGAATTTGACAATTGACGAATGACCTTGCGGTGACCTTCAACTTTGGTACCAATTTCACTAGTCCACCAGTGCATACGGCGGTCGTAGTTTTCTACCATGCATAGCTTCAGACTGGTTGCACGATTTCCCTACGGTCGACGCACGCCCTGCCTTGGTATTTGTCAACCTACGGCCGCCGTAGAGAAGTCATAAGGGTATTAATTTCAAAGACCGTGCGGATTTTCTGTCTCCATTTGATAATTCAAAATGCTATACGTATACGGCCGCTTAGCATGTTACCATATGAAGAAATCAGACCATTTCTGTATGGTTGCGGTAACAGACGAGAAATGGTGGCAAAACTTGACGATGTAGTCGGACCAGCAGCAAGTTTTTTCTAGAGGTTACACACTTGAGCTCGTGCTGGCCTGTAACGTGATGCGCTGATGCAAAACATGATTAGATGTGAAATGTTGGAAAGATTCAATACTCGACATAGGGGTGCATCATTTCATGTCTACCATTCACAGAACATCACAGAATCTAATATGATTATCATCTAGTGTATACAAATACGACTCAAAAATTGTGGTACTTTTTATATCTATTACCATTTCTCGTCAGTTACCCCAACCATGCGGAAATGGTCTGATCTTCTCGTATAGGGTGCGTATGTGACTGCAACAGTATTTCCGTAGAAAATCTACGGCGGTCGTAGGATTGCTCTTAGCCGTGGAAATTTAAGACTAAATACGGTCGCCGTAGCCAATTTTACTGATACATTAGCACATAATGTATTGACAATTACCACAGAGCTTCAAGGAATTTAACTTAAATCAGACATGGTAAACTCCAACGCTGATAATACAATATTTCAAAATCATTTTTCAGCGTAAATATAAAAATCGTCCAATGAGTGTCATTCAATGATTTAAATAATCCAAGAGACACTTTATACATTTTGGAACTTCATCAGTTTAACATACTAGACATGGAACATGGATGATGCGCTACTTACTACTTAGATATCTGCCACGTCGTGTATTCTCATGTCACATGATCTCCTTTTTGAGATCTACAATTGTCCTGAGGTCATTCTCGT